GGTGCGGAGATGAAGGCCTCTTGAAGGGTGTCAAATGCCTCCTGTTGCGTACCAGTCCAGTTAAAGCTAGTATCCTTCTTGGTTAGGTCGTTCAAAGGTCGAGCTATTCTTGCAAAATTTCGGATAAAGCGCCGGTAGAAGTTTGCAAACCCCAAAAATCCTCGCAGTTCCCGGAGGTTGGTAGGGACTGGCCAGTCACGAACAGCTGCTACTTTGACCGGATCCATTCTCACCTCCCCTTCTGAAATGATAAGTCCAAGGTATTCGATCTGTTGCTGTTCAAATTCACACTTCTCTGGGCGCAAATAGAGGTTGTGCTTTTCTAGTCGCGTTAATACTTCCCGTACTACTTGTCGGTGTTCCTTGAGGTCGTTACTGAATATAAGGATGTCGTCTAGGTAGACTGCCACCTTGCCAGCTGCAATGAGATCAGCAAATATCGCATTCATAAGTGCTTGGAATGTGGCAGGGGAATTCATGAGACCGAAGAACATAACCTTAGGCTCGAACAAGCCCCGAGTTGTTGCAAATGCGCCTTTCCATTCATGCCCCTTCTTAATCCGCACATTATTGTAGCCCCAGCGAACGTCAAACTTGGTGAAATATTGCGCTCCCTGAAGCCGGCTAATGATATCAGCAACTAATGGGAGAGGGTATCGGTTCTTCACAGTATACTCATTCAGTTTCCGGTAGTCCTGTACGAAACGGAGTTTCCCATCCTTCTTCTTCACGAAGAAGACTGGAGATGAGATGGGTGACTTCGAGGGAACGATGTAGCCTTTTCGTAGGTTTTCTTCTAGAAAGCGGTCGAGTTCCTCCTGCTCGTTCAAGGACATTGGGTAGATCTTTGTCCGCATGGTTGCTGGTGCTCCGGGTACAAGATCGATAGCGTGATCCCAGGGCTGATGGGCAGGTAATCGCTCAGAGGCAGATTCGGAGAAAACCTTCTTGAAGTCTCGGTACTGCTCAGGGACCATCTCCTCAAAGGTTTTAATGGGTTTATCGCGGTTAGCCTCCTCTGCTAGTTGTTGAGAATAAGTGAACCCTGCTGAGCACCACACTTCCTCTGTTTGTTCTTCCAATATCCCCGCTTTCACCCATGCCCGACGCGTTTTGTGATTGGCTCGTATTCGGTGTATTGGGGATTCCTCCGTTGCTGTTATGATTTCATTCTCCTCTAGGTCTGCCTCAGTGTGATTGGGTTCACGTTGGGATCCTTCGTTTGAGAGTTCCTGGATTGGACTATCGGTAGTAGACGCCACTAGGTGAGGGTGTGAAGTCTGCTCATCTTCTACTTCCTCTATATGTACCCGGGGTGGTTTTACTGAAAGTCGTCCCTTCTCCCAGTCAATCTCTGGATTTACCTTCCGTAACCAGGGGAGTCCGAGAATAATATCCTCTCCTCCTAAGTTTGTGATCAGGAAATCCATCCATCGCTCCTGGTTATCCACTGTGAGTGCTAAGCGTGCAAAGTGGGTGATTCGCCCGGCTCGGTTAGGTGTACCATCAATATTGAATACATCGATTGGTTTATGGAGGGGTGCGCAGGTTACGTGATTTCTGGTGGCAAAGTCTTGGTTTAAAAACAGGGCGGTAGCTCCACAGTCTACCATGGCTGCGGTTGTTATACTACGGTTCCTTCCTCTTAGTTTCGCATGAATTTGGAAATGTGGGGAGCTGGAATTTAATTCCCAGATAAATGATATTGTACATGATGGGAGCGAGTCATACGAAGAGGTAGCGAACATAGTAAACTGATTATGGGGTACTCTCGGTGCAGCCGGAGCGGGTACCCTCTTTAAAAACCCTGCTGAAAACCAGAGGACGAAGGAGACATGGCATTAGCACGGTCCAACAATTCCCTTATTTGTCCAATTTGGGTGGAGAAGTCCTGATTAGCGGGGCTCGGTGTAGCAGGTCCAGCGACAGGTGTTGGGATTGAGGCGGCAATCTGAACTGATTCGTTTGGGAATAAGGTAAATGGTGCCACCGTGGCTGAGATCTGCTGACGGCGAGGTTGTTGGCGTCGGCCACGGTCGCGACTAAGTCCCATGAACTTGTCCTGACAGACGGATTCTAGGTGTCCCCGGCGTCCACAGTATCGGCAGTTAGTCTCCTTGTGTGGGCAATTCTGCTTAACATGGCCTTGAGCTCCACAACCAAAACATCGTCCGCGCATACGGGCAAGGAAGGCCTCCCTGCTATTCCCAGTGCTGGTGTGAGTAGCATCAATGTCCATGGCGTGAGGGTCGGCAGGGGTAATGTGAGCGGTGTGTGCGGGAGCGTGTCCAGTGTTTCGGCCGGTCATGGTGGGATCATGCAGGTAGACATCCACCGATATGGCTCGTTTGATTGCCTCTTTCAAAGTCGGAGCGATTCCTTGGGCGATGTTTACGATGATAAGGTGTTGTCGGATCTCCGGAAGTAAGGCGGTGAAGAAGCGTTCCCGTAAATCAATATCAGACATTTCAGTCCGATCTCCAATATCCTTGAACTTCTGGGCAAATTCTGCAACTGTCTGCCCTTTACTTTGTCTGAGGTTCTTGATCTCGCTACAGGCTTCCATACCTGGGTCCATTGGTTCAAACCGCTGGCTAAATTCCTTCAAGAATGTATCCCAATTTCCTCCGAAAGGGGGATTCTCTGCACTGAAGTGTAGCAGATGGGGAGTTGCCCAATCTCCAGCACTTTCTGTGAAGAAGCCCAGGGCGGACTTGATAAGTTTAACTTGGCTCTTGGCGAGATCCGGTTGTTCTGACGCCCAATTTTGGAACTGAGCCATGAAGCGACGAGCTTCAGCACCATCTTTACCCTTGAAGACCTTGGGTTTGTTCATGCTTGACTTGGAGGATGAGCGTTCCTCCATGGCTGTAGCAAGGCTGGCTACTTGTCTGATGAGCTGAGCCATGAGATCCTCAGCAGAGGTATTTGGGGCAGGCGGGACAGGAGTCGACATGATGGGAGTAGGCAATCGGGGTTGGGGAATTGGCAGGAAGGTTATATTGCTCACAGTGAGTGGTTCTCGGATGGAGTTGGAAAGGGCGTTGGGGCAAGGTTGAGACTGGCAATCGCGCCAAGTATCGTCGTTGTTGTGGGCGTGAGCTTGGTCTCTGGGGTCAAGTGCGTGCGGGAGTGCGGAGCAGTCTATACTGGCAGCAGGTGTTTCAGAATCGGGCGGGACTGGGGAAGACGTGGTGTCTATGGATCCTGCAAGGACAACCTTATCGGTAGGCTGTCAGTGCAGTAATGGATCTTGACCTATTGTCACGAAGCGGCAGAGGCGGAGTGACTAGCGGAGCAGGAAGCAGGGTGACTAAGCCAGGCAGTGAGGCGGAGCGACTAAGCAGGTCAATGAGGCGGAGTGACTAAGTGGAGCAGAGGCGAACTGGTCCCAGATAATGACAGAGATATATTGAGTATTGTAGTTATAGGTAATAATAAGTAAGCACATACCTGGTCCCAGATAATGACAGAGAGGTCAAGATAAGGGACCGGGCTGTGGAGGGTTGGCTATATATACATAATCTAGTCTGCGAGAAACAACGATGTAATACTGTACAGTTCAGGGGCAAGGAAGGAGGCGGAAGCCGATAGAAAGAGAAGGTGGGTCAGGTGGATCAGTAATAGATAGATCAGTAATCGATGGAGATTGACAGCGATGGGATGATGTATTGTACAAGTAAAGGCGTCGAGACGGTGAGAAAGGGAAAATGATAGGGGCTGCGTACTTTATGACAGAAAGTCTTCTGTTCTATACATTACTGCAAGGCCTTCATGCACCATTGAACCACTAACAAGAATGCCTGGTATTGTAATCCCTTTGCCAGCTCGGTGACTGCTTGTTGTATTTCTGGGCTCAAAGAGCTCCAGTATCCAGATAATGATGAATTACACCCTTCCACACTGATATTTCTTCCCTCTCACAGCAACACGAGTATTCATTCAAAATAGCCAAAATGCATGTGCTCATTGACGTTGGGCGGGCAATATATCCTGCCAGTATAGATACCAATGTTCAATGTTGTGCATGCCGCTCAATCCCCCTGATGTATCTTCTACTTCGCTTTCTACAGGCTTCTTTCTCATCCTCTTCCCACGTTTCCTGGACCAGTTTAGTGGCTCTTACTGATTTGTATGAGATATACTACCGGACTCATCGAAGGAGGAGCCCTTGTCACTGAGCTCAATAAGCTACATAAAGTATGTGGTAAGCTTATTGCCCTCTTACATTTTGTAGTGCACCTCAACGGTTTCATTTCTGTAGGTCCTGTGGATCACAGTGATAATGCTGGATCTCGGTCCACTCAAGTAGCAAAGGACCTCGAGTATTTATTACGTATGTATCCTCTTGAATTGAAAGCTTATGTTCATGCTTTTTCTCTCCCAGAACGCTAATTTCCGGTTCAGTCTGACATGGTGTGCGTTATATCTGATTTTTGAATTTAAGCTCAAAATTTTGGTCGAAGCTTGAAGCATGACTTGTAAATAACAATTAAAATTAGTGATTTTTGCCAAAGCTTCAAGTAACCCCTTACTGGCACTAGGAATAATTGAACGAAGAGTCTGATGTCAATTACAGCTAGATGGTGTCCGGAAATCTGATTTTGCCAATTCTCGATCTGGAATTCATTTCAGTGGCCGAATGCACCGGAAAGCAAGTTACAGTTACAACGTTGTTCGGTGAATAACGAGGAAGCGCTGGGAGAATTTATCTTCTCAATACAGAGCAATCATTCATTGGGCACTTGTTGGTTTCAGACCACCGGTACCACGAGGTCCTGCACGTTGAATTTACCCTTCTATTAAAAGCCAATTTTATCGAGAACTATGTTCCGGGACAATACTGGTAGTAAGTAATAGATGGAAAATACCAGTTGCTTGCACCATACGGTAGACAACTCAGCCATACACGGGTACATCATCAAATACTCTATCTGTGTTACCAATAAGAGTCAGTATGAGAACGATTGAGTCAAAGGGAGACGGTTCCGTTCATTGTTCCAACACACGCTTTCCAGATTGACTTGCCGGCGTGAAGTCGGCTCGCACTTTGCAATTGAAAGCTTACCATCACTGAACATTCAGTACATCACTACGGGTCCGGTATGGTGCCATGGAACTACCGCAAGAACTATGATATGAATACCTAGGTAAGTGACACTATAAATACCAACATTTTTTGTTTGCATCTCTCCATTCACCCTAATGTATCTCCTCCTCTGTTCTTTTTTCTCCTTCTACATAGGGACCCTCGTTTTGTACAGGCTTCTTTTTCATCCCCTTCGCACATTTCCTGGACCAGTCATAGCAGCTCTCACGGACTGGTATGAAGGATACTTCAACATTGTCAAAGGAGGAGCATTTATTACAGAGCTCGAAAGACTTCATAAAGTATATGGTAAGCTTGGTGGGCCTCCGATTAGTTCTCCGGCGCATCTTAACAATTTCATCCCTGTAGGACCTGTAATCAGAATCGGTCCCAACATAGTCAGTTGAACTCACTCAGTCCGATGAAGGGTATTTAAAAACCACGATGCACAGCTGCATTTCAACGACCGGCATGCTTATCATGACATGTATACACACGGGTCAACGTTGGTTAAAGAACCTGGATACTATCTCGGTTTCATGTCCCACGCTCCTCAAGGTCTTCTTTCGATATGTGATCCTCAAGATGCAAGGATCGAAGAAGTTTACTGGGACCAATGTTTTCTCGTCGAGCGGTATTGGCGCTTGAATCTACTATCCAGAACAAGGTATACTAGTTGGTCTCATTACATTCACACTCGCTGAGATATTGCACTGATTCATCAGATTAATCAACTCATATCCTTGATTGAAGAACATTATGTTTCTCCGCATTCAAGCGTCAAGATGTCCATGGCATACCGCTCCGTCACTACGGACATTATCACTGAATACTGCTTCGCAGAATCTGCGAATACCCTTACCCCAAATTTCGATCACCCGATACAGATAGGCGTACGGGAGCTTGGCAAAAGGGTCTGGATCCAAAGATATTTTCCTTTTCTCAACTCTTTGACCTCAAAAGCCCCTCCAAAACTCGTTCAATGGCTTTTTCCAAGTTTTAGAAGCTATGTGGAGACGAAAACCGGATACGAGAAGCAGATTGATGGGCTCATGCGCAATCCAGATTCCCTCTCTACCATTGATCATGAAACAATCTATCATCACCTTCTCAACCCCAAGGATCAAGTAGCACTTTCCCGAACAACGCTGGTTCATGAAGCGTTCACTCTTGTTGGTGCCGGCAGTGATACTGTTGGCAATGCTTGCACTGTAGGAACCTTCTTTGCTTTGAAAAATCAGATGATAGGTCGTAAACTTGTGGAAGAACTTCGCGAAGCATGGCCCGATGAAGATAAACCACTAAGCTACGTGGTGCTGGAGAAACTACCATATTTGGTATGTGATGGACAGCTTTGAATCCCGCTTGCTGAAATTTCCCCTCAGACTGCTTTTATCAAAGAAGCACTACGATTCTCAGTTGGAGTGATCCACCATATTCCTCGTGTCGTTGGTACTGCCCCCACTGAAATTGGTGGTCACAAGATTCCTCCGGGCGTGCGTGGTTGTGAAATATGTGTGAAACGTTCCCTTGATTATTTTGAACAACAGACGGTCGTCGGAATGAGCTCAGCATTCTTGCACATGAATCCTGATGTGTTTTCTGACCCTTACACGTTCAACCCGGAACGATGGCTGACTCAAGATACGAGCACAATGATGTTTGATTTCGCTCCTTTTAGCAAAGGTCCTCGTATCTGGTAAGCAGGCATACTTATTCTATGGGTACCAACTTATACCAACCAATACCCCCGTTCAGCATAGGATTGAAGTACGTTCATGAGCTCTCCGTCATATTCATCTTTAATCTTTCGTCTCTACATTCAGTCTAGCATGGTGTGAATTATACCTTATCTTCGGCAACATATTCCGTAAGTTCAATATGACTCTCCTCGAAGCAGAAGCCAAGTAGGTATCTTGCCCATTCCCCGCGCAATTTAGCTAACGTTCGATAACCCAGCGAAAGAACTGATTTTCACCAAAGCTTCAAATCGGACTATATATCCCCTTACTGGCATTGGGAAGATTACAGGGTGTTTGTAGAAAAAAGAATTTGAAGTCTTACTAGAAATTGGTAACAACTAGCTATAGTAGAACATTGCCGGAAGACTTCACATTCTGATTTTGCAAAAATCTAATACGAGTCTTGGTGTTCTGCATGCCACAGCTTGAAGACACCAGTTGGTGCAGTATTAAGACTTTGAGACAATTGAGAGGCACTGACGTAGCTACAATGTGTCGGGATGTTGAGCGGGTGATTGTTGTTGCTGCATCGGGTCGACATCAGCATACTGAGCGAGCAGGGTCCACTGGGTCATTCAACAATCGGACCGAAGAGAAAAATCTTCACAACGGTCTTAGGTATGCAAATGGCAGTAGGGTCAGAATTCACGACGCGATGTGAGTACCTTGTCAGACTTAGGCCTCGATACAGATCGTACATTAGCATCGCCTAGTATATGCATTGAGGATAGGATAGGCCTTGGCCTTCGTTGTGAAGGATGAAATAAAACCATTTCATGGTATTCTGGTACTTTGATGTTAGATGATAGTGGAGGTAGACCCTACACAAGCTTGTCAATGTTTGTCTAGGGGAGACTAAGGTGGACCCTCGCTGAAACTTCCCTCTCAGAAGCGTTTTAGCGACTTTTAGCGACCGTCAGAACAAAAATTTAAAGCATTCCCGTTTCCTCGAGCTTTTTGTGAGCTATTTTCCATGGTCACTTATGAGCAGCGTGAAACCTTGGAAACCATGTCTCCAGCCATTAGTTGTCAAGTTCGAAGAGTACGTCGCCGTACGAGGTAGAGGTAGGAAGAGGAAAGTATCGGCACGGTTCAACCGGGAGAGCTTTTAAACGCTCGTCATTCAATTAGTTACTGCATACGACTTGCATACGACGCCAGCATTTCTCTCGATTTCTCTCCTTCAGACCTTACTTTGACCCACATTGCAAATGGACTCCTCTCCTGTGACTGCCGATTTCTCTTCCTCACCACCGAAACGTACGAAAATTGTCCTCCTTGGTGATCAAAGTGTTGGCAAGACTAGTCTTATAACAAGGTTCCCGACTACTTTTGTTCAATAAACTAGTACAGACCGTGCTCATGCTTCCTCAAGGTTCATGTATGACACTTTTGATAACACGTATCAGGCGACCATCGGCATTGACTTTTTGAGCAAGACTATGTATCTCGAAGATAGGACAGTGCGGTTACAATTATGGGATACGGCTGGCCAGGTAAGTAATCACTTTTACTTACAAATAGACTCTGTGCTAATTCTCTTACCGCATGTAGGAACGCTTTCGGTCCCTCATTCCATCATATATCCGAGATTCGTCTGTCGCTATCGTCGTTTTTGATATTACAAGTGCGTCCACCTTCCGGACCAGCTTGACACTCATTTGACACAACCTCAGACCGACAATCATTTCTATCAACAACAAAATGGATAGACGATGTTCGTTCAGAGCGAGGGAACGATGTCATAATTGTTCTGGTAGGGAACAAGGCAGACCTTTCAGATAAGCGGTGTGTTTGCTGCACTCACTTCATGGCGGCGGCCATTGAATATCTTACCCCCTTAGACAAGTGACTCTTGAAGAAGCTACTGCAACGGCGACCAGCATGAACATCATGTTTATGGAAACATCGGCAAAGGCTGGTCATAATGTGAAGAGTCTGTTTAAGAAGATCGCTATGTCATTACCGGGGATGGAGAAAGAGAATCAAACAGACACCAACGCTAGTACGATATCTTCTCTCCCTCGTCTTGCTATCCAACTCATCCTGGCTATTAGAAATCGATGTCACAACTGCACCGGCGAACGAGGTCCCAGAGGCTTCACAATGCAATTGTTGATACGTTGTTTACTTCCGCTGTAATCCTGGAGATATTTTCTATATCATACGTTTATCGACAACGCTGACCGAATTATGAATGTTTGAATTGCAATCAACACCTGCTTGTTGCAATTGGGGTATCGTTGCGCAGGATTCACTTTGGAGACAAAGTACGCACTTTCACATACGTCCAAAATTCAATAAATGGCACCGAAATCCCTGACAATAATCGTACCATCTATAAGTGCCGTTTTCTGGATGAATCGTCATCGTCAACGCTTTCTGATCGACGCTGTCGTTGCATTGAAGCTGTTAAATGTGTGGTCCATTCTGATATTTGGGTTACAGCTTTATCAACATCCTTGTCGTCGGCAGTGCGCTCTTGACAGTCATCGGAATCAAAGGGTTTTAGCGGTGTTAATCACGGGTTCTTGGCATACGCATGCATAAATATAAGACCGGGAACGAACAGGATGTAACATCATGTCTACCCCCGACGACCATACCAACACTCTATCGGAACTCAAACGAGAAATTGCGTCTTCTTATGGATCTGAATTCCAAACACACATCACCAAGGCTTGGTCGGAAATTATTCATGAATTAAGTCAAGTGACCGAAAGCATTTCGAGAAAAGGCTCTGAGGTGTGTATATCGTGGTAGAGATATTTATAGAGCTGTCACTGAACATCTTTCAGTACATCCCTCAAGTCAATCTTTCCGAACTTTCATCTCTACCTCCAGAGAGACTGGACGAAATCCGTCGAATTGGAACTGTTGTAATCAAAGATGTTGTAGACGACAAGGAAGCTAGAGCCTGGCAAGAATCCCTCAAAGAATTCATCAAAGTTAATCCCGATGTACCAGGTGTGGTTCTCCGGGTGTCTTCCACGTGATAGAAACTTATTTTCCGTTGATAGGCTTTCCGGCGAACAATAAACAGTTCTTTGAACTTTAGTAAGTGAAGCTCATACCTGGTACAGAAACTTTGTGAACTCTCGCGATTCTCAATTTTAGTTGGACAAAGCCTCAAGTCGAAGCCCGCTCGCATCCTAATGTCCTAGCAGCATCTACATGGTTAAATAATCTTTATCGAAACTCATCTGCATCTTCCGAGAAGGCCATGGAAGGTGTTGATCTATCAACACCGCTGACTTACGCGGACCGTTTTCGTATTAGACACCCAGGTGGAGGTTGGGCTTCTTTTCCGCCTCATGTGGATGGTACGCGCAGCAGTCTGTGTGTATCTGGATATTGTGCTGAATTGGGAACAGGAGGTTCGATTGAGCGCTGGCAAGATTCAGCGTTCAGGTCTTGCTTCAACGACATTCTTTCTGGGAACTGGCGAAAACACGATCCTTACGCTCTCAACGGCCGCCTCGAAGCTCGTTCTTCCTTGTATCACCGAGCTAATCAAGTCCGTGGTCTTGGTCTTTGAACAGTGTTTTTGTCTCTTAGCTTTCTACAGGCATCGGTGTTCAGAACCTTCCAGGGGTGGCTTGCGATGAGGTACAGCTTCCTTCTCTTTGTCCAGCTAGTATCTTGCTGATCTTTTTTCATGGTCTACAGCGAGACCGCGCCCACAGAAGGAACTCTAAAAGTGTTTCCCGATGTACTTCTCTCGAACGCGTATATAATTCTGCGTCCGTTTTTTCGCCCTCTGGTATCAGCTCACTCTGCCGAAATTCTTGATCCAAATAATTGGAGTTACGGTAAACAAATTAGCATCTCCCGTTTGTCGCCTTTATCGTTCCTAACATATTTCCCAAAGACATATCCTATGCCGATTTTCCCGGCATTTACCCCAAAGATGGCGGCTTTGCTGGACCGTGGCCTACTTCAGAATCCCATCCTCATCTGATGCTTGATAAGACCATGATCTCTGTTCCGAAAGTTATGCCTGGAGACACCGTATTTTGGCATTGTGACGTTGTTCATTCGGTGGAGGTGGACCATACTGGTCAGGAGGATTCGGCAGGTGAGTGTCTCGATTTAAATATCTGCGATCAATTCTGGTCTGAACGGTTGTGATTTCTTTTACCTTACAGTGATGTACATTCCAGCTGTCCCGACTACTCCTATGAACAAGGCCTACGTTGAGAAACAAAAGGAGTGTTTCCTGAAAAGTATCAATCCTCCTGATTTCCCCAAAGGCTCCCAGGCTTTCTACGGAATTTCCCGAACAGCTAAGGATCTTTTGTCTCCAGCAGGTGCACATGCTATGGGCCTCAGTGTTGCAAGCTCAGCATAAGGTCAGCATAAGGTAAGTAGTGTTCTGAATCTCAGATATCGTAATATGTAACTCAGTTACGAATGAGTTCAAAACGTTGCAAGGACCACCATGCAATGCAGCATTGCCTAACTCGGATCTCATCCCTAGAGAGATCTTTCATGAGTCGCAGATGACGTGAATGATTCAAGTGGAAAACCTTGGTATAAGGAGGTGTATTGATTGCAATCTCTAGTACGAAAGAGGGGCCATTTTCATTCCATCGCTTTGAGAATTTATTCAGATTATTGACATTGATGAGATGAGGCAGTGATTCAAAAGATTGCTTTTGTGAATTTAGGAATTCAGTGCGTAAAATTCTGGCGTGAAGAGGTTGTAGATTCCGACGACCTAGAAACGGCAGAAGAATAACCAACAATCATTTCACCCGCACACACAAAACCTGGGACCATTGGTGCATCGAGGTCGCTCCTCGACAGCGTGGGTTTGGCTTCAGGGTGCAGGAGAAGCACTCTGGCAGCTGCCCAAGTCCAGTAAGAGCCAATACAGGCCACAGCGCGGTTACGCCTGCGATGGGGACTTGGTTTACCCTGATGGTCTTTCTCCCTCAACTTCAGGCAGAGTATGGAGCATGTTCTTCCTTTCCCTTTTCCTTTTTCTTCTTTCTCCCTATCTATCTATCTCTATGCTTGAGGCCTGCAAGGCCGATTACACTACAACACCATATCACAACATCCCCATGACCTATAGCTACATCACCCCACACAGACATACAATCATGACCGAGAATGACGAACGGAGCCGAGCGAGAGTCTTAGGGCAGCCTAGGTAGTCGCTGCAGCTCCCCGCGCCTTAGTACTAGTCTTACTTACTTGCGGTTAATGAAGAGTTCAAAAAAAAAGTGCGTAAAATTATATGTAGGTGCTGATACAGTACTGGAAAAGGGCCTCGTTCCGAGGCACTCACCTTCCTTGCTCAAAGCTATCTTATTCAGGACTGGAAGAGTCACTAAGTACATGCAGATGATCATGAATTTCTCAAGTCAAAAGTCTCTGAATTATTTCTCAGGGTCTACTTACATAGTACTATTCATCTTTCAATTAAGTATGCTAGGCTATTAGCATAATTCAAATCCAGTGATCACGTTGTCAAGAAACCAAAAGGCTGAACTTGAAGTTTCGAAGTCTTATGTAGTATGGCCAAACAGCGCAGGTATATAGTCTGGTATAGTGCGTGCTTATTGTGGGAAATCAGTGATTTGCTTGTACATGTGTACAAAAGACACCAGGAACTGCTTCAATTGTCGGTGGCAGATAGACCTTGACAAGCAAGGTGACTTGGCAAACATTCGAGTCATTTTTACTATCCCGTGGCGGCAAAAGCCAGTACGACTCACGCTTGTTTGTTGGTGACAGACGCTTCAGATGCATTTGCAACAGAGACCCTGTATCCTTCCCAATGCCAACGCGGGACAATATAATCGGATTCAAACCTGTGGCAAAAATCAGTCCTTTCACCTGGGTTGTTCAGCGCATCAACTGTTTGGACAAATGAACTACCAAAATACTGACTTTAGTTCTGGTTCTGTTAAGATCATGTACACTGTGTAACCGTGCCAGAGGCCACAAGGTGTCTAAAGGCGGAGGGTCAAATGGGACAGTAGTGAAGTTATGAACAACACCGCCATTACGCCACTAGTCCCCGGAGATTGAGAGTAAATAGGAAGAGAGCCAGAAGCAGCCAAGTTGGAGTGATGATATCACTGGCGATGAGGAGCAAACCAAAGAACTTATAAGTCCTAAGGTCAGAGTCAGAAGTACTTCAAGGTGACGAGCCTGAAGACTAGAGAGTGACAAGAGCACAGAGGAAGTCTCCAGTTGAGGAAGTTAAGAGGACAATCCAAGTTGGAAAGGGGATCTAAGTTGATAATTAAACTGAGGAACTACAGTATTGTACAGGCAGTATTTATATCTACGGATCAGTGCATCAGTGCGGAGTGCCAGACTAACTACTAGGAGCTATTTGTGTAGTACCTGCAGGATAGAGAAAAAGACAATAAGGTGGGACTAGAATGAGAGGGTATGTGTAGCGAGAAAGAACAATAAGAACAATTTCAATAAACGGTAGATCTCGGAATACCGAGTGGCAGAATGGGGCACCGAGGCATGGACTTGACAGGTTCAAGCAGCGTCATGTCAAGTTTTTGGAAAAGATTTCGAAAATCAAGTATAATTCACACCATGCTAGACTGAACCTGAAACTTAGCTTTGAGGGGGTGAGAGAATGTATGAACATACTTTAATTCTGTACTGGAGTGGTTATTATATATGTAGTAAGCTCGTGTACCATATACGAGGCTGAAAGGAGTGAGATTGAGCATCATCTCCGTTCTGTCTTCAGCAAACCATCAATCTGGGTTGAATGTGTAAGGGTTATGGAATACATTAGGATTTACGTGCATAAGGAGTATGCTTATTTTAATAATCATTTGTATGAAGGAAGCAAATGGTTCAATGATTAGTTGCAGGGCCATAGCCTACTAGTAGCCCTATGTACACTAGGAGGAACCTTGGCCAACAATCTCCATTGTTGACCTGTCATACGAGGAAGAGGGTGGACTACCCCTATAGAGAACCGCAGTGCTTCTTTAATGTAAGCAGTCTATAGACTTGAACAACAATAAAAGGAAATGTCAAAGCTGTTATAGCATACCAAATATGGCAATTTCTTCAGCACGACATAACTCATTGGGCTATCTTAATCAAGCCATACTTTGCGAAGCTCCTCAATGAGTTTGTGTGGTATCTTCTGATTTTTTTAAAGCATAGAATGTCCCCCCAGTGCAAATCTTGCCAGCAGTATCACTGCCGGCGCCAACAACGGATTTGTTACTCCGACAGTAGTGCCGAATGACTTCCGGCGTGTGAGAATATGTATTATGTAGCTTTGATTAACTTTCTCACGCATGTTGTCGCTTTTCACCCTTCTGCCACTGGATGTTCAAATTTCTTGTTAAACAGCCTTTACGCACCATATCAACCTCTACACAGAGAAGGAATCAGACTTCTTCAGAGTCCAATGACTTTCGACCAGCTTGGGTCTACAAATACGCAGGAAGAGCTTCGAATATATCAATATTTGGTACGAAAGTTTTATACAGCTATTATCGCATCTAATACCTCGTCAAGGTATAATGATCTACGCAGTTTTGCTCTACGATTTTGGAAACGACGACCATGTTTTCCAACCCGTACGTCAAAGTATTTGTTAAATCTGTCATGTCCAACCAATTTCATCGAAGATCCGGAGTTGGGTTTTGCGTCAAAAATCAACTCTTTTTGCTCTTTCTCCAGATGAAGAAAAATTCATTGAATCAAAAAAACTCAAGACTGAAGTCCAGGAACCGTCTAAACCTCGCTCTTAATTGCGATGCATAAAGTAGACTAGTTGGATAAATCTCGAAACATGCGGTGTGTACACAAGTGAGTCTACAACTCACTTGTGACCCGTTCGAATTGTGTGCGCCCAGTACTTATGTGGAGTAGAGGTATACAAATCTACTTCAGCAAGTGTTCTTCGCCCTACACGCATACTTTGGCTTCCTCTAGATTCATACACGTTTCAGAGGGGATGTAAGATTCTAGTCAAATGATCTCTTAGATATAGCAAGAGTCCCCTCCCTCGACCTCTTCCTCTTTCTGCACCACCATCATTTTGGATCATATACACCAATATAACACGAGTAGTATCTTTACCTACAGTAGGCCCGTTGGTATACCGGTATGTCACTTACAGTATGAGATCGCTAATTTTCGGTTGTTCTTGGTCAGCTCCAGGTCAACTCTTCTCATGGAGTTGTTGAAATGATGAAAAAATAATCCTATGTAGTCTCCCGAGATGCAGAGTCCGAATGCTCTTGACACTGAGGCACAGAATGTTAACGAAATTCCTATTCAACTATTCGACCGATGTTTAGAGAGTTACATAGACGGCGTACGCTGTGGCATTCGCGTGACAGTCACGTTCGTCACGTTTACGCTCATTTGTCGCGGCATTATTAGTTTAGCTCTTGTTTTCTCAACAATCATCACGAAGACGAATAGGCCGAATTAACGATGAGCGTGAGTCAATCCTTTTTGACGCGTCCTTCCACCCCTGATTTGTCGATTACTTTGCGTGTACTATCTACAAAAAACGACAAACAGACGTTTACAGCGGTCGGGCCTGACGACGAGCTCCTCTCGGACGTAGTGCCGTCCAACATCGTGTCTAGACAGCCTTCTACTGGTGCAGATGGCGAATCCGAAGCTGACTTCGATGATGATGAGCTGGCCTCTGAGCCAGATGAACCCGTACCTTCCAAAGGCAAGGGCAAATCTAAAGCTAAGGGAAGGAAATCTACCGGAGGTGGACGAAAAGGCGCCTCAAAAGCTGCTGAACACCAACTCGCCGATCAACGTGTGGAGATGGACAAAGCTAAAGAGGCCGACGCAGTGAAGCGGTACTCCTACCTTCTCGGCCAGACGGAACTGTTCAAACATTTTGTTGATATCAAACGAGCGAGAGATTCAGAATACGCTGCCTTACTCGATGCCCAGCAGGGAAAAGGGAACGGGAAGAAGAAGGGAAAGAACGGGAAAGCTGGGAATGGCGGTGCACGTCATCGTAAGTCAGAGAAGGAGGAAGATGAGGAACTGCTCAAAGATGGGGAGAAGGAGCTTGGTGGCGCAGAAGACATGCCTATGGTCTTTGAGGAGAGTCCTTCGTACATCGAGGGCACAATGAGGCCGTATCAACTGCAAGGGTTAAATTGGATGATTTCGTTGCATCATAATGGCTTGAATGGAATTTTGGCTGATGAAATGGTGGGTTACGGCCTTGGTCACTCTTCCATTTGGCTGGCGTCGTATCAATATCTTCTTTGAACTCAAACTGACAATGTTCTTCAGGGTCTCGGAAAAACCCTCCAAACGATTTCCTTCCTCGGATACCTTTATCACCACCTTTCTACCCCCGGTCCCCACCTCATCATTGTTCCGAAGTCCACATTGCAAAACTGGGCACGAGAATTTGCTCAATGGACTCCATTCTTCCGTGTGGTCATACTCACCGGTTCCAAAGACGAACGACAAAGCATAATTCAAGATCAGCTCCTCGCTTTTTCCCAAGGAGAAGAACAAGATGGTAGCCTCGCTCTCCCCTTTGACGTCCTCATCACCTCATATGAAATCTGCCTCATTGAGCGTTCAACGTTGAAGAAATTCTCATTCCAGTACATCGTCATCGACGAAGCCCATCGAATAAAAAACTCTTCCTCACTTCTTTCTCAGATTGTCCGAGCATTTGCATCTAGGGGAAGGTTACTCATCACAGGTGCCATTTTGAATTATCACCCGCTTAATGCCCCTTGTCGCTCACTATACCCTAGGAACACCCTTGCAGAACTCGTTAGAGGAACTGTGGGCACTATTGAATTTCATTGCCCCCGAAATTTTTGTTAGCTTTTCGGATCTAGACTCATTCTTGAACAAGGACGATGCTCCTACTGCCGCCACAATCACAACCGCGGACACGATTGTGAACAATGCATCTGAAAAAGACCCTGCCGCGATGGAGGTTGATGGCACTGAAGTTGAGCAGAAACCAAATGAAGGAGAAAACCAAAGCGTAGCTCAGGGAAAGCAAAAGGAGCAAACAGACCAAGAAAAGAAATCCCAAAAAGTTGTTGAAGCATTGCACAAGATTTTGAGGCCATTCTTGTTGAGGAGAGTGAAAGCGGATGTGGAGAAGGGTTTGCTACCCAGTAAGCGTCGTTCTCCTCGTACTCTTTCTGTTTTCGTTTACCCTAGTGCCTTTGTCCATAGAAAAGGAAATCAACATCTATGTGCCCCTTACTCCGATGCAGCGCCGCTGGTACCGCTCAGTCCTCGAAAAAGACATTGACGCTGTGAATGGTTTGACTGGAAAGAAGGAAGGGAAAACACGCTTGATGAATTTGGTTATGCAGGTATATTCAAAGATTTGCTTCATACTATCCGCCAGGATTCTTTTGCTCATAACCTGGTCTGTAGCTCCGCAAAGTAACCTGCCACCCTTACTTATTTGACGGTGCAGAGCCTGGGCCTCCCTACACCACCGATGAGCATCTCATAGAAAACAGTGGCAAGATGGTGATCTTAGACAGACTATTGGTAAAAATGAAGGTAACCGCACTACGCACTATCGCAATATTCCTGATATTGATGCCTCCTCGTCCCAGGCGAAAGGATCGCGTGTACTCATTTTCTCTCAAATGAGTCGAGTGTTGGACATTTTGGAGGATTATTGCCTTTTTAGGGGATTTAGTGCGTTTGCTCTCTCTCATCGCTTGGGTTCATCTTCTGCTACCCTCTTTTGCTAACATATACGATTCTGAAGAATACAACCGGATCGACGGTGGAACCGCACATGAAGATCGAATTGTGGCCATCGACGAGTATAATGCCCCCGGCTCAGAAAAATTCATATTCCTCCTGACGACTAGGGCAGGTGGATTGGGAATCAACTTGACCACAGCAGATATAGTGGTGTTGTATGATAGTGACTGGTGTGTTGTCTCTCTCATCTCTCTTATCGGTATCGCTCGATCCGATGATTAGCGACCGGCTTGCCCTTGTACAAACATGACCATTGACCTTGCCTTTGACAGGAATCCACAAGCAGATCTTCAAGCTATGGATCGTGCTCATCGTATAGGGCAAACGAAGCAAGTTTATGTCTACCGCTTCATCACCGAAGGGTCAGTTGAAGAGAGAATGTTGGAGAGGGCTGCCCAGAAACTTCGGCTGGATCAGTTGGTCATCCAACAAGGCAGAGGTGGACCCTCCGGCGCGGCTCAGACAAGTAAGCCTGATGTTCAGGATAGATCCTTGAAAGATTTCTCTGACCGGATAAGCAGACAAGGCAGCAAACAAGGACGAACTCTTAGAAATGATCACACATGGCGCGGAGAAGATCATTCACGGCGGAGACAACGGTGATTCTGACGACCTGGACATTGATGCCATTATCGCAAAGGGAGAGGAACGGACGTCTGAACTGAACTCAAAGTATGAAGGTCTGAATTTGGAGGATTTGAGTAATTTCAAGAGCGATGCGAGTGTGCAGCAATGGGAAGGAGAGGATTTCCGAAGTGGGGTGAGTCTAATGTATCGCGATGCGGTCTTTTATCCTTTGCTCACGTTCTTTATATAGCGCAAAGCTCTCAATTTCAACCTTCTGTCCCTCTCCAAGCGGGAGCGCAAATCCAACTACTCCGTGGATAACTACTTCAAAGACACATTACGAGCAGGTCCGAGCAAAATAGAGAAAGGTCCCAAATTGCCCAAAGCACCGAAACAAGTCACTATGTAAGCTCAACACGCTTAATTTCATCCCGGCAGATGACTTACTGTCTCACCCTAGTCAAGACTTTCAATTCTTCCCACCGGAGCTGTCTGTGCTACAAGAGCGCGAACTTGCTGTGCACAAACGTCTCAATGGAATTCCTGCCACGGTCAGAGAACCCACCGCTGAAGATACTGCAGATACGCTGGCAGAACTAGAGATCGAGAGGCAACAGGAGCAGGAGTTCATTGACACTGGTAAGTCCAAGCTTTACTATTGTCTATTACATGGGCTGAATGAATGCACAGCGGAGCCTCTTGTCGACTCGGAAATTGCGCTCAAGGAATCTTACCTCGAACACGGCTTTCCAAATTGGAGTAGGAGGGATTTCCAGCAGTTCGTGAAGGGGTTAGAAGCATATGGCTGGTATGCTGGACTGTAACTATTCAGAACACTCGTGGTCTTACAAATTTCATCATCAGGGATCAACCTGCGGAGGTGTACGCAGCCGACATTCAAGAGAAGACCGCGGAAGAGGTTGAGAAATATTACAAAACGTTTAAGAGGAAATGGAAGACACTGAGCGGTGTGTATAACAGTTTTTCTGTAAGAAGCGAGACTGACTTCGACAATTATCTTGAAATAGAATATCCTCGTATTGAAGTCCGAATCGCTGAAGGAATTGCCAAACGTAACAAGCGCTCCAATCTAGAGTTCCTCCTCGACCAAAAGATAAACTCTGTACGGTATCCTATGCAAGAACTTGAGCTGAACTACCCGACTACGAAGGGAAAGGTGTATTCAGAGGAGGAGGACCGGTACCTCTTGTGTCGACTGTACCATTATGGGTTGAACTCCTCCGGCTCATCGGCTAGTACCAACGGAGCGGGGGCGGGTAGTGGGGGCGCAGGACTTGGCGGGATTGGCGACGCTGAAATCTACGAGAAGATTAAACGAGATATATCTGAATTTCCCGTCTTCCGGTTCGACTGGTTCTTCAAATCACGTAGCGCGGCGGAGCTAGGAAGGAGATGTAATACCTTATTGGCGATGATTGAACGGGAGGCAGAAGCAGAGGAGAAGGTTCGACAAGAGGAAGAACAAAAGAAAAGTGGTTCTAAAAGCAAAGTCAGTCGCAGATCATACCTTAAACTTATTCAGAGTCACTGATTCAGGCCTGTAGAAACGCGGCGCGGATGAAATTGTAAAAAATGAAATAGCATCTTCGAGGCCTGCAACACCGAGTGGGTCTGTAACGTCGGCTTCAGCGGCAAAAAGGCCTGCGAAGAAAAAGAAGACATAGAGTTCAAATTATGCTTTTAGTATATCGTAAATCGCCCTGTAATACCTCCAGAGTACATAATTTATTTGATTCATTCATCTCAATATTCAACACGCTGTCGAGTGGACACGATCGTAAGAAAGGAACTCAAAACAACGTGAGCGTGTGTAGATTGGCACTTTCTTAGGTTCAGTCTTTTCGACTCTTCAGCTAACGACAAAAGAACGGTAGAACAAACCAAGAACGAACACATGTACACCTGTACCTCGTCCACTCTTTCTGGAAAATTCTTTCATCATGGCGGATTTCGCACTGTTACAATATTAAACATCGAGCTACACCGAGGGAGCTACACCGGGGTTAATATCAATATCGATAAGCTCATGGGTAGTATGTTCCGCTTAGTCCCTGAAAAAAAACTGTGTATGGAGGTACCAGTGTTCACACAACCCCACAGTATCATAGCGTTCCGGACCACGTCCTCAAATCTATCTCATCTTCTCTCCCTTCATCATCCATCCAGCTCATAGCCAATAACTCCTTTGGACTCATCCTTTCACTAGGGTTTTTCCGTAAACAATGGTCCACAAATTGCGCAGCCTCCCCCGCTGTTCGAGGTCAGTGGAACGTTGATTAAAGTTGGAATGCGTTGTAGTGGAGTTGACGTATACGATAGTCATAAGAATGTCAATTTTTATTCGATCCAGAGAGCGATATATCCTCACCAAAATCCTTGGAATGCGGTATCGAAGGGGTAATTAGCGCCGGTGGCAGTTCCCGTACGATGTGGTGCATTAATTCCAGAATGGAAAGTGTACCGACGCCACCGTGAACCGAAACCCCTTTTGACTTACGTCGACTGCGTCTGGCGTGCGTCGTTGGGGAGAGTGTGGCGGATGGGGCAGCTGTTGAGGGGGAAAGCGAATTCAGTAGGGGAGAATAGAAGTTGGGGAAGATATACTCGCCTGAGTCTAATGGACTATCATCCACCTCCGTATCGGCGAACGGGAAACATCCATGGGCAAGCTCGATCAAGGTAATTCCTAAACTCCAAACATCCGACTTGACTGAATAGTCGGAACCTTGGATCCGTTCAGGCTATGGTTTAAGAAACATTCATAAGGCAATTATTTTATAAGCAAGAGAGAATAAAAGACGCACACTCATATATACGCTTGTCCCTACAAAAGTTTTTGCGACACTATTTTCTAACTCGCCACTCACGCCGAAGTCGCAAAGTTTGACTTGACCTGAAAAGCAGGGAATCGTCAGCAACCATTTCATTCGAGAGGAAATTTCGCGCGGTGAAATTCCGAAAGGAGGAGTCACCTTCCGAGTTCAGCAAAATATTGCTTGGCTTAATATCCCGATGCAATACGCCCATAGCCTCATATAAATAAACTAATCCCCCTAAAACTCGTTTCGCCGCCTGTCTGACTATACAAATAGGTATTGGGCCTTCAGTCGATTCCTCAGCACCTGCATCCCCAGTCGTAGAGTGACCGTTGAATTTTGAACGTCCGATAGATTTGTAGATTGAGTCAAAAGAACCCTTGTCCATATATTCCATGCAAATGCAAATATTGGGTTCAGAAATAAAGGCGCCGAAGGAGGAAACGATATATGGCGAAGAGCATGTATGGATTATATGCAGTTCTCGTAAGATCTGTTTGCGAATGGATGGTTTGGCGTCAATGAGAACGATCTGGGTACAAATTCAATTAAAGAAGGATAGTCCAAGGAGGGTGAACAACAGACCTTCTTCGCCATGATTACTCCACTAGCAGCATGCTGAACCTTCATCACACTCCCCCCGTTACCCATTCCCAACTCCGCCAGATTTCGGAGATCATCCTCCTGCAGCGGCCCAGTGTTAAGTACGCGGTCGCGATCAGAAAGACTGCGGCAATCTGCTGATTCCGCAGTTGTAGCTGCAGACATAGATGAGGTGATTGAAACGTCGCTGCCATTAGATGCAAGGCCACTACTAATCAGAGTCATGCTTGACGAAGAAGACGACAGCGCAGGCCTTCTTTCGTTAACTTGCATTTGCTCTAACGCCGTAGTTAACGCCGCCTGCAGATTTTGCCTCTGTGTCGTCGAACTTTCAGGCGTCATCAACACGCTGGCCGAAATTGGAGGTAGGCCTGACCCGAGACCCACTGCGCCACGACCAAAGGGACCTTGATTCGAAAGACTCAAGCCAGTATTATGAGGCTGGGCATTATGTACGTCGATAGATAGTATGTGCTTTGGACGTGAAGGCTGGCCTGGCGCGTTACGCGTTGGAAGCGGTGGTAAAGGTAAAGAGCTGGTAGGAGGAGATGCAATAGACAAGGGAGGCGTAGGCAGCTGAAGATTGAAGTTGCGTTTTTTGCTAAATGATCCGGAAGGAGTATTATTAGCTGTCGGTGGTGTCGGTAGTGCGGGTCGAGGAGGAGTAGCAGATGCAATTCTAGGAGGAGGAGTAACAGGTATAGGTCGAGGAAGAGTAGCTGTGCGAGGAGGTAGTGCGGGTCGAGGAGTAGCAGATGCAATGCGAGGCGGAGGAGTAGCAGGTACAGGTCGAGGAGGAGTAGCTGCCGGAGGAGATGTCGGTAGAGACGGCGGCGTAGGTAGAGCGCGAGCCATTGAGTTATGGTGTGATGAACAAATTACAGTATGACAGTCCTATAGACACTTTCCAGTATGATCGTCCCTATAATGGCAGATAGTGTAAGTCTGGCATTGATTTCTTGTTAAGTCATGCCATATTCACCTTTCCAAGCCCCTCCTGCTGATCAGAGATCAGTAAGTACTGGTGGGAGTACTTGAATAAGTTATAACATCGGAAGAAACGGAAAAAAAGATGAGCAGGGTTGAACTTGGTTGAACGTCAAAGCACTGCCGCCATCGCCATCACAATGCAACAACAAAAGATTGCCGTTATCAGAAAAGGCAGTGCGGGACCACCCTGAGTTCCAGATTTTACTGGTCACGGCCGCGAGGAGCCGCGAGGCGCAACCTGGCGCAACAGGGCGCAACGTGTTTCAGCAGGTTTCATCTGCACCGCCGGAAAGCCGCAGCTGCCAATATATAGTAAGTACGGCGATGCAAGAATCAGATGGCGGATCACTTCAGTTTGTACTGAATAAGCGACAAGCGTCTGACTTCCTTTTATGTAAAGCATAGTAAAATCCTTTTTAGAAAACCATCATATCTGTTGAGAATTATCACCTTTTCATTAGATAGCGAACAGTCCCCAGATGTCACCTCTGGCTTCTATTCATCTGATCTTGTAGCTCACATTTGAGGTTTTTTGGCGGGCCCACTGGAGTCTGCTAAGCTCTGATAAGTTGGTGATGCGTTGGAGTAGGTTTTGGATGATCTGAGGGTCAAGTGGTGTCTTTTTCCACGAGTGATAGGCCTTATAGGCCTCACCTCGGACCGAACTCACAAGAATTTCCCTCGATGCAGTCCCAATGCTAGGTTCGGTTAGTATAATCTTCATTCTTCACTAAGTTAACCCATTAATGAAATTAGTTCATCCCCTCCTTTTCCAGTGCTGAGTGAGGCTGAGCACCACTGCTTTCTCCATCGCTCGTTAGCAATTCTACAATTATGGATCTCGACAAGCTTGTGTGTTGCTCTCGTTCTTATTTCTCTTTGCGGCTATGTGATGAGATGTAATGCCATGTTCACACTGTCTCTTGGTGTTCAAATATTTTATTCTACCCATCGTTTTTTGTCCATCGCCCCCTTAGTGTCCGCCGTGTTTTCATCGTCAACTCGTCGTCAGGTCTGTCACTTCTACTTTCTTTGTCCCGTTTGGCGCTCGCATTCCACACGTTGCCCACTCACGATGTTACTATTTTCTTGCGCTCATTTTGTCCTTTCTCGGCTGCCGCTCTCCTTTGCGTAGCTTTTGTCGATGTCAATGCGTCACTAATCAATTCCGAAGACGGGAAGTGCAGAAGTCATTCAACCACAATATTCAACATCAGGCTTCAGACGCACACCCTGGCTCTATAAGATATATGCTCGAGATACAACCAAGACAGGTCAAGGGCAATTGGCCTTTTGCATTGGGATCCATAATTGCTTTCGCTGTGCGGCCCCTGGTACGGTTAACCACACCGGACTTCAAAATGTTGTTCCTATTTTTGGACGCAGAAATGATGGGTTTTTCACGTTGAATGTTATCTCCTGGGCCCTGGCACGTTCTATCCAGAAGTAGGAACACAGTTCGCTGAAAGCTTGTTCGATGTGAGGACCTCGACGGCCTAAGGAAAATTTCAAACACTTCCAAGTGTGTATATGTCAACCCCTTTCTCCACTGAAGGTAAAGGCAAATCCAAGAGTTAAATTCTCCCACACAGTACACTCACATCGGCGACTCTTGCGCGACGAGGACGATGCCACAATACCCTATATCTTCCCCAACCAAACTTTGAGTCCTCATTCTGACGAAAGAGGTCTTGAGTCCTCGCGATCGCGTAATGCTCTCCTGTGACGTTGAAGCCCGGACTTGCAGATATAAATAATGCCGAAGAGAATGAGGAGGGAGGTACGGATAACGGAAATCTGTTTAGCCTTCGTGAAAAAGGCATTCGATAGTTGTATGACAATCTTAGAATCGTTCATTCCTGGGTCTCGAATGGTGGCAAGTTCTTGACTTGATCACTCTACGAAGGGCGCATTCTCTGTCTCATACGACTTGTGTAAGGTTGGAGGGAACTTGTCTATAATAGATGAATTTTCATTTGCGTTTTTGTCAACTTGAAGCCGTTTTAGCGCCTTGGTTTATTTGTCCGGTCTGCACTTTCATAGCATAGCGTAGGTTTATAACCTTTCTACGCTACTTGCATAACGCTGCTGGTGTAAGTGGAAAACGAAGGAAGGATTCTGAAGGATTTTAACTTTGAGATTAGATATTATAAATCGTATCTAATCACGTACCCACGGATTTAAAAAATTGCTATCTCTCGAGTCAGCCGTCAAGTCGCTGTCTCCCGATTTTAACTTTCCTCCGTCTTTATATCACCACTATGTCCAAAACCATTAAGGATCTCACCGCTGGGACAGCCGGAGGTATTGCTCAAGTGCTTGTCGGGCAACCATTCGACATCGTCAAAGTGGTAAGCAGTGTGCTTTTTCAAAATTTATGTATGGAAAATATTTATGTTCAAAGACGTTATCAACGTGCTGCTCCTGACGTTCCTTTATTTGAACGTTGAAAGCGAATGCAAACAGCCCCGAATGGAATGTACTCTGGTATGATGCACTGTGCAGGAGGAATCCTTAAAAACGAGGGGCCTTTGGCGTTCTACAAGGTATTTCTCATATAGCCATTACCTATAACTCCGTTATTCACTGGCTACTTCTTCGAACAGGGCACTCTTACACCCCTTCTCGGAATCGGTGTCTGTGTCTCAATCCAGTTTGGTGTTATAGAGTACATGAAGCGTCTCTTCACTCATCGGAATATCGCTTCCGGTATTGGAGAGTCGACAGGCAAAGATCTCAATGCGGGTCAGCTGGTTGCATCAGGCGTTGCAGCAGGGCTTGCCAACGGTTTTGTGTCCGGTCCTGTGGAACATATTCGTATCCGTGAGTCGCGTTTTGCAAGATCGTTCATTGCGTTATTTATGCCTATGGTGTATCAAGGTCTTCAAACACAACCTTCAATCAATCCGCCGTATAACGGCCCGTTCGATGCTATGAGAAAGATCTACACCGCACACGGCATCGGAGGGATCTTCAAAGGTCAAGGCGTAACATTCCTTCGTGAAGCTACAGGATACGGAGTTTACTTCCTCGCTTACGAAAAACTTGTTCAGCGGGAGATGCGGTTAAAGGGAATAAAGAGAGAAGAGTTAAGCCCAATGAATGCTGTGCTGTATGGGGCGGCAGCGGGTTATGCTGTAAGTGTTGGCTTTTGTTTCGATGACCTTCAGCTCACGAGGCATCTGCATATAGCTATGGGCTGTAATATACCCTATTGATATGATAAAATCCCGGATGCAGACAGATGGTTTTACTCCTACCACTGGTAGAAAGTATGCCTCCTCCCTCGATTGTGCAAAACAGGTGTGGCGAAGTGAGGGTCCGAAAGCGTTCTTGAGAGGGCTTGGACCAACATTGATCAGGTTAATACTCTTTGTGTTCTTATCTAATTGCTGCTATAACTGAGGATTACAGGTCCCCATTCGCTAACGGTGCTACATTCCTTGGATTCGAGATGGCGAATCGATTCCTGAACTCTCTTTGAGGTATTCGGTGCTCCACTGTATCTAGTGGTGGGGGTCCGTATTGACAGAACCCTCGATTTATATCAGATTTATGTAGATAATTCAGGTAGAGGATTGCATAGTTAGAATTAATTAAGTCAACCGCATAGTTACTGCAGATACCCATAGATGCGCGTGCGTAATAATGACTATGTTACACTTCGAACTAAATCTGTCCGATGGGATTCAACAAATAATGAAATAGGGAAACGAACTTGATGTGAATAATTTGGAGTATGAAGGAATAGCAAGGAAATGGGCGAATTGATCCCCTAGAAGAAATCTCTAAACACGCGATTACGTTTATTTAGGACTTGCCGCGCCAAGTTGTAAGTGCTCAAGAACGACCGTAACTTATATTCACATCCAGGAAGAACGTCGAGTAGAATGGTGTCAACTGCACGAGGAGCAACGCTGGGCCATGATTCGTTGTGCCGAGAAAATTCGTCCAAGGGAACGAACTGGGCAGAGGATGTCTCGATATGCAATAAATCCAACGAGGAACAGGCAAGTGTGTGGCCGGGGAAACCCTGATGGTTCACGGGCGACACAGTCACCAAAGCTCTTAATGAGGCGATATCGGGATCAATGAAATGAACCTTCTTGACCGACGAACAGTGCAGAAGGAAGTTGAGAAGTATAGGGAGGGGAGAATCATCCTCTCTGTGTTCAGCGAACGCGTCCTCAAGGTCGTCATAATCAGACATAGGAAAAGATGGCGAACGGAAAGTAAGCTGTGTGAGTTTTTTCAGAGGCCAGTGGTCGATCATGTGCAGGTAAAAATCTTCAAGAAGCCACATCGTCGTCATGACACTGTGCTCATCATCAAAATTTGAAGAATTATGGTGGGTCATGTCGTAAATTTCTAAACTTGACAATTTCGGGACTTCAAGATACGTGGTGAGATTGATCGCAGCATGGAGGAAGGAGAATCCCACAGAAAGGGTCTTCAAATTGGGTAAAGTGACCTTGACGTGGTCTCCTCTGAGAGGCGCTGCTGCCCACAACGTCAAAGATTGCAAGGAAAACTGGCTCCCGAGCAATAGAGCCCTAAGCTCTTCCTGGTTCGGACGGCGATTAAGTGGAAGATATTCGAGGTCGAGCTCGACCAAATTACGGGGAATGAGTTGATTCCAATTCTGGGGTACTCCTTGTAGAGTAAGGATACGAAGGTTAGGATACATCTTGGTGTTCAATTCATTTGAGGGATTCACGCCACAAGGACATTCGATAGCAGACATATTTGCGTCAAGCTCGAGATCGAAATGAGTTTGGTGTCCCCATTGAGCATTGTCTCGTGTCACGTTCCAGACTTGCAAAAGTGGCATCGGAACACCGACGAGAGCTGCCCCTAAATCCTGGATAGGCTGCCAGACGTCCGAGAGTATTTCGACGGTTCTAAGCCGAGCTGCATGGGTAGCTAGGATCCGAGAGAGGATGGCGACATGACCAGGTCTCCAAGAAAAATTCGACAAATTTTGCGCTTCTGACAATGTAGGATCGAAGAAATCGGACTCAAGAGCTATACTAACGTCAATGGGTTTGGCTCCTGAACGACGCAGAAGAGTCGATACCCAAGGAAAAATCAGCGATGTGTGGGTTTCCTCCACAAGTAACGGGTCGTCGAAGCGGACACTCATGTCAACTGAGGTCTCCGTTACGAAGATGTATGTCCAGAATATCGAGGTGCTTGTCGTGAGGTGGCGCCATCGACGGCAGACTTGAGAAACAGCGTGCAAGGTGTCTTGCTTGGCTATCTGCGTTGCGTCGCTATAATGCAACGCATAGAATATTTCCAACTGGATCTCGTTAGGGAGAGAAATCATTATCGAGGTATCCGTATAGAACATCTATGTGAATATAGTGTGTTCAGTCCCTTGTCTTCAAAGGTCGAAGTACTGAGACCGACACTCACAGTGTTGTATAAATCCTTCGCTATTATTCAGTTGGTGGAAGAAAGAGAGTAATCAGTAATTTCTGCGTTGAATGCTCTTTTATTCTTGCTCAACGCATTGTTACGAGAATTCGTAGATAGCCACCCGGAAGGTCAATGAACATCCCTATATTGGTCCAAACGCGCCAGCTTGGATTATTTTTTTTGGCAAACCGCAAGGTCAAAGCGATACCCACAGACAAAACAATGCCTGATCGGGCGGGGCGGACCCCAGGGCATCCTGACAATGGCGGCGGCGGAAGCACAACTGGATTTTGAGGAATGGCCTGGAATGGCGAGCAAGGGATATACTTGAGTTAGCTAAGGTTAAAGTGCCACTGACACGGGACGCAAAAGCAATGGCAGTTCAAATGAACTGCCATTAAGGCATCACAGTTGGCATCCGGTCGTGACCGGTTATGTTGCAAGCGCAGCGGTCCGTTCGATCATGAACCTTGATAAATAACAGAAAACAACAATGTAAATTCCAAGCTGAATATATAAGCTATGTCCCAAAATTCTGCAAGTCATTTGTTTACTCCAACAATCCTCTTTATGTATGCAGTATAAGAAGACCATCATAAGGTTGAGGTTAGAATTGTTTTACAACTAAGCCACAAAACCAGTTTATACAGGCTGGTAGACATATCCCACATACATGAACATTATCTCACACTACATGCTTCAAATAATAGAGTTGATTGTAAGATGAACCTATCAAATTTAATTCATGATTTTTTCTGTTAGCTGAAATATTTGTAGAAGTTGTTTGTAAGGCATAATTTATCTGTTCAGGTATGCATATTTTTCTGTTACTCAGAGGTGGTTTGCTGACAATGTGCAAATGTTACATAAGCTGAGCAACTGTATAAACAGTTTTACACTTATCAACTATTTCTGCAATATTTTGAAAGGTCTCAAAGCAATGGCAAAATGTACATTATCTGTAAGTAGAGGCTGGTAAGCAACAATCTTATGCAATAAATGCACTTCTTGATGGACTATTTGAATACTTGCTCAGCTGGACAGCACTATCATTGACTCTAAAGTTATTATAGAGTCCTGGATTGGCAAAATTTCTAATCATTTGCAAAACATTTCTTTTTTTTCTGCATCTCCTTTTTTTAGTTTTGTTTGAAGCTAAAAACACCATTAATTTACTTAACTTACTAAGGCTGCTACAGTTAGACATCAATAAATAATGAAATTGCTGCACAACAAATGTTAGAATATAATCACGTTATATTCAGCAGCAATGGCAGTAAGAGATAGAGTGCACACAGCACTGTAGTTGATCACACAGATCAAACGATGAAGGAGTAGAGAGAACTACTAATTCGACAAGACAAATACTACAGGTTTATATACAAGTCCAAGGTAGACGATGTCATGTTACAGCTAAACATAGCGAGAGAGAAAGGAAGTACAATACGATGTATCCTACTGGTAGTCCTATAGTAATAGTACACAATGGTGGGATTGATAACACAACGGTGAGACTAATAACACGATAGTGAGATAGTGGTTTGTAACAAGAGAACGATGTTCCATAGATGGTATGTGAGTCATCAAATGTTAACACTCCCCCTCAAACCTTTGTTAGTCCCATGGACACAGCGAAGTGTTTGGCCTTAAGAGATGGAAGCGCCTTTGTAAAGATGTCTGCAGTCATGTCCTCCGTAGGGCAGTAAACAAGGCGGATCTTTCCTTCTTTGATGACATATCAGATGAAGTGGTATCGAATATCAATGTGTTTGGCTCGGGCATGGAAGCGATCATCTTTAGCAAGAGCGATGGCGGATTGGTTGTCGGCATTGAGAATGATTGGTTTTGTGATAGGACCAAATAGTTCCGATAAGAGATTCCTAAACCAAATTGCTTCCTTGGCAGCGTGAGTCAAAGCAATATACTCAGCTTCCATGGTTGATAATGAGATGGTATCTTGTCGCTTGGATGACCATGACACTGCTCCTCCGTTGAGCATGAAAACGTATCCTGAGATAGCATGTCTATCCTCCTGGGACATTCCGTCAGCATCCGTGTATCCTTCGATTTCTGCTTGTGTTCCTCCGAATGTGAGCCATAGGTCTCGGGTGTATTTGAGATATGCATAAACACGCTTTACAGCATTCCAGTGAGTAATTCCGGGGTTCTGCAAAAACTTTGCTAGTATGCCGACTGCATAAGTGATGTCGGGTCGAGTTGCTACTGATAAGTATTGTAGGGCGCCAACAGCTTCTCTGTAGGGCTTGTCGCGCATGTATGTGATATCCTCGACGGTAGTTGGCATCTGGTCCTTGGTAAGATGTATGTGTGGATCGAATGGGATGGAAAGGGGTTTGACATCTGCAAATCCATATCGAGATAGGATCACGTCAATATATGCCCTTTGGGATAAATGAATGGACCGTGTATGTAGAGATCGGCGGATCTCAATCCCTAGTAACCAGTGAATCTCTCCAGAATCGACAACTTCGATCTGGTCCCTGATCTTCTTCTTTAGAGTGTCCATTACAGCCATGGTCTTGGTAAGCATAGTCATATCATTGACGTGGATGAATATGATACAAAAAGGGTCAGTTCGATAGAATACGGCATGATCGAAATTTGACCTGGTAAGACCGACTGATGTCATGATCTCCCTGAATCTCATGTACCAACGGCGACCGGCTTGTTTAAGTCCATAGAGGGCGAGCTTGAGTTTAAGCACTTGTCCTGCTTTAACTTCAATGTCGACACCTGGTGGTGCCTTCATGTAGATTTGTTCATTGTTGTCCAGTTTACCATATAGATATGCCGATTTGACATCCATCTGGTGAATAAACATGTTCTGTTCGGCTCCTGTGCTGAGGATGGCTCGAGCTGCTGCTAGCTTTGTGACTGATGCGAACGTTTCATCTGGGAAGTAGTCAACGTCTGGTATCTGGTTAAAACCTCGTACTACTAGTCTGGCTCTGTGGCCTGTGACTTTTTCTTGTTCGTCTCGCTTGGTCCTGAATACCCATTTCGATGTGAGGATATTGGCATCATCAGGTGGAATGACAATATCATATGTCCCGCGCTGTTGTAATCTCCGGATTTCCTCATTCATGGCTTCCCGCCATTGAGACCAATCGGGACGTCGCATTGCTTCTGCAACTGATGTGGGGTCAGCGACGATTTCACCTGTTACTTGACCAAGTGATGCTGTAAGATGCCTGAGCTCTCGGTTCGGCTCTCCAAGTCCATTGATGATGTCCTGGATTTTCTTGGTCGGCTTCCTGACACGTTTTCCTGTGATTATATCTGGGTTGATGGGTTCAGCTATTTCCTCCGGTACTGGTATGATAGGCTGTTCCGACTCGGTGACCGATGTTTCCAGATTTCCCAAATCCTGATCCTCCCCCTCAACGGGTTGGATCTGCCTATCAGAGAATTGCACATTACGTTCAGTTGAGACTGTGTGGCGATCTGGCCAATAGATGAAGTAACCATTGGACTCTGGCTCAATGCCTACCCATCGTCCTTCCTGTGCTTGAGGGTCAAGCTTTCCAGGCTCCTTTTCACGTTTAACATAGACCGTGCTTCCAAAGATGTGGAAGTTGGAGATGTCGGGGATTGTACCAAATCGTTTCTCCCATGGGGAAATCATACCGTTTGCCTTCTTTGGTGTCCTGTTCCATACATATACTGTGTAGCCCATCATGAATCCCCAAAGCCATTTCGGTAATCCAGATGATATCATGAGGCTGCGTACTCCATTGAGTAGTGTCCTGTGGCTGCGTTCCGCTATGCCGTTGTGTTCCGGAGTGTCATGTACCATAAGGCTACGCTTAGTGCCTAATCGTTCCAGGTATGCTGTGAATTCACCACTGAGAAATTCTCCCCCTCGATCAGAGTGGAGTTTCTTGACCGTTACGCCATATTGAGTTTGGAGACCGGTTTGGAGTATTACGTATTGAGCAAAAGCCTCATCTTTGCCCTTCATTAACGGTTCCTCCAACCAACTGGTTGCTTCGTCGATGACTGTCAATACATAGACATAATGATTTAGCGTCTGGACAGAAGCTGGTCCCCATACATCCATGTGAAATACATCACCGAATTTCTCTGCTCTCGGGGATGTTCGAATTTTGGAGATCGGAGATCTGGCAGCTTTAGCAAGCATGCAAGTTCGGCATTCGGGTTCTTCCATCTGCTTAGGATCTAACTTGATCCCGTGAACCTGGTTTGATTTGAACATATGTTTGACATAAGCATAGTTCTGGTGGCCAGCGATGCAGTGTGCTTCATAAAGTGAAACCATCCTGGTTGCCTTCCCGGCATAGGCATATTCTGCGCTCGGAATCTGGTAGAGACCATTTGTCTTGGGAACGATTCCAATCATCTCCCCCTGTCTATTGATGATCTTAAGAGTTCCATCTTTAATTACCATCACATATCCTGCATCGTCAAGTTTACCCAATGATACCAGTGTGTTAGGCGTGTTGGGGCATAGGAGAGTGTTTTGGAGTGTAAGCGATTTCGAAATTCCATCCTCGTTGATTGGAAGATTGATCTGGAGATTTCCGGCAGTGTTGGATGTGAAGGTCTCGGCGTTAGCTGCCTGGATAATTCAGGTAGGGACACTTCGTGTGTTATGAAGTTTGTCCTGAAGTGGAGTCATGTGGGATGAACATCCTGAGTCAAACAGAATTGCTCCGCTGCTGTGAGATGCTACGAAAGCTGTCTCATAGTTACTAGCGATTTCGGAGAAATTAAATATTTCTTGTGACGTAGTTGTGGTAACTTCCACGGCTGCCCACGATGACTCGGGTACTTCCTCAATGGTGGCTGAGGATCCCACTTCTTTATTCTTTGATCTCTAATTATTACTGCCGCTCCCAGATGGTTGGTTTTTCTCCTTCTTTTGAGAACTCTCTTGGGCCTCGTTGGCCTGTTGTCGCTTTGGTGAACTACATTTATTAGCGAAATGCCCTTTTCCACCGCAATTGTAGCATGTGGAATTGTTGGAGTTTGGTCGACTTTGACCTCCTCCTCTATTATTATTTCCTCTGCCCCTGGACTGGCCTCTGAAGTTTCCACGATTTCGGTTAAATCCACCCCTGCCGCGGTTGGAATTTCCGCCGGCATAGTTTGCAGATTCCTTCTTTCCAGACTGTCCTCGGGTATGACCAGATGCTTCAGCACGTATTGTCGAAACTAGCTCCCTTGTGGTCAGCGGGACTGAAGTCCTTGCTGCAACCACTACCAATGCGTTAATCGTTGGTTTGAATATGTTTGGGATGGAAGCAATGATCGTGTTATTGAACATTTCCTCGGGAATGGTGATTTTCCGCGCCTCCAAACTGTCCCTGATTTCCAACAATTTATCCAAATGCTCATTAACCTTTGATGGTTCATGGCAGTGCATGGAATGAAGCTGTTGTTGTAAGTGCGCTTCAGTGAGAGCACTTTTCGAATCAAAATCACTCAGCAGATTTTTCCATAAATCAAACACATTTTCGTAATTCTTGTATTGCCTATAGATCTGGTCTGATAGGCGGCCCACAATGGCATTTAATAAATTTCCATCATCGTCTTTCTTGGCTTCCCATGCTTCAGTGTCATCTTTTGGATTAGATGTAAGGTGATTTGAAAATCCAATTGATCGGGTGGCTAGCTCCACTCGATTCTTCCACATGTCCCAGTTAGATCCATCACTTTTAAGCGTAGATACCTTGTCAAAGGCTTTGAATACTTTAGACATATTGTCGTCGTCGTCGTCACTTTCTGGATCTGATACTTCTGCTCCTGGATCTGGGTCTTCCGGATCTGGTGGAGGTGGTGAAGATCTTGGTAGTGAAGATATTGGTGATGAGGGTCGGTCTAGTACTGGGCTAGGTGGTGGTGGGAATACAGGATATTCTGGTTCTGGAGCTGGTGCTGCTTCTGGCGTACCCTCTGGTTTCTGGGATGATGATGATGCGACCTGCTCTGGGGGTGCTCCTCGTCCAAGTATAAGGTCTTCTTGCTTTCTGTCGATAAGTCTAGCAAAGCTGGGGATATAACCAGTTGTTATTTTGTCGTATCTATTCGGGCAAGGTTGATCTTTGCAAACTCTGTATTTGCTGCCGTCGGGATCGTGATACCGATCCTTGACGTCGTCTTTATCGAAGATATGCTCCCTATGAGCACAAGCTGCAGTTGGCTTGGTTGGACGGTTATTGGCTTTGCGAGGAGGGTTAGTCCTTAATGACATAAATCAATGTATGCACCGTATTTCTTGTTTATTTAGGTTAGGGCGGGGCCCATAACCTGTTAGAATATAATCACGTTATATTCAGCAGCAATGGCAGTAAGAGATAGAGTGCACACAGCACTGTAGTTGATCACACAGATCAAACGATGAAGGAGTAGAGAGAACTACTAATTCGACAAGACAAATACTACAGGTTTATATACAAGTCCAAGGTAGACGATGTCATGTTACAGCTAAACATAGCGAGAGAGAAAGGAAGTACAATACGATGTATCCTACTGGTAGTCCTATAGTAATAGTACACAATGGTGGGATTGATAACACAACGGTGAGACTAATAACACGATAGTGAGATAGTGGTTTGTAACAAGAGAACAATGTTCCATAGATGGTATGTGAGTCATCAAATGTTAACAGATGGACTATTTGAATACTTGCTCAGCTGGACAGCACTATCATTGACTCTAAAGTTATTATAGAGTCCTGGATTGGCAAAATTTCTAATCATTTGCAAAACATTTCTTTTTTTTCTGCATCTCCTTTTTTTAGTTTTGTTTGAAGCTAAAAACACCATTAATTTACTTAACTTACTAAGGCTGCTACAGTTAGACATCAATAAATAATGAAATTGCTGCACAACAAAATGTAATCATAGTATGTGACTCAATATATTCCATACAATGAATGAGTTTGGTGCAGCTGGAGTGTGCAGGTGAGTTTTTGTTCTTTTAGCACTCATGGATTCAATTCCTTATCTCATTATAATTAAAAGTCCTTATTACTGATCCAAATGAAGCATGAACTGTTGTTATTACAACTGCATAATTATTAAGAGCACTTCTTATAACAAGTCATTTATATACTATCTATTACTTGTTATCAACAATCTTCTTTGTACAATATCATTGACTGGGGCCCAACAATGCTCTCTAGCAGCCAAAGTAAGGCGAGTAAAAATATTAGGTGCTTCAAGCTGCACTAGCCAACAATACAGGTCTTGGAGATGAAAAGTTGAAGTTCTTTGAAATGAAGAGATAATATTTATGATTTGTAAGAATATTACTTTACTAAATCACATAGGGAATGTGTACTTACATGCAATATTGAGAAAGAGTCAACAAAAATAAAAATATGGTGAAACACCACATGTCATGCCGAAGTCATGGCTGACGCTGATCCCTGCCAGTCCGTGACAGTCACTGGTCACAACTAGATGCCACAGTGGATGCCTTAATGGCAGTTCAAATGAACTGCCATGGCTTTTGCGTCCCGTGTGACAAAAACTAGAAACAATATGTATCACGATATATTTTCGTTTTGCAAATCCATATCGACCTCGCCGTCGGCGTCAGCATCGCTATCGACACCACCACCTACTTGTCTGTCTCCTACTACGTCCCTGTTTGCGCTCGTAGTAACAGCAGTCTCCTCTTGGCTCGCACCAGCCAATTCGGCTCGGTCTTTCCCGTTCGCATCACCATCACCATCACCATTCTCGTCACCATCTTCCTCCAAATCAGCTTCAGCTTGCGCTGCATGTGCGGCGTTTGCTATCGCTTGTTCAAGGAGTTGGGTTTGGTAGTTCGAAATGCCATGAAGTTGAGATTGAGGTTGAGGGTGCAAAGAGGAAGATTGTGCAAATGTAGATGCAAGTTGAGAAGAAAAAGACCACGGTGGTATATGATTCGCGTCCTGATTGGGTTCCACATTCGAGGGTTCCATAGTGATGTTCGCAGTCGATGGTATTGTAGATGTCGGTGATATCTTATTTGACTCTCCAGTTGTTGCGGGATTCGAGCCGACAGTATCTGTCACAGTAGTCGGTATCGGATTCTGCGACTGTGCATGAGCGATAATGCTCGCCGATGTCGGTGGCTGGCTCAAAGATTGCTGAGCGGATAGTCCGATATATCTAGTAACGATCGGTACTTCATTGGTATGTGAGGCAGGAGGGATAACTGGTATGATATTCGAGTCTTCCGTGGAAGAGGGGGGGATAGTTTCTGTAGTCATTGGAACAATGGGTGGGAATCTCACCCCTGGTTCTAATTCTGGAGTCCTCTTCACTTGCTGTGAAGAAGAAGAAGACTCGTCAGGTTCTAATTCTGGAGTCCTCCTCACTTGCTGTGAAGAAGAGGATGATTCGTCAACGATTTTTGATTCGAGTTGAGATGAAAGATTATCGACAACGGTTGCAACAGGATTCGAGATCTGTTCAGAACTCGAGGAGGAGGTCTGAGGAGGAGGAAGAGGGGTAAAGGAATCTACAGTTTGTGTAGTTAAAGGGATCAGTGGTAGCGGTGTTCCAGAAGCCTTTGCAACAACCGCTCGAAGAAGGGGATGCAACTGCATTATCACGGCTTGAGTAGTACTAATTGTTTCTTCAGAAATTTCTCCTTCTTCTTCCCCACCCTCCTCAGCAACTGTCCTAGCCCTTTTGATGTCTGGTAACGCCTCATCATCGTCTAGTCCCTCTTGATCTTCCACTTCGCCTTCGATTTCGATAACTTCCGCTTCGTAGCATAATATGATAGGACGCCCAAGCAGTGATGGCTGCTGGGATTTAGCCACACTTGCATCTTTATGCCTCTTGATTGCGTCTCGCCGAGAAAACTTCTTGCCGCATCCACCACATTCGAAAGATTTGTGCTCATGAGCGACTTTGGTATGTCTTTTCAGATCATGATTTCGGAGAAAAGAGGCGGAGCAAGAAGGAAATGTGCATGGGAAGGGTCGGTCGTAAGTAGCGGTAACATTGCCGGAGGCTGAGTTGGGTTGAGATTGGTTGGAATGATGGGTGTTTTCATGAGTGCGTAGGTTTGTCAGTTGCATAAATGTTTTGTTGCAGGAAGGGACCATGCACGGGTGAACCATTGCATTTATATCCGCGGACTGACCGGTCCCATGAGCAGTATTCAATCCAAATTGGATTCCACTTAGGACTCCTAGCACTTGTATCAGACCACTTATCTCCTGCAAACTGGCGGTTGAAGCAGAGGCTCCTGATTCCACGGGCCTTGCAGCTGCACTGACACAGAAAAGGAAAATGTTGCGTAGCGACTCCTGTATGGAGGTGATGAGGGCTGGATTTATGGAGGAAGAGGTGTGCAAGGCATGTGTCACGACCTGAACTGCTTCGGATACAATGTCATATTTCGAGGGAACTTGAGGAGGAGGGATAGTGACAGGCTCTTCTTCGCGTTTTCTCTTGCCTAATATCTCTTTCTTGGCTTGAGCTGCGTCACGTCCCTTAAGAGATCCAAATAAAGCCTCAGATCCCGCGAGACCGACAAGGGTCTGGCTCAGGACGATAGCTGTTGGTTTTGTAACTTTTCCAGTGGTGAGTGTTTGGATCAAGGCGTCGAGCACGCTACCAAAGGGAGTACTAGGAAGGGCAGTAGAGGCAAGGATATTGTGAGCAACAGAATCGTGGTTTAGAAGTGCCATGATAGCTTTGATAGTGGATAAAACTGCTTCTTCTTTTTGAGAAGACCCAGGAGCGACAGTGGAAGCAGGATCGGATGTATTTGAGTGTATAGCAGAAACAGGATCTATTTCCATTGGTGTAGTCGACACTGATTCTGTGGTTGCTGCTCTCCGCATATCTTCCCAAAGCTGCTCGTTGAGTTTTCGAGCCATCTCTTCAGCTTGAGCATCGATATCATCATCCCCATCCTCTTCTTCATCATATTCTCCTTCGTCGTTCTCATCCCAATCTTCTTCAAGTTCTGCAAGCGGTGGGGATTGTTCCATGAAGTCTGCCGCAGATTCCGGTATGATTTCGCGAGCTATGATTGAAAATCACAGGAATATGAGGATGCGGACTTGGTAAAGTAGCTGACCGATACTAAGCACAACTCTGCAGAAGACAGACAGGAGAAGGACAGAATTCAGCATTTTCAGAGCTGTATCATTGATGTTTGGGTTTTCATACCTTCTGTAAGATGGGTGAATAAACTTTTGGAAAGCAGAGATTTAGTCCTTCCAAATTAAAGCGCCGTCCTCTGGGCGTTTATTCGTGTCTGCACGTGGGCAACGACGACGCGTACACATTTTAGGTCTTACTGCTAGTTCCTTCACCACCATCCTCATCACCCATACTGTTTCTTCTACATCATAAATGGCGACTGCTTCAGTCTATTCGAGTCCAGGCTTCGATTTTTCCAATCTGACAAGGTCAGTGACGACCATTACTTTACATCCATTTCGGCAACTCTCATCACTTTGTCTCTCTGAATTTGGTGTCCTACAGGAACAACTTTCTATCAGAAAAGGGTTTGCCTTTACCGAAGGCTACCAGTACCGGAACAACCATTGTTGGATGCATATTCGAAGATGGTATCATCTTGGGCGCAGATACAAGAGCAACAGAAGGACCCATCGTTGCTGATAAGAATTGTGAAAAGGTGTGTATTATATGGTACTTTCATATCAGGAATACGGTCGTAATTGCTCTTAGATCCATTACCTGACCGAATCTATCCGCTGCTGTGGGGCAGGAACTGCCGCCGACACAGAATTCGTCACTAACTTGATATCCTCAAACATGGAAATGCACGCTCTCACTCACGGACGCAAGCCTCGAGTAGTCACTGCTATGACAATGCTCAAGCAGTATCTTTTCCGGTGAGTGCCGATCTCATACTCCTATATCGCCTGCTTCCAGCTTATGATGATGTCTAGATACCAAGGTCAAGTCGGTGCTGCTCTCGTACTTGGAGGCGTAGACTCTACAGGCCCAAATCTATTCACTATTGCCCCTCATGGATCAACGGACAAGCTTCCCTATGTGACTATGGGCTCTGGTAGTCTGGCTGCGATGGCTGTCTTCGAGAGTAATTGGCGGGCGAACATGTCTGTGCGTAGACTTGCTTCCTTTCCTAGATCTGGTTCAGCTTATCCACTTTATACGTTCGTTAGCGTGCTGATGCTCTTCAGCTCGTCAAAGACGCGATATCCGCCGGTATCTTCAACGATCTCGGATCCGGATCCAATGTCGACGCGTGCATCATCACTGCAAACCACACTGAGATGCTTCGAAACGTTGAGATGCCAAACGAAAGAGTTCAGAAGGAACGGACGTATGTATTTCCAAAGGGTACGACAGCTTGGAAGAAGGAGGACATCAAGAAGCTGGTTTTATCGGAGGAGGTGACACCGATTGGTGGCGAGGCTATGGATACCGATTGAGTAGGTAGCCTGTTCGTGAATGGAATTCAATCATGCTCAAACCCAATCCTGTTTTGGTCAAAAACGCGTAGTCCAATGGTATATTCATCTGTTGTCACAACAAGCAGGTACACGAATAAATATTTTTGTAAATTATAGACCTTTAAGGCCTGGTCGATTAAATATCCGGAGACATTTCACGCTGGGAAAGATTCCAGTTTGCAACAAGTGCGTCGGAGAGGGATTGTCCCAAGGCGAAAGCTAACGGTACCGGAACAGCATTACCAATCTGCTTGTAGGCCTGGACAAATGATCAAAAATAGAGTTCTTTTGAAACACCAATGAAATGTACCCTGCGAACGTCTTCCTTGAAATATTCTGCCTTGAGGAATGTGTACCAGTCTGGGAAACCTTGGCAACGACTAAATTCTCGGACAGTAATGATTCGTTTTTGCTGAGGAGAGAATGAAGACTTAGAGGTAAACGAATAACGCAACGATGATCCTACTCACTGAATAATGAAGCAAATAAGAATTCTTAACGGCTGGACTACAATGGGTCAACGCAGTCCTGAAGCATTGATTTGGGTTGAGTCGCAGATAGATGACTATAGGGCTCAGATCAGATTGTATATGTATTCCTGACGCGGTATTCTAACCGGGAAGTAGTTTCTTCTTTTCCAGGTGAAGCTGAACAGGTGCGTCTAATTCGAAATGAGAATAGAAATTAATCCAGAATGGAGTGGATTTGCATACCTTGGAGCGAAGCCCCCGGCTTCATAGGGACATTTATTGTCCTAGATCGGTAATCACTAAAACTACGGAAAAAAGACAGATCAACGTAAATACATACCGTTCAACAATCAAAGGGCTGAACATTGGCGTGACATGCTCTTCGACTACTTCGTTCATTCCTTCTCGAATGAACTTCTGGAAGTAATTGATAGGAGGATGAGCGTATTCCCCAGAGAGAAAGCCTGGAAGATCGCGACCATGCGTGGCTTGAAAACGAGGTATATTACGAACTTCATCTTGCTCCGTAGCAGGAATCAATTCGTGAGGATTGATCCTGTGTTTATATCAAGAATATGTCAGGTATACCAAGTTAATGCAATTGAACAGGCGCGTACCAGTCGAACGCAGGCTATTCCCCAAAAAAAGTGAGAATTGAAATTAGCCTTTTCGAGTGAAACAAGCACATACGAGATCGCCAATGGCGTCATTGACTGTTACTGCTCTAAATGGAGCAAAAAAGTGAGGCCTCGCTGGATCTCGCGAACGGGTGGATCTCGAGAGTTTGAGATCTGCATGCTGGAGTAGGTGGTGTTCTTTGGCTGCGTATGCATGCGTAGGAATCGGGAACTCAGGGAGTTTTAAGCCTTGTCTAGCTCCCCAGAAAATAACTCGTTCACGGCTTTGAGGAGCACCGTAATTTGCTGCCTGGAGAACCTTGACACGGACTTGGTATCTGTGTCATCATGAGTGTATGGATATAAAGGGACTTGGAATATAATTATGACCAACCCCAATGTCAGTAAGATACGGGTAATAAGTTTAAATACCCCATGCTGGATTCCACCTAATATCGAACGTCCTTCTAATATACCCAATAGCCGGTGGCGTAACAGCCCAACGACATTTTCGAGCAGGAAGTATTTGGGAAGGTATCTCTCCACATAAGATAACATGGTAAATGGAAGTGTGGCTCTGAGGGTGATTATTTGAGCAAACAATTTCAAATAGCAAAAAATGAAGGAGGACCTGATATCATCTTGTTTCTGTTTTGAGATGTGAATGAGATTCAAATTGGATTGGGGATGAACATTATCGCTTACTCGATTATGGTTAGCGCCACTGAAGGCTTGACACGGAGGACCTGGAAAACGCACATGAGAAACAATTCAAAGAGAAAATATTGCAAGAAAATATACCTCCAACTATAATATCGATATCACCAGGCTTTGGGAACGGTTTTCGATTCAGGGATTCGATATCGTCGCCATTTTCGAGCTCGCGCAAAAGCTCAACCACATCTTTACAAAAGACAGCGGTATCGGAATGGTTCATGCTAGGAAAGGATAGTCAAATCTCAGGCAGGCTCAAGCAAGAAAATAACCTCACAGGTAAGTTTCGGCAGCATTTCGGTCGTATTCCACGGCTGCTACTGTTTTCGCGAAGTTAGATTGCTCAATGCCCGTTCCGAGACCTCCAGCACCTAAATAATTGTATTAGCGGATGCTTCCAATGTGAGAGTGAAGAAAGACAAAGAGAAAAGTCACGAATAACTCCTAAGTGACTACAACTTCAAGAGACATAACCCACATACCACTGAAGAGTTCGAGCATCGATAACAAGCCTTCCTGGGCAAGGTAATCCTTATATGTTGCTAAGTGCCTTTCATGCTCTTGCATGCATGGTGCACAATGTTTGAAGTTTTTAGAATTCACGACATAGAAATGATCTTTGCCCTTTATCCATTCTGCGAACCCATCGACGGATTGTCGAGGGAAGCATGCGACGAAGCATTTCCCATCGACTCGGTCGAATGGGATCATCACTTCCGGACCGTCGAACTCGAGCAGTAGCTGGGGGGAGAGAGAGAGGTTGTTACACTTGCACGTCAAGAAGGATGGAGAAGACTCACTTCATCTGCGAAAGATTCTTCGGTAGTATGGCAAGTATCCATATGTTTCAACATGCGGACCTTTAGCATGGCTGAATTCGAAGTACGAGGTATAGAAATGATCTGTGCGATACCTAGCAATTCATCATTTGATTCTGCAGGACGTATATAAACGAATTCATGGGTATGGTAATCAACACCAAACTGCGATATGCAGTTCCCTTTGATACGCAAACTCTCCTGTTCCTTTTGACGTTCATTCAGGACACAAGAATGACATCTACGGTAATCAAGAGAAAACTCCAAGTCCTTATCAACTTCCTCTTGCAGTGGAAGCGACACAAAGGTGGGATCTTCGGAATCAAGCCACGTATACCTTTGAAACAAACATCAACTCAAAGAATTCGCAGCCGCCAACGAAGCTTACTGGCAGAAATAAGTGTCTCCCTGAAAGTTTCTGTCATCCTCTCCCTCGAGTTCGTGGATTTGAAGAAATTTGACGTCACATTTGCGAAAGATAGAGCTCGCGGGGGCGTCATCACAGTCTTTTGTGAGAAAGAGGCTGTGAGAGTGGGCAGTCTCTTGCAAGAACGTTTTGGACCCATGTTCTAACCAGCGTCCATGAAATTTTTTCGAGTGCGTGTCGGTGTCCTCGAAGAAATAACAAATTTGGATGAACCTACATGTGTAGCAGGTTAGTTAGCTACGATCAACAAGAAATTAGAACGCTTCCATAAAGGACGTACCAGAATCGATTTGCATTTCCATTCGAGGACTGAGACGCCTTGCTTTTGTAGTTGCCCTGTCGGCCTTTTCTATCATCATCGCCAGGCTCTACCATTACCACATCGCCAACCTACATAGAGCACATCAGTATTCAATTACAGAGGTATCTTTAGACACTTACCTCATACTCCTCACCGTCCAAGTTGATTGTGTTGAAGAAAATCTTATTTTCCTCCACTGCCAATTTCTGACCCCACTTCATAGATTCCGGATGTCCTGGATGAGACGCAAAGTTGGTGGTGACTTCGCGTTCCACCGCTTTTTTACTAGAAAGATCCGGACCTATTACTTCGAACTTATGCCGGAAGAACTTCTTTGCGATACGATGAACATTAGGGGTGAGTGCGGAGATCATTTCCGAGGAGCTAACGCGAGTATTACTGCGAGAAGTATTTGGCCGACTATGGTTATCGGATTCGAAGTATATGGAAGTATCTGAAGAGTATTCGTCATCGTAGTCATTCTCATCAATCGCCAGGGAGCTGCGAGCAGTGGAGGGAGGTATTGTCGGGGTGAGATACCCAGGTTGTCGCTTTGAGGTCGAAGGAAACGCGGTCTGCTGACAAAGTTGAGTGCATGGCATGTCTCGCTGGAAGATGTGGGACGAACCAAATTACTGCCCTTGTGCTTGGAGCTACCTGCTATCCAATTGCTCCTGACTTTGTCCCTCGACGTTCGACCTTTTTGACTGGAAGTGAGAATTGGAATCTCAACGAATACTCTGGAATTGGATGGTTTCGAGGGCTTCCTTCGAAGTGTGGAATGTTCAGGTGTGAGCCTTGAAGGACCAGCATCAATGTCCAATTCCTTTTCCTTTCCTTTCCACCTCTTTTCAGCTTGAGCTTCCTCGTTTGACGCATAGGCTTCCTCCTCCTCCTCCTCCTCCTCTTCCTCCTCCTCCTCCTCATCATCATCATCATCATCATCATAATCTTGCCGTATCCGTTTCGATGGCGAACCTATATGTTCGAAAGAGATATCAGGGTCTTTGCGTTTCAAAGATGAGGTCGCAACAGGAATCTCGACATGTGAAAACGTTCGTTTAAAGAGTCGCTTGGTTGGACTTGCCACTGGACTCTCGGTTGTTCTTGGGGTAGGAATGATGGAGTTTGCAGTAGGAGATATATCCTCATCTTCCTCGAGCACTTGCAAGTATTCTTTCACCTCGTCCTCGGATACTGTTGAATGATTCCAAATTGAGCCAGGTTCGAAATCGAGAGAATACAAACACACACGTTTCCCCAACCGGCGCAAAATCTCCAATGCCTCTCTTTTTCCTTCAACTCTTCCGCGGCGAAAGCCCCTCTCAAAAGGCTTTTCGGCCATTCTTGAGAACGTCTAAGGACAGAAGACACGGGAAAAAATAAAGAGATTGACAGAAAAATTGAGCCTGAGAATCCAAAAAGCGTCCTTTGTCCGGAAATGGCTTGGTCAAAGCTGGACCGGATTCGAAACTTCGAATGAGTATCTTCCAGCAATATATGTACATGGAATCCATAAAACCAACACGATAGCGACAAAGAACAAGATATCAACAAGCAAATAGGACGTCCTCTAATACACTACGCATCTAATTCCATGAATACCAGTTTAGTTCCATTTGCTTGTCGTTGCAGAACCTCAAGCCTTTCGTACTAAAATAATTTAATTTGCATTAGAAGCTATACAGCGTAGAACTGGAAAATTCATCACCTCGTTGATTGTTTCCATTAACTGCGCCTCCGTAAAACCTTTGTTGAGGACTCGACTCCGGACATCAACCATCGAAAGACCCGCCCCAGCTTCGTAGTCGGAATCATTATCGTCATCATCACTATCCACATCCATGTCTCGCTCCCTCGCCGGGCCTCTCCCAAATCGTTTTTGAGGTTTTGAGCGACGGGCCTTTCCTATCCCAGCCATGTTCTTGATGATTCGATAAATTCTACTCATCGGCGACCTATCTGGCTCGCGTTCCTGGTCGTTATCCTCCATTAAGCTTTCTTTGCTGCACTCCATAAGCCGCAGAGCCTCGTCAACGTCATCATGTTCCACGGTCTCGGAGAATCGTAGACGCGCAAGAGCCTGGGCAAGTCGAAGAATTCCAAGAAGGGTTCGTGCCGAGGTGTAAGTATGCGAGTTATTTTCTTCGACATCAATCTTCGATTTCTTGCGGAGTTTGACGTACGAATCAACTACATAACTAGACACTCGTTGAGATACAGTAGGTCGAATAGTGCGAGCCGCGGCGATGTAGTGTCTAAGAAAACATGGTCAGTATCCTTCCGAAAGGGGTGATAATGCTTCAGTACCTCATAACATTGGGTTGAAAAATTTCGATACCAAGGTCAGGATGCGTGTTGTGCATATGCACATACGTAACGTGCTGCGCCAAGCGTTCATCATCCTCGCGGTTGGGTTTGTCAAGTATCAAGAAAATCAAGTCGAATCTGGAAAGCAAAGCCGCAGGGAGGTTGATGTTTTCTACTGGTGAAAGTTTTAGATTGTATCGGCCATATAACGGATTGGCCGCAGCAAGTATGGAAGTTCGAGCATTAAGGGTGGTAGAAATACCAGCCTTGGAAATGGAGATGGTTTGTTGTTCCATGACTTCGTGAATAGCGGTTCGATCTGATTCCTCCATTTTGTCAAATTCATCGATGCAGCAGATACCATTGTCAGCAAGTACGAGCGCACCGCCCTCTAAAACATAAAATAAATGACCCGTGAACAATAAAAGATTGAACTACCAACCCAGAACCATCTCGTCTGTGACAGGGTCCCGCATAACCGCTGCTGTCAAGCCGACGCCCGAAGAACCTTTTCCAGTCGTATACACACCACGAGGGGCGATTTTTGTGATGTACTTCAACAGCTGCGATTTGGCTACACCAGGATCACCCATCAAACAGATATTGATGTCTCCCCTGATCTTGAGACCGTCTGCAGTAATTTTGGTCACTCCTCCAATGAGGAGTAAGAGCAGCGCCTTTTTTACATCGTCGTGACCATAAATTTCTGGAGCAATACTTTGGGAAAGTTTTGTGTACAAGGATGGATCAGTTTTCATTTCCTCAATGGTTTGTTGCATTTCGGGCGTGATCTCCATTTCGGCGTACTGCTTTTTCTCTTGGTGAATGTGATGAACTTCGAGGTAGGTGTCGGTGAGAAGGCCAGCACGTATTGCCTGGAAGCCGGTATAAGGGATGGGAAGAAATATTCCACCTAGGTGAACGACATCACCGGGATTCATGAGACGAGTGATATTTCCATTGACGTGAACGGTCATCGAACGAGGAATATGTCCAACGGGTACTTGATCAGCCTAAACAAAAGATAAGTATCACAATAAACGCTAACAAGTTCGACACACCAGTTCTTGGATTTTAACCTCCTGGAACGGACTGAATCGACATGCTCGAGTTTGCATATGTAAGGTGCCAGTTATGTTGTTCTTTTTGCATTCATTAACGTTTTGACAGTCGGCAATGGGCATAAACGTCTTGTTCGATATATCCTGAAAAGTCTCTGAACCACAGACGTCGCACGTATAAGCATTTACTTGAAGGAGGGGTTTGACTTCGGAGACTCGCGTAACAATGCCACGAACAGTGATGAAATGGCCCAGATGTGAGCCATGTACTTCCCGGACGGCTAGGGAAATGTCGCTCTTAAGTGGCTGGAAGTAAAGATTGCTAGAAAAGAAAATGAGCAATGAAACCAAATGCAGAACATAGTGCACACACTATCTCCTAAGAAGATGGTCTGGAAAACCATTCTCTGACTCCGACTCGCGCTCGTTCCGCTCGCGACGTTGGTGTAAAATGACATCTATGACTTCATCATGCTGGCTGATGTCCTTTGTAGGTTCCGGCATGATCTTGTCCACGACTTCGCTGAAGAGGTTGACGTATCGACGCGTGTTTTCAATGATTGAAGTCACTAATTCTGCTACAGTGCCTTCATGCTGTACAGGACAATAAGCAGCTATTTTGAGTGCTTGAGTGGAAAGCCTACTGTGTGTATATCCTCGAGATCAATGAGCAGCATTTGTTGTTCTCTGTTGGCTATTCGTTGCTGGAGGTGATGGTCAGAAAACGCGTCGAAAACGCGAGTAATAAAGTAGATCGCACCAGCTGCCGCATGTATGTGGTCAGTACAGTTTGTCCCAATATCTCTTGGTCATCGATACCAAAATCCTGCAGCGTGTCCTCTAGGTCCTTCTCAGAAGACTTGAACGTTGTTAAAAAATTCTTGATCCTCTCTGAGAAAAGATGAGCACATAAAAGAAAGTATTGGGCTCTGACTGACCCTTTTCCGCCGCGTAGTCGGTATGAATATCATCTCGTACGTTGAGAGCCATGATAGGGAGAGCTGGGAGGTGGTGGTGATGGTAACTCTTGGCAAGTCACACCATGTGATCTTGTCCCTCGGAGTCACTTCCGAGTCAGAATCATTATCTTTTTTCCTTGCATCGATGGCTGCAGGAACTCTTACTCTGTCTTCTAAGCTAACCCCATTTCCCTATTCTGCGATTGCTATCGCAGCTTACACCGAAACATCAGAAATAGTTTACGACGAAGCGGCGATTAGCGTCCTGCTAAATCTTAATGGATCGAAAATTGATACAGAGGAAGAAATTGTTCACGCTTTGGCAAAAGCTGGAGGGCTGTCTGAGGACAGTGCAAAGGTATTTTGCCGAACTTCTACAGTCAAAAAATCTGCTTATCTTGTTATCAGGCAGCATTATTCTTTGCACTTGCAAAAACTCTACGTACTGTCACTGCTGTCCCAGAGATCGTGACCGGATTAGATTCTCTCGACGACCATTTGGCATGGCGCACATTTCTCGTTGGCCATAATATCACATCGGCCGATTGGATTATTTGGGGTGCTTTAAAATGTACGAAGAAACTACGCTGCAATATATACCCGCCTCCTACTCATTACTTTCAATCCAGCAAGCACCAAAATCATCGGGCTGCTTAAGAATGGGAAACACGCTCATCTAACCCGTTGGAACACTTATCTTGAGTCTCTTGAGTCTACCCAAGCTGCGCTTGCGGGCCTCACTGCAGCCAAGGCAAACAAAGCACGGGGTACTAAAGTTGCAGCCGGGTTTGCCCTAGGTCTGGAGGGTGCTGAAATGGGCAAGGTCGTCACCCGTTTTCCTCCTGAGCCCAGCGGCTACCTTCATATTGGACACGCCAAGGCTGCTATGTTGAATCAATACTTTGCGAAGATGTATGAAGGAAAGATGATCATTCGATTTGACGATACCAACCCATCTAAAGAGAAGGTGCGCCTTGGTTCGGCCCTCAGTCGACTCTTGATCTCAATATAGTTCAGACTGAGTTTGAAGACACCATCCTTGAGGATTTGGAACTCCTCGAAATTCGGGGAGACGTCGTTACCCACACTTCGGACTACTTTGATCAACTTTATGATCTTGCCATCAAGATGATTGAAATTGGAAAGGCTTATGCCGACGATACTGAAAGAGAGCAGGTATGGTAGTGCATATTCCGCGGTTCTATGTTCTTACATCGGTGCACAGATGCAACACGAGAGACGAGAAGGTATTGCCTCTGCCCATCGTGATGACAGTGTTGAAGAGAATCTCAAGCATTTCGCCGAGATGAAGACTGGCTCCACCGAAGGCTTAAGATGGTGTGTACGTGCAAAAATGAGTGTCGACGATCCCAACAAGGCGTTGCGGGACCCTGTAATCTACCGATGCAATCCTCAACCTCACCACCGTACAGGGTAAGTCTTATTTGACTTTCCCGCTTGGTGATTACTAATCAAAGACATACTATCCAGCGATAAATGGAAGATTTACCCTACATACGACTTCGCTTGTCCGGCTGTCGACTCCATCGAGGGTGTTACTCATGCACTGAGGACCAACGAATACCGTGACAGAAATCCCCAATACTGGTGGATGATAGATGCACTAGGTTTGCGCAAGGTCAAAATCTGGGATTTCAGGTCCGAATAACTGTTCCGATATACTGCACTTGAACGTTAATTGTCCAAAAATAGTCGCTTGAACTTCATCTACACTTTACTATCTAAACGCAAATTACACGAGTTTGTCAACAATGGTCAAGTCCGCGGTTGGGATGATCCTCGGTTCCCCACCGTTCGTGGAATTCGTCGACGTGGATTAGCCGTTGAGGCCCTGCGACAATTCATGCTGCTGCAAGGCCCGTCGCAAGCCATTGTTTCACTCGAGTGGGACACCATCTGGGCACTCAATAAGAAAGTTATCGATCCCATCGCTCCTCGTCACTGGGCTATCCTCGAGGACAAGAAGTAATCTGATCAATTGAAGGTTCTGGTGTAGGATGCTCATATATTTTCCTAGGGTAACTGTGACAATCAAAGGTGGACCTTCCGCTGTCGAGGTCAAAATTTTGCCCAAGCACAAAAAGAATCCTGATGTAGGCGAGAAAAAGACGGTGTACTCATCGACGGTCTTGGTTGATCAGGAGGATGCTAAATCATTTGAGGATCAGGAAGAGGTTAGTTCATGCCTTTTTCTGCACTCAGTCTCATGTTCTCTTTTCAGATTACCCTCATGGACTGGGGCAATGCCATCGTCAGATCCAAATCTGTTGACGCGACTGGTATCGTGAACTCAATTGAGATGGACCTACACTTGGAGGGAGATTTCAAAAAAACCAAAAAGAAAATCACCTGGCTCTCCCAATCTACTTCTGAATATCCGCTGATTCCTGTTACCCTCCTCGATTACGACTATCTTATCACAAAGAAAAAGCTCGAGGAAAACGACAATATCAAGGACTTCATAACTCCCGTCACCGAGTTCAGAGAATCCGCGCTAGCAGACGCCAATGTTAGGGACCTTAAAAAGGGCGATTACCTGCAATTCGAGCGGAAAGGTTATTTTATCTTTGACGGCGAGAACAAAGAGGATGGAAGATTGGAGTTCATAAGGATTCCGGATGGAAAAGCGGCAAATCTTGCTAGTAAAGCTGCACCAAGCTCACAGGCTGTTCCTGCATCTGCTGAAGGGTCCCAATCGTCTGTGACAGACGGTGGTCCTGTCATTGGGGATCCCGAGAGTGTGACAAAGATGTACAAGATGGATAAGGTGTATGGAGTCAACGTCAATCTCGAAGGCCCCGCCACGAAAATGTACAAAATGGAAAGTATCTATAATGTATAAAGCCACAGTGATTATCAAGAGTATGTGCGTTGTACTGAGCGGAACATTTGTATGAATCGAATCTTCCACAGTGTAAATCAAAATATTCAAAAGATGCTCGACATTTTACCTGAATTTTACCTGGATCGAACTACTACCGAATCTTACGACAACTTTGCGATTCCTCAAACTATATACCGTTTTCCAAAGTGGTACCGCGAGAGTCGCTGGTCGAGAAAGTATATCCACAAATAACCTACACCAGGATCCTGAACGTGGGTCTTCCTTAACCGAAAGAAGGGGCCAAGACCAAGGGAATACTCACTACCGCCGTTCCTGATGTGACAATTAACTCCGTTATCTAGCCTGAGTCAATGGGGGGATGTGATAGAACCGTGTTACATGCCGTCCAAAAGAAGACTTAGTTAGTGAATGGCTTACTGTGGGTCGAGGAGTCTGGACGTTTGGGCCGTCTGCTGACTCCGAAGCCAGTAAAGAATCAAATATCCAACGCATGGCTTCTGGGCTCTTCTGGGATAGGCACATCTGCAAAACCTGTATGTTCGCCAGAGCAAGGGTACTGGCTGGAGAGCGCTCTCCAGCACCCAAAGCACCGAGAGCAAAATTTCAACCTTGCTCTGGGTGCTTTGGCTGCTGGGAAGCGCTCTCAGCTGCTTTCGGAGAATTAGCCGAAAAAACAGGTTTTGCAGATGCATGTTCAAGTTCCGACATTCATATGAAGTGCAGACCGGTAGAAGTAGTATTGAGATTTGATCAAAAGCTCTCTCTCAATCAATTGAATCTACTGATTGAACTTTAATCAGCTCTTCAGTGCTAGTAGTGAAGGCTTGCCTGGTTCCAAAGCTGTAGGGCTTCGTCGGTTGATTTCTGGTTGATTGTCCTTCCATATCGATAACTATTTAACTTGAGTCATACAATCATTTACACTATCAAGCTCAAATACATACGATTCGAAATATCTCATCGCGAAGCCCCCATGCATCAAGAGCAGAGAAACTCTATCGACGTCTCTTCCAATGTATACGTATGAAGTCAGTTTTCACGCAAAAGGAAGGCCTGTCTCGGCGATCGGCTGCGTACTATTCACGTGAGCCGTAGCTCACTCTCTAAACTTTTGAACGAGTTTCAACTCCTTCACTCAGATATACCCCTGGAAGGAAGGAAAGATCCCCACCAATCTCCATACATTAACCCTCAGGTCTTTATCCATCATCCCCTTTACGGCCGCTTCATACAATGGCAATGGATAGTTCACCCGCCTTTCATACTGGAACGGGATAATTTGTTCGAGCCAAAGGAATGGTTTTTGGACCCTTTGACACCTTATTCTATGTACAGATATTCTTGGACAAGGAGTCCCCTCGGGCTCCCCTCGCCATATCCTCCATACTTTGCTGGAAATCGAGTTTCCTTCTCCTAATATATCGGAAACTTCTCGCGTTTTCGATCTACTTTAGATTGCCATAGGTTGTTTTACAGCACCATCACTCACAGAGACTCACAGCAGTCATATGAATGCAATCGCATACGCACCCGTCGCATATCCACTTTCATAGATCACTCCAGTTGTTCCTGGTACCCAGAAATATTTCTTTGACAGATGGAGCAATGCTTGTCCCGTTGAACAGTCTCGTTAACTTCACTTTAGCGAATCCAGCCATTCAGGAAATGCGGTCACATATCCCATCTTCAAGGACCTCAATGACAGACACCATCTGCAAAACCTGGATTTTCGGCTAAGGACTGAGAGCAACTCAGAGCATATCCCAGCACTGAAAGCACTGAAAGCAGTTCGCTCTGAGTGTTTTCGGTGCTGGGAGCTGCTCTCAGCTACTTTTGGACCCTTAGCTGAAAATCCATGTTTTGCAGATGACCCTCATCGACCAAGCTCATTGAAACCCTCAGTCAGCCCCATCATATGAAAGCTGGGAAGTTTGATGTTTATCAGCACCATTTCATCTCGATGAAAGAAGTATGCTGGAAAGATCAACTATCGTGTTGACGTTCTATCGACTTACATTTACCAAAACGGAAGGAGGCAGCCTTTTTGCGATTGGTGGGCTTCAAGAAATCTAGCTGCGGATTGTCGTCAGTCACAGTACACAGTACACAGCGACACACCGATGATATAGCCTCTAAAATGAAGTGGATAATTTACTCTACACAATCTTGACACCCAGGCGATCGAAGGCTTTTCCGAGGAAGATCCGGAACCAATCTGCAAAACATACAGACTGGTGATACATGCGTTACTTTGAAGTCGTCAGTCGGGAGGACTTCTAAGGTACTTTGGTTTGGTCCTGTTGATATTCATCTCGGTGTCTGTCTCATTTTGTCATTTCCCTGCCCAAAAGTCGCAATCCTCTCCTCTACGTTAGGTCTCTACCTGCGCTCAATATTAAAGTGACAGGCTGATGAGTACAAAAACATGTTTGTTAGACAAGTGCTTCGCGAATTTCATTTGTTCACGAGATTGAAAGTCTATCTTGAACAGGGCTCACACTGCCCGAAAGACCGAACAGGGAAGGCGAGGGATGACGCTGAAGATAATTCACCCACGTAAATGGCAAGAGATAATCAGCTTTGACTGTACCATGTTCAATTCGGCTTCCTTTCGTTCAATAACTTGAGTCTCAAAAATTTCAATCTCCCACATTCTACAAATCAAAGTGGCCCGAATGCCTCGGTGAACACTCTTACGGAACCTAACAGAACCAGGGAAAGTCCGCCGATAAGTATTGACTTTGATTTTCGTAATTCTACTCAACTTCCAGTAATTGTCTTCCATGAACAAGGTACGCTTTCTGACGGACGTTGGGGCCAACATTGAAGTCTTCTTTCGCAAGAATAACACTCAGCTTTCCTGATCGCCGATGCTTATTCGATTGGATTCTATCTCCAATGCGGGATCTGCGCGGTAAGCGTTGACTTTGTGCCATTGTACATCATCAGGCCTCAGGCCTAGCACATCATTTGCGGGATAAGTTTTTAAACTATGGCGTCACTAATGACCGGTAGACGAATACACAGCTACAATGGTGACAAACCTGTACTTGGGCTTCTTAACCTACCAGTGGAGACAGTCCATGTCGAAAATTTCACGGATAGCAAATGATAGGATGGCGAATGACAGAACCCAGACAGAACCCATGTTCTTCATGCATTGGAATGTACAGAACTCAATCACTCATCCTTCTCACACCACAACTAAATACATTCATCCTCTATCTCGAGTCCCTGAACGGTAACGGTAAATGGGACTTTTTTGTATGGCCTTTGTTATTCAATATGCTCATGGCCGCATGCTGACACGTCTTGAACGCAGGAGGTGAAAATTTCACAGATTGCAAAGGGAAAAAAACCACTTTTTGGATGATCTTTAGCGATGCCTTGTCGTAACATGGCTGATTCGATGGAAGTTGTATTCATTCAGTTCTTCAATCGCGTAAGATTCTGTAAGATTTCTCATTTCCGTCTGCATTTCATGGTTCCTCCGAAATTAACCAAATTTTCAACGAAGCATTCAAGGCTACAACCTGTCTATACCCGTATTGCAAATCAAGATCTGAACCACGATTCACAAAACACTGTATCATGAAGTTTCGAAATTTTGCGTATAAAAGCTATGACAATTTGTCTCTCAAATTCGACAAGCATCTGTAACCAGAACTGCTAGTCACTACTTCTTCCTCACTCACTACAGCCATGTTCTTCGCTCGTTTCTTCGCGCTCTTCTTGTTCTTTGCTGTCTTCGGCATCGCCTCCTCTGTGCCTTCCGTCGCCGCCGTACAGAAGAGGCAAGACATTACTGATATCGAAGGCGTTTTCAACACGCTTAAGAGCTCCACTGACACTATCCTGCCCCAGATCAGTGAGTGTCCACCATCGGCGCGACATCGGTTGTTAACGTCTGATGTTTTCTCTTTAGCTTCCGCCGGTCAATCTGGAAACGCGTCTGCTGCTACCGTTACCCCCCTCATCAATGAGTTGACCGCGGCTTTCAACACTGCGTCCTCCTCGTTGGCCTCCCTTCGGACCTCCAATCGCAAGGCTCGCCGTCAATCCGAGCCGGAAATTTCCCTCCTTGTCGCTGGCATTGTCACTGTGGGTGTTTTGTGCTGCAAGTAATACGAACCAGGCTGATTCGAAATTTTAACCAGGACGTTACCCAATCTCTCGATACACTCCTTGCGGACCTCTCCATTGTCCCTGAAATCGCCCCGCTCCTCGCTGGCGTCGATGTCGCGCTCAACGCGACTTTGGCTGGGCTCGAGATCCTCCTAGCTGGTGTTTTGACCCTTGTTTCGGTTTTGTATGTAGCTTTTTTCTACATGATGTATTTTTTACTAATGGTCCTCTCCTCATAGGCTTGTCAATGTTTCTGGGTTGCTCGAGAGTCTTTCCTTCGGTCTCACTCTGGCGTCGCTTGGCTTGTGAATGTGAAATAGCTGCGAGTATGTGAAGCTTGACAAGGCTTTATATCGTATACTATCTAGTTATCAATATCCTTACAGTATGGTAGCACTTTCTCGTCGAAATTACTTGGATTGCAGTCTCTTTTCAAATCATCCTTCTTTCATAAACGACTTGACATTCTGGGACGGTAGAATGACCATTTGAACTCCGTAGTGCGGAGCATGGAACGTGCGATGTAGCTTTGAGCTTGATTTGAAGTATTTAGGGGAAAGCTTTTACGAGTCCGAAATGTAATGAGGAATCGTCCTATAGTGGGCTTGAGCGTGGGAACATTCCTTTTATATTTTTCACCTTCCTTATATACTTTTTACCTTCCTAATTGAGCGAAGTTTTTCCCCCATATTTAGACTGTCACTGCTGTGACTATATTAGAGATTTTTTTTTCACATCACGATTTTTGTTACTACGTTACTTTCCTGAGTTCACAATCGGCGCCCAAGGGCGCCGTACTTTTTGCCACACATTATCTTTGTATATTAGCTCTATCCAAATGTTGTTGTATCTACATACCATCTATCTATCTATCTATCTAAATGGTTTCTTGAGGATTCATTCCTGCCACGCGCGCATCGCGATGGCCCACCTTCGCACGTCATTGCTATCCCCCTGTTCAAGCTCTTGTCTACATCCTATCTAATCGCAGTGATGGTAGAGATAGCCAGCTTTGACCGTATGCCACAAAGGGCAATAGGGCCGAGTGAAAATAGCTGCGTGGATCATAGCGCGTTCAACTACAAATTTCGACTGCCTTAGACTGTCTATTGCAATGACATTGCTGTATGCATATGCAACCTCATGCCACCTGTGATTCAAGCAAAATATAGAATTTTAAGTCTGTTCAAGAAGAGAAAGACTGAAAATTCATAAATGGGATGATCCGGATTGCATCAACGATTCGAACATTTCAATCACTTGCGGGACCCCGTTTTAGACGGAGCCGCGTATCTATCTATCTATCTATCACCTTGCTTGTCAAGGTCTATGTATCTGCCACTGACAATTGAAGCAGTTCCCGGTGTCTTTTGTACACATGTACAAATAAATCAGTGATTTTCCCACAATAAGCACCCACTATACATACTTCAAAACTTCAAGTTCAGCCTAGTTCAGCCTGTCGGTTTCTCGACAACCCAATTACTGTATCAGGTTCAATGAGAAGATTTGAATTATGCTAGTAGCCTAGCATACTTGATTGAAAATGAATAGTACTATGTAAGTAGACCCAGTAAGATCTGAGAAATAATTCAGAGACTTTTGACTTGAAAAATATATGATCATCATGTACTTAGTGACTCTTCCAGTCCTGAATAAGATAGCTTTGAGCAAGGAAGGTGAGTGCCTTGGAATGAGGCCCTTTTCCAGTCTTACACATCAAGAGTCAAGGTACACCTTATTCCAGGCTTCTCCCGCACTTCACAGCGGGTATTCAACTCGTCTCCGATGCGTATCCTTTATCAAGTATTCCCGCTACCTTTAGGTAGTGGGTATTGTAGACCTTCAATTCAGGAACTAGGATTTTTTGACCGATCAACCGTTACCGACTATATAAGGATATTCTCCTTTTTTGGTTTGATCATGTGATATATGTTTACATATCACTTTCCCTTCAATGTATTCTCTTGTGCTCTCCAATGTTGCTCACAATTGCTGGCCATTCTTGTGCTACTGCCAAAGATGACACCATCTCTCAACCTGTCATCTCAAGAAGTTTCATTCACCCTGCTGGCTTCGGCGATCGGCAGAAGGATTCAGTACTCGCAACTTCGCTTATACTTCACCACATGATTTGTTCAAGTTGTTCTCGATGATCAACCCAACTACGATGCTGTTGATCCCAATTCCATAGATCCTCTGACTGTCTTCCATTTTACGACAGCCTGCCAAACATCCAGTCATCGCTTGAGTACTTCGTCCCTTTGCCCTCTCTTCTTTGTATACACAGGTTGCCTTGTGAGTATATTATTTACCCTGTTCTAGGCAGTTTTTGAACTATCTGCAAAACCTCAGATCTGCAAAACCTGGATATTTGGCTAAGCACTGAGAGCAGATCCCAGCAGATCCCAGTGCTGAAAGCATCGAAAGCAGTATGCTTTGGGTGCTTTCACTGCTGGGAAGTGCTCTCAACTGCTTTTGGACCCTTAGCCGAAAATACAGGTTTTGCAGATAGGCTGGATATTCAGCTAAGGGTCCAAAAGCAGTTGAGAGCACTTCCCAGCAGTGAAAGCACTCAAAGCATACTGCTTTCAGTGCTTTCAGTGTTAGAATATAATCAAGTTATATTCAGCAGCAATGGCAGTAAGAGATAGAGTGCACACAGCACTGTAGTTGATCACACAGATCAGACGATGAAGGAGTAGAGAGAACTGCTTGTTTGACAAGACGAATACTACAGGTTTATATACAAGTCCAAGGTAGACGATGTCATGTTACAGCTAAATGTAGCAAGAGAGAAAGGAAGTACAATACGATGTATCCTACTGGTAGTCCTATAGTAATAGTACACGGTGAGACTGATAACACGATAGTGAGATAGTGGTTTGTAATAAGAGAACGATGTTCCATAGATGGTATGTGAGTCATCAAATGTTAACACACTGGGATCTGCTGGGATCTGCTCTCGGTGCTTAGCCGAATATGCAGGTTTTGCAGATCAGTGGCAATTGACGAATTTAACCACACTCAGTATTCCTCAAGGGATGGAATGTATGCAAGCAGGATCTGCGGAACAATTGTGTTTTGGTCCGAAAATTGAATGTTACCAAGGACCCATCCAATTCCTATCTTTTATTACATTAAAATCGACATCACTTACAGACTTATACCTTGTAAACGAATTCTACTTTTTGACACAGTTAGATGTAGACTTGCCGACGGATTTGATTGTTGAACAGCTGCATATTAATTTGTCAGTCTGGGATAATGCTGCAGTGAAAATTCTTTTTCACAGAATATCTTCGGTGAAACGGTTATTTTACAATGGAATTCTCTACCAAGATGTCCTGTGGGTCTTTCCACTTATTGACTGAATGATGTTGACCAATTATAGGAAAAGTTGTATGAGGAAATTGTCGACAACTCCAAATACTTGCGGCAGCTTCAGCACCTTTCTTTAGTACCATTTAGTTCAGTGGACAAGCAATTTTTGGTGAAGTTGAAGGTTTGTTGTCTGACTGTAGTTTCGATACATATAGGCCAGGATCCATTGGTATCTTTCAGATAGTTGGAGGATTTGAACAATAGTTATATTCTTTGATTGTCACCGAATAGTACAGAGTTCTTATGAAATTAATATCCCATGGTGTAACGCATCATCATGGTGGAAAGTGCTATTTGAGATGGCAGAGGTTATTATTCTTATTCCCCTTGCTTGGTCACCGTAGCGGGCACTGCCGCTCGCCGGCGCTACCTGGTTATACTACAAGTATGCGGGAGCAATGTAAACTGGAACTGGACCCAACTTTGACCCAACGACGTCGTGAACCACGCTTTGACGATGTAGCTAGTATGTATAACATGACATAGTCGACTTTCAAGACCAGAAACTCTGGAAGGTTACGGTAGTGGACGTGCGCGGCAGAACCACGGTTTTGTTCAGGCCAGGAAAAACAGCGCTTCCGAATTCTTCCCACTCCACACCACTGCATATCCACCTTTACTGACAAGTTACCAAACCCAACTAAAAGTTCAAGTTCCTAGATGACCATTGTATGCTCGTTATGTGCTCGTTTTTACTGACACGACGCCCAGAGTGGCCGCACTTTATTTCTGCTGCAGCTCATCCCTCCGTCCTTACATGATGCCAAAGACTGTATATCATGGGGCCTAAGGAACAGCATGCAGTGAGTTGCCCTACAATAAATTTCGTCGCGATGTAAGTACATCATTGCTTATATGCAATTCAACGCTAGTACTTAACATCCTACGCCATTCTTTAATGAGGTTTGCGCTGATTCGTCATAGCTCCTTAAACTGAATTGTCACCCACAGAGAGTTCATATCTGTCTGTTTCATAGTTCCATTGAATTTAATCCAATTTTCCTAACGGATTAAGAGGTATTGCGTATTTGCGGATACCATGAGAGTACAACTCACTTGACGCAAGATATTTACACAAAACACAGATCTGCAACAAAAAAACTGGCCCCATCGAAGGCTCCCTTTTGCATATAAAAACCTGAACCTCTTGTCACTCAAGTACTACAACAACCTCCATTAGCCTCTTTGAACAGTCTCGTCTGACATCACCTCTACACCTAACACAGACAGCCATGTTCTTTGCTCGTTTTTTTGCACTCTTCTTCTTCTTTACCTGCTTCAGCATCGCCTCCTCTGTACCTTCCTCTGCCGCTGCGGTAAAAAAGAGGCAGGACACTGCTGATGTCGAAATAGTTCTCAACACGCTGAAGAACTCCACCGATACTATCTTGCCCCAAATTAGTGAGTGTCTGCTATCAACGCGACGTTGATTTTCAACATCTGATCTTTTTTCTCGTAGCTTCTGTCGGTCAATCTGGAATCGCATCTGATGCTACCGTCACTCCCCTCATCAACGAGTTGACTACGGCTCTCAACACTGCGACCTCCTCGTTGGCCTCCCTCCAACCCTCCAGTCGCAAGGCTCGCCGTCAATCCGACGACGATATCGCTGATCTCATTGCAGGCATCATCACTGTAGGTGTTTGTTTGCAATCTGGGACGGATATTGGTTCAAACTATGATGCAGGACATCGCTGACGCTCTTGATACTCTTGTTGGTGATCTCTCAGCCATCCCCGATCTTGGCTCGCTTCTCGACGGCGTTGATTCTGCGCTCCACGAAGTCCTGACAGGACTTGAGACACTCCTTGCTGGCGTTTTGACCCTGGTTGCCGACTTGTGTGTAGCTTTTTTATTCACGATATGCTTTTCACTCACGATTTTTGTGCGATCCTCGTAGACTTGTCAACGTCGCTGGGTTACTCAAGAGTCTTTCCCTAGGCCTCACTCTAGCGTCACTCGGCTTGTGATTATGTGCGGTCAATCAAATTACAAGGACGAGAAAGAATGAACTATACCGTATCACTTGTTCAAATTTCACCCATATCTGTAACTCAAACGGACATTTAGCCTGATCCACTATTAAATATTTATGATCAGATATACAGTCATCTACCATCATTTGGGACACCACCATCAAATGGGACAAACGATGTTTTACCATGATCTATAGCTATTTTGGTTTCGGAATTTTTTGAGGCATGCAGTAGGATAACCCCTTCAAAGTATTAGCTACTCAGATGAGCATGTATTTGCATAGTCCCATCGTAACACTCAGAAAGTGTCATTATGGGATGAAAATGAAAAATGTTTTGATGATTGCCATTGTTAAACTCGAGATGTGGTCTTATGGCTTGGTAAACATAATGATATTATCATTCAACACATTTGCCAACCTTCTAATACTATATATCATGGTATAGCAACATTCAGGTGAGGTGGAAAGAGTTGAGCAGGCGGAAAAGCACTTGAATTACGGCTTAATTACATCAGTTGAATATAAATAATTTCCTAAATTGGTTTATCTTACATCTTATCAGTGCATCCCAAATGCTCGTTTTCACTTGATAACAGATTTTCATACTGATTAGACCTTGGCACAACTATCCCTCCCTCGATAATGTATTTAGGGTAGTAGAAAGTTTGTATAAATGCTCTAATGAATGCCGAACATGCAAAAATACTCATAAATAAGGTGTACATGTTGAAATTTTGGTCGGAGAGATTTGGTCATCCCAAATGGTGGTAGATGACTGTAAGGCTTTACAAATTTTTGCCTTTGAATTTTAGAGTGTGATCTATAAACCGCTAGTCACATAAACTGTGACCACCGTTGAACGTTGAACCTCGTTGAAGATCTGGCGTTCATACTTTTGGTAAACGAAGAACTTACAATGTGATACATTTAGCTATGAGCTACACTCAAAATCATTGAAATCCGGTGAAAATCTTGCCCGCAATATCGTTCGATATCCTTGTTTTGGGAGCGCGATGAAAGGAAACGCGTGACACTCTGAAAAAAATAGCAATAAGTTTTGGATAAGTTTTGAAAACAAGTTTCGAGATTCTGCTCCGAACCTCCAGTATAGTATAGTACCTAGTAAATATGTCGTTGTGAGTATGATACTTGTATCAAATATCTGGCTGGAGCTTGGCTCCGCACGGGTGAGAAACTCACGGGAAAAAGATTTAAGTCTCAGAATGAACGGGCTATATTACAAGAGCCTGAACGCCGAAATTGCAAAAATATAGTAGAGATGGGCAGGTGGGGCACGAAAATGGTGAATTGAACTGATGAGAGTCGACGAACTTAATTGGTTTTAAATAAGCGCTCAGTTCGAGTCAAAAAGTGTCCACTAATTTAATTTGCGGCGGCTAAATTCTGCTCAGTGACGACTGCTTTGACCATTCTCTTCATTCTTTGATTCCTTTGAATCCTCTTGTGTTAGTGTATCATGCCTATGTTGTGAGCTCTGACACGTAATGCTCTCATGCTACTCTAATGAGCTATTCATTAGATCTCAACCTTCACAAAAGTACAAGCCGTACACACCTATCCGCCTACCAAGTCGTCAATGGCCATCGAAAACGTTCACGAAATCACCTATTTGGCTGTCTACCGATTTGAGAGATGGAAACCAGGCTCTGGTCAATCCTATGACAATTGAACAAAAGACGATATTCTTCCGGGAACTCGTTAAGTGTGGTGTAAAGCAAATCGAAGTTGCATACCCAAGCGCCAGCGACACTGATTTTGCATTTGTACGGGGTTTAATCGAGAAACATGAAATTCCGGACGACGTATGGATACAAGTTCGTATCGATCGACATGGATGTTATTTCTATCCCTGATAGCCATATGCTAGGTTCTGACTCCAGCCCGCGAAGACCTCATTCGACGTACTATTGACTCAGTCGCTGGCTCAAAGCATGCCATTATACACATGTATAATGCGACCTCTCCCACTTTCCGTAATGTCGTCTTCAGAAATTCCAAAGAGCAAACACTTGATCTCACCATTAAACACACCAAAATCATTCGCGAATTAACGGAAGAATGCACTCAAAAGTATGGTACCAAATTTATATACGAGTACAGTCCGGAGACGTTTACTCAAACGGAACCTGACTTCGCCATCGAAGTATGCGAAGCGGTGAAGAAGGCCTGGGGCAAGGCAGGATTGGGCGACGAGCGCATTATATTCAATCTGCCTTCGACGGTCGAAATTGCACCGCCAAATCACTATGCCGATCAGGTGCGTGTAGTACTGCTAGTGTTAACCCCGACTCATAAGCTGTAGATTGAAAACTTTTGCAACAAAATCTCAGAGAGAGAGAAGATTATTGTAAGTCTACATCCTCACAATGACCGAGGTGAGTCTATCCCTATAGTCTAAATACACATTCCCTGAGCTCGTTCCAAGGCACTGGTATCGCTTCTGCGGAGCTTGGAACTCTAGCAGGTGGTGATCGTATCGAAGGCTGTTTCTTCGGTAACGGCGAACGAACTGGCAATGTTGACCTTGTCACCCTCGCTTTGAACCTCTACACACAAGGAATCCCCCCTATGCTCGACCTCAGTGACTTACAGAATACCATCGATGTTGTGACCGCATGCAATGACTTACCTATCCCTGCACGGTACCCTTATGCCGGTGAACTTGTTTATACTGCGTTCTCTGGCTCACATCAAGACGCTATTAAGAAGGGTTTTGAGGCTCAGCGTCTGAAACATGAAGAGTGTAAGGCCAAGGGTGAACCGTTGATTTGGGACATACCCTATCTACCCATCGACCCGGCGGACTTGGGTCAGACGTACGAGGCGTTGATTAGGGTCAATTCGCAATCAGGCAAAGGCGGTATCTCATATCTCCTCAAACAAAATCTACACCTCGATCTCCCTAGGAAGATGCAGGTTGCGTTTTATCAAGTCGTACAAGAGGTTTCTGACCGCGAGGCAAGGGAGATGACAGTGGACGATATAACCTCAGCTTTCAAGCGCACGTATCATTTTGGTACAGGGCACAAAGGCCGTTTGTCCTTGCGCAGTTTCAAGATCTCTTCTCTGGATTATGAAAAACCCAAGCCAAAGGCTAAGTCAGATCAGGAATCGGGCGAAGAAGATGACACTCAGCGTCGTTTTGACGGTACCGTTTCTGTGGACGGTGTGTACCGTGTCATCCGTGGGAAGGGTAACGGTCCCCTTTCAGCTCTCCTTGACGCGCTCCGAACCCATCTTTCTTTGGATTTCGCAATTCGCGAATACTCCGAACACACTATCAACGACGCCGATGAAGGCGAAAACGCGCAGGCAGCATCATACGTCGAACTTATCTCTGCCACAGAGCGCAAGACAACCTCAACCAGGCAATCATGGTGGGGTGTTGGCGTCGACGCCGACATTGCTCGAAGCGGTTTGAGGGCAGTTCTAAGCGCTGTAAACAGTGCAATCATTGACGGTCGGGAATTACCCAAGCTGAAGCTCTCTGTTGGCTTCCATTCGAAATCTTCTGGGCAAGAAGACGTTGCCAGTGTCATCGTCAACCAACTCGGTCTCGAGCTCCCGCGGAGATTCCAAGCAGCCTTTTTCGAAGTAGTCCAACGGAAGGCTTTAGAGGAAGCGGATGAAATCTCCATCGACGGTGTGACGCAATTGTTCAAAGATACGTACAGATACCAAAATGATCGTCCTTCTACGAAAGTGTCTATGGAGTCGTTCAAGCTGGATCACTTGGATGGCAGTCGACGCTCCCTCTCTGGCTCATTTACTTTTTTCGGTGGCGCATCCCGCACCATTTCTGGCACTGGAAACGGTCCTCTCTCTTCCCTCCTCGCTGCGTTGCACACCCAGATTGCTGGTACCCTCTCGATAAGAGATTATTGGGAGCACTCGATCGGGGAGGGAAGCGAAGTGAGAGCGGCGAGTTATGTAGATTTGGTATATGAAGTTACAGGAGAGTCTACGAAAAATTTGAAGTCGAGTGCATGGGGTGTCGCGACTGACACGGATATTACTGCGTCGGGAGTGAAGGCGGTATTGAATGCAGTAAACGATTTGAATGTCGTTCTCAAAAACTGAGGAGTTGTGACAGTCAAATCACAAATGGGAATAGGCTGTTCATGGAGAGAAGAAGTTGAGTAGTAGATACATGAAAAATAATGTCGTATCACTACCGTCGAAAATATAATCAACCCCATTGTTGTGGACTGACTAAATTCGTTCTTCATTACAGCTCGCATACCTGCTTTCTCGAGATTCGCCGGATGCAGTAATTCTCTTCCTTGAATGGGTTTCAACAGTGTTCAACAGACCGTAAACACGACATCCAGATGTTGGCCACGTAAGGGTAGAAAGGTATCCATTGATAAAGAATCAGTAAGATGATACATCGTGGTTACAAGAAAGTCTGAAATTAGTGGGGGCAGGGAATGCCAGTGAAATACAGGCTTCAGATATCTTCATTTATAGTCGGGTCATGAAAGTAAGGGATCCGAGTGAAGATCCGAGTGAAGACATCTTGACGGCACGTAGGAGGAGGGTATCCATTTCGCATCGTCAAGGGTTTACCACTTAGCCTCCCGAAGTCTAAGGTCCGAAGTCGAAGTCGAATAGCTTAGAGAGGTATTGAAATGGGCAAGTTTTCAAACAAGACTGTGGCACCTGAGAAGCTGAAAAAGATCCAAAAGAAAATCCTCCAACATTTTATAATGATGGGATTTGGTTTTGCGCACAACGTCGAGCACAAGATAGTTATCACAATAATAAATCAACCTCATCATCTCCCAAATCCACCTTCGACCCGGTTCCGGTTCCCAATCCCGTTCCCATTGTGGGTTTTCGAGCGGGCAGCGGAGGTGGTATGGACGTCGTTTTTAGTGTCCCTGAAGTTCCTGTAGAGGGTGCAGGCGAGGGTATAAGTGGTATAGGTGGTATCGGAGGCATTGAGATCGCGGGTACAGGCTTTCGTCGTAAGCTTCCCACGGAAGGAACACTCCGTAGGCTATGCGAGGATGAAGTTGTACTGGCCGTACTTGACTGGCGCTGGATACTCCCTACACTTTTTAGACTTCCAGTTCTCTTCGCCCTCCCAGTTCTCTCCAGCTCCTCACGTCTTAATTCGGCATCAATCCTCCACATCCCCTTAACAAATGTATCGCAGTCGAGGAAGCCTGTGTGAGATGAATCGCATTCGAGCCTACAATATGGGAAAATGATTAGCTGCGTTGTGAATGTGCCCTAGTAAAAGAAAGATAATTACCAAATCGCACTCAGTTTCTCCCTGTTCAAACGAGATTTTTCCCAGATAATGCGCACGACAGGTCCAGGGAGTCGGTTGAATTTATTTTGATCATTCTCGCCTGCTGCATGACCACTATCTTTATCTTTATCCTTATTCAACACTACATCATCTTTATCATCCGATGTAACCAAGTCTATTGAAAGACCCCTCCATCCTTTGCGTGAAATGGCCAAGGCAGCGGAGGGGGAAAGAAGAGCGGGTTTTGAGGAAGAAGTAGAGGTGAGTGGACCGTTCGAGGCAGCGATGTTTAGATTAGCCAAGTTTGCGTCGAAGACGGTTTCATATCGCTTCCGGGCAAGTGGGGGAACAGGCGTGGGACGAGCGAGAGCAAGAGAGGAAGTAGACGGACCTGGTCCTGTTGTCGAAGTTGACGACGAAGAGGTAACAGAGGAGCTAGAGGAAGAAGAAGGTAGGTATTTCAGCGCTTGAGGTTTTAGCGGAGTTGTAGGTTTGTTAGGTGGAGGTGGAGGTTTGGATTTATACGCCTGATACGGCGGGTAACCATGGTTTATCGAGCTACTGTTTGTCGAGCTTACATTGCTCGTGACAATAAGGACAGATGACCGATCAGAGCCAGCAGTTGTAGATGTGGATGCTCGATTACTACTGGGTGGTGGAGGGGGCGGCCGTCTGCCATTGGATGTAGTCGCAGATGGAGGTCCAGATGAAGATATGGACGATGAGAAAGATGTAGAAGCGGATCTTGGAGGTGGAGGTGGAGGTGCTGATTTGGTTTTTCCTGCGATAATAGGTGCGGCGCTTCGTGGTCGTTGAAGATTCGAGGGTAAATTATTCAACTGGTTCCAATCCGCCGTTAGCCTTGCTACGGCACCAGGACTGCCAAGCGAAGTAGTAGAATCAACGTCCTCATAAGGCTCTGATTCCAGCGATACTGTATCCTCCTCCTTGTTAAAATCCCGGCCCGAATCAATGACAAGGGAATTTACGGATTCAGACGACAGGGAAACTGAATGGAACGATGAGACGGACAATGCTGGAACATGATTTTGTTTCCTAGATGGTAGTGGAGGTGCAACACTGGTGGTTATTATTGTGGGTGTCAAGGCAGTGGCTGTTATTGGCACACTAACCCAGTCCTCCTCATGGTCGCCGTCACTGTCTATGATGAGATTTGATCGTTTTTTTTTACTGCTGCTGTCTGCTAGCGATTGCGACTCGAGCGCTTTTATACGCGAAAAGACTGATGTAGGCCCCGGTTCTGCTGTTATATCGCTTGCCATTTAGAAGTATAAAGTGATATGGTCTTCGTTGTAATGAACGTGGCCGTCGGTCGGGACGTGGCGTCACATAAGTCACATGGTATATGCCGACACTCTTTTCTGGTGTCGTCGACAGCAATGCAAATCTCAGGCTGTGATGAATGACTGGGGGCAAGGCCGCAAGCGGCAAGGGCCGAACATTTAGTACTACTATATCCAATATATACATAACTGGCCAATCTCCTGAGTATTGTGATGTGTGTATACACAAACAGTATAGCACTTTGTAATGCCCTGTAAGGCAGCAGCCCAATAGTTGATTGTTGAGTATGTTGAGTGACCATGTTCATGAATGATACTTACAGAACAGCAGCCATCAATGGCCATCAATTGGCACTCTGCCTGCCAATCTGCAAAACCTGTATGTTTGGCTAAATAGCTGAAAGCAGTTCAGAGCAGTTCAGAGCACTAGCAGTGAAAGCACCCAGAGCAGGCTTTGATTTTTGCTTTGGGTGCTTTTGTCGCTGGAGAGCGCTCTCCAGCCAGTATCCTTGCTCTGGCAAGTATACATGTTTTGCAGATGCATCTTCAAGTTGAAAATAGTACATGAATACAACCATGAAGGGGCAAATGGGGCAAATAACTCTTACACTGTACAAGTCATTTATTTCTTAAGGTTCCTTTGATTAATTGTATAAGCAATACTGCTCTGGCTGCTCTGCTGCCTATTTCTACTAATGCATTTGATTCAAATTCACCGACTCTGAAAGAGGAGGTCCTTGTCGGATTCAAATGGTCGTGTTTTGTGAGATCATTCTGCACTATTCATTCGTATGTAATCAATTCATTGTTGTCCATTTTGGTATAAGGTGTGGTGAATAATATCTTTCAGAGAACCTGTAGGATGTATAGGTGTCTTATTGTAGTAACAGCGTGAACCGATTTGGAGTTAGTGTGTGTAGTTTGTTTTCTTACGTTGTATAGTTTAATTCTGAATGGTGTGCATACTTTAATGATATTGTTGCTTTTCTGGGCAGAATACACTTCAGTACTATGTATGTCTATATAACAATGTCCAGTTATTATGACAATACAGGAAAATCAATCTGATCTGGCTTGATGTTAAGATCATGCAACCCGTGTAACCGTGCCAAAGCCACAAGGTGTCTAAGTGCGGAAGACGAGTGGGACAGTAGTGAAGTTATTAACAACACCGCCGTTACGCCGTTAGTCCCCGGAGAGCGAGAGTAGAGAGAGAGAGGCTAAGTAGCAGCCAGGTCGGAGCGGCGGTATCGCCGATGACGAGGAGCGAACCAGAGGACGTTCAAGTCCTAAGGTCGAGGGGAACGTACTTCGAGGCGTTGAGCCTGAAGACTTAGAGAAGAGTTAAGTTGAGAAGGGAGATCTAAGTTGATAATTAAACTGAGGAACTACAGTAGCGTACAGGCAGTATTTATATCTACGGAACGGCGCATCGGTGCGGAGTGCCAGACTAACTACTAGGAGCTATACGAGTAGTACCTGCAGGGTAGAGTAAAAGACAATAAGGAGAGACTAGAACGAAAGAGTAAAAGACAATAGTGAGAGACTAGAACGAAAGGGTATGCGTAGCGAGAAAGAACAATAAGAGTCAGATTACAATAAGAGTAGATCTTCGGAATACCGAGCGGCGGAATGGGGGCCCGAGGCATGGGCTTGACACTTGACCTCCCCTTGTACTTATTATTATTGTCAACAAACTTATCCCGTGGAACTGACCTCTGAACTTACAAATGGAGGTCACTCATTCTTTCATGAATGGATCACTGATCCTACAACGAAGATCTCCAACTCCTTTTTATATGGTAACTTTGTATATTACAGTGCAATTGCTCATGCTGACAGATAGCCGTTTCTGAAAATTCTAGTAGTTTATACAATGCACTAGGTCGACCAACAGTGACCTTGACTTAAATCTCCACACTGATTTTGGCCGCACATCAAACACTAGACTGATTCTGAAGTTTCAGTATACAAAAAATGTTTATTGGAGCAAAAACGAAGGAGTTTATTTTTTGCAATCTTGTCATTGATATTCCGCGTCGACAGTATAACAAATGTATCTTTAGGTGAAAACAAACTGAAAATTCAACATAAATACATTCTTCAAAATGCAGATTAAGGACACTGTAAACTGTACCGAAAATCACTACACCACGATGCAAAAGTTTAACAATAACCTCAATCTGTATCTAATCACATATATTCAACAGTTATATACAACCATACTGCATCATATTATTTTCCTCTCAAACATAATTTTGATTTACTTCTATAATTGCATATAATCAGCATACCCGCTCATCATGAAACCATTCAGAGTCGGGGATTGCCAGGACCCCTGATTATACACTATGATCCCAGACGGTGGTTCGGACAAGACACCCCCCCAAATTTGGTCTCTAGCCATAGGAAAATTCGGACAAAAGATCACCATAGGCGGCAGCCAGAATGAAAAATTCGGACAAAACACCCTAAAATTTACCATAAATTGCACAAGAAAATTCAATGAACCAAATTTACAACCAGTTGCACTCTGCCAATGTCGGAAAATTTGGGCGCTTATACCATGGCCGGAGGGAAATTCGGACAAAAGTCCCTCCCAAAATTCTACTTTTGGTTCGGACAAAATCCCTCAGGATCAGGCAAAATTTTCATATGGGATCATAGGGTATAATCAGGGGTCCTGGATTGCCATGCCAGCACGGTGCTAAGGATTGAGTTTGATTGGGCAGATGCCGACTCGGTTTATACTTCTTTGGCTTGATGAGCTTGCTTAGTCATACTTGTCTATATCGGTCAAGATCTGGTGGATAAGGCCAACTTCCCCCCTACGAAAACAGACAAAACATTTTTGTAAGGAGCCTTACCTAAAGGTTCGGCAATAAACCATCGAACGCTACATCAGCCAAACATACAGCTTACTGGCATTTTTCATGGAGAGAAGAATTTTAGCTGGCCCAAAATGATTTTATAGTTAAGTACACTATGCAAGTAAATGCGAAGGTTGGAATTATACAGTGGGATAAGCTATATGTAGATACTTGAAGAATCTAGAGCTTTGAGGAAACCCCGGAGATATGGGGTTCTATTTCCGTAAATATGTCAAAATTTCGGTGCAGCGTAATCGCAGTGGTTATCTGTATTCTGGTAAGTTAAATAACTCCTGAACTTGATGGTGTAAAACTCACGCCGCCTTTGCCTATCTTAACGACAACCCTATGCAGACGTCCAGAAGGCCCTCCCCGAGTCTCGTCCCCTTCGTAGGTCAATGTAGTAGCGTCCGAAGAAGATTGAGGTTGAACCAGCCGACGAGGGTTGATAGTCATACGACCAAAATTCCCAGACGATAATCTTTGTATCGCAACACGTTCTTCAAATGTGCTAGTAGCACCACGCAGTATGTTCGATAGAGTATACAGTATGTAGTATTGGGGAGGCATAAACTTGATTTTCCGCGCATTGAACTCAGCCAAGGCTTCTTCTGGACGGATGAACCTGGCGGCTATGACTTCTTGTCCTCCGTCTGGTGAAATAGCTGAGTGCGATATGATCCAGTAGGAATCAGGTTCTTGAACATACCAGGTTTCGGTAAACGTTCCTGCTTACTGCCAGCCATGAACCCAGAGGCGGAGGTTTCTGGAAGGAACGCTACGTAGAATTGAGTGTAAAATCGCCTGCAATAAGACGCGTTAAATACACTTGAGATTCATTGCGACTGACTACAGCTCACCTTGGCGCTTCGATGGGTGTAATCCAAGTAGTGAAAGGCAGCAACGACTCGGTATCCGCTATCAAGTTATTTTCATTCATGAACTGCTGGAAAGTCTTCGTCTGGCTATGGACTGCAAACCTCGCTTCGTCGAGTACTGCATCTGAAGGTGTTCGGGACAAGCTGTCGGATGGACGAGCAATCAGAAGGCCGGATTCTTCAAACGCCTCTCGTATTGCTGTGATCTTCAAAGACGAATCTTGTTTCTTGTCAAAGTTTCCTCCTGGAAATACCTGCATTAACATTCAGGCATGGATATTATGAGAGTAGATGCATGATAATCATACCGTCGCTCCCGCGAAGGTGCTAGCATGTGGGTTACGTTGGACCATCAAAACTTCATTTCTCTCGTTGATCAGCACCAGACTAGCTGAAGGGCGTGGCGTTGGATGCACTGTTGCTTTGTTTAGCGTGCTGCTAGACATTCTCTGTGCTCTTGATCGATTCCTCGTTATCGAAGCCGGGCAGAAAAATAAAGGTAACCGGTTGTAGGGGATACTTCGGGATATGAGCATAAGCATAGAATCAGCTGTTTAAAAGGCATGAAGGTAATTGCAAAGCTAAATTTGAAATCGCGGGAAAATAAGAGAAGCGCGATGAGCACGACGTTGACCCGCTGATGACCGACTGTGGCAGTCCTGAATCATTGACACAATTCAAGTCCCCAATTCAGGCAGCGCAAACATGTACACCTATTATGAAACTAAGTATTATGCGGTATCTCTTAAGTTACAGAAACACGGTTATCAACGCAAAAGTACTAAATATTGAAATGCTGAGCAAACACAACACACAATCCCGACCGGAAGGAACAAAGAAAGCCGTGATCCACTGGGATTCTATATATGCTAAGAGCGAGGTAAGCTTTTCAAGACTGTTTTCCAATTCTGTGCCCAAAAATAAGTTAATACGTTCCGTGCGGAGAGTAAGAGATTTACTGCGTGTGAGAGGGAACGGAGATCACTCAAAGGAGCAATGTGAACCATGTATCGCGCAAGCTTGTCGAGTTCTCGGTCTGCTTGAGCTTCGGGGGTGTGTGCATTCTTGAATGCATGTATCTTCAGTCCACATTGAGGATTGAGAGCAAAGTTGCGGCCCTAAAATAATGCAACTTCAACAACAGTGAAAGATGCATCAAGACTACACACTAAATCGTCAACATGGACCGTGTTTGTCGCGTTACTATAGGTTGCCGAAAATGTATCAGTGGTATGCATATGTACAAACCAAACAACACGAATAACTTACAACTGGGGGAAATGATTCCAAATAATTTGCAGAGCCTTCACGGAGTGCTGCCACTCTTGTCCGTCCCGCTCAGTAAACACCGTGAACATGCACGTCTTGTCGAGAACTGGTATGGGGATACGTAAAAGATCAGAGCCGCGGCAGGAAAAGAGGACAGACGTAGGTATCATCACCAAATGATATCTTTACACAGACGCGTACGAAGTTAGGACAGCAGACTCCATGTAGAACTTCATGTCGCTTGCCTGATAGTTACGATTGGCACCTATCATACCAAGTTCGACGAGTTTCGTTTCTAACCATATCCAGCTTGTTTGAGACCTATACAATGTTCAGAAGTGATTTCATACAGCTGCAAATACGCGCACCATATGCAAACTACGAAAATACATCAGAAATGTGAGAGAAGAATTGAGTGAGTCAACCATACTGTCATAATAAGGATATATCGCTTCCAGGAATTCATGTAATTTCGGTCGTGCGCATTCTGCTGGAGGCAAGCTTCCGGACGTCAAAGGTTTCGTGTCCAGAATAGCTATACATGATCCTCAGCATATGTATGTGCAAAATCTCAAGGATTATACGCACTGTAATCAATATCTAATACCAGCAATTTCTTTCCCTCCCGCAAAGGATGGATGATATTGACCGACAACTTGTCCGTCATCTCTTTAACTTTGCGAATGTTCCTCTGGTCATGTTTATATCTCTTTACGGCGTTCGGGTCTTTGGTAAAGTCAATATCAAGGTCGTTAACAACATCTGGCAGATTCCCCAATTCTATCTCAAAGAAAAAGGAAGATATCAATGGTGATAGCAAGAACTGTAAAACTGAATACAGACGGGCTGGATCTTTGATTTCGTCACCCTCGGGTGTACCTAGTAGGGTAAATTTCTTTCCAGTAGTGAGCTTCAGGTCCGAGCTATCACGGATAGTCAAGAAAGTGCCGAACTCTACATGAGACCAGGGAACGCACATTCTTCCTTGATCTGGAGGTAGTTTTCCTTTCACTAATCCTAATATCTTCTGTCGTTCTGGCGGGACTCTAGTTAAATCATGTAATGCCGTTTTCAAGTCTAGAACTCTGGAACACAGATGAGTGGAGGGATATCGGTGATGGAAGATAGCCTTTCACCGGTCAGAATCAGCGATATCCAATGAAAAGGGTTTCCCGGCCCATGTGAGCTGTAGTGTCACCCATCGTTCAGGAGATTGAGTGACTTGACTAAACTCAGTCTATGAATTTATCTAAAATCTTCAACTTGGGTGACGTAGAACGATGAAACCGACCGTGCTTTGAGTGACTTCTGCTTCAGAAGCTATTGTGGTAGAGTTCGTTTCTCCGTGAGTGGGGCTGAGGGGCATGGAGTTCGGTGAATGAAGCTTCGTTTCCATAAGACCAAACAAAGAACAAGATGTGCAAGGTCAAAAGGTAGTTTTTCAATTTAAGCGCCTCAGACTTCTTTCAATTTGGCTACATACATAGTATAGTGCAACAATTCGAGATGGTAAATGATGCGCAACGCCTAGTTTTTGTTCTCATGTTCGTACAATATTTTTGCCTGGATATACTACATCTCAAGTTGTGATACACTCTGGGCAATGAAGTTGAAATTAACAAGTGAGGAGACAGCTGTGAATTGGAAACAAGGTCATTGCGACAATAAAATAGCTGCATAGATAAGTTACCTGGGGCAACGAATGAAGCAGGTTCGTTTGTTGGCACAGGCTTCAGAACCTTTGTAGATGTATCGTAGGCCCACCCATGACGAGCAGCAACTGGATAGACCTAAGTTCAAGGGTGCGCGTTTTCTACGAGTATGAATAACTTGCCTGGTAAAAGTTCCGAAGAACCCAGACCAAAATACATTTCAGCGAGCGAGAGGGTGATGGAAGTGTATGCTCTAGAAAGCAACAAGAAGGTCCTATCTCGGAACGAGACTAGTAAAGGAACCATTAGCAGTGATGAAGAACTGGACGGACAGGGCAACTGACACAGAAAAGACTCGACCATGATATTGATCACTTGTGCAAGCTCAGGTTGTTGAAATTCAGGTTTTGCCACGGCGTTCACCAACGCGTTTGCGTTGCTATATATTTGTTCATATGCTCCAGCTGAATATGATGTAGTAAGCAACCCAAGATTCTTTATTAAAGGGTTCAATCTTATATCGGGAGGTAGGCGTTCCAGGACAAGTTTCGCGATAGGACTGAAAGAAGGAACCGTCAAGCAACACAGAGAGGCGAGACGCGCTGAAGAACTTACAGATCATTCTTTATGAGGTATGCTAAAACTAGAGGTACGATCACGAACAATCGGGAAAGTTTCTGGTCATTATTGGCCTGTAGGAGAGAAATCCGTTAACCACTGAGTGTCTGGCGAGAGAGTGCTAGACGCGCATTAATTTCTGTAATCTCTGCTATATCTATCAACTCGATCCATCGCTTCTGTGTGGCGAGTTCTGCAATTCTTGGAAAAATGAGCCCGTAAGGGTCCTGAATCTGGTTCGATTGTTGCGGTGGAGGTTGGGCAGAAGTTGCTTCCGGTGCTGGATCAGATGTTCCATCGACAGCGGGAGGAAGAGTATCGTTCATTCTGGCCTCGTCTTGAATTTCAACATCGGTCGTCGGAGGTGGCGTTGGAGGACCATTTGCCATTGTGATACACACTGATATTGCTGATAGTCCTGGATAAAGTGTGCGCAATCAAATCCGGCCGGGCCGACATCAAGTTGCATTGCGACGCCCAACAGCTTTACAACTTATAAACCTCTCTCTATTTCTACAGTCTGAGTCTAAGCCATGAATTCCGGCTTCGAGGACGACATCGAATCTGTGCTTCATATTGCACGGGAGGTATCAGGTATGTTTCGAAATGTGAAATTTCAGCTCTCGCTCAGAGTCACTGAATATGTAGTGTTCAAGATTCCACCACTCAAGGCCAATGAAGGTCACAGAGCAGGCGAATGGGGCGATCTAGCTCAGCCACTGTGGAAAGGCCGACTAAGAATTTTAGAAAAGAATTCTGGCGTCACCATTCTATTTGAGGATGGTACCACAGGTGTGTTAACTATAACTTCAAGATTTATCCTGATTTACTTCTTTCGAAGGAGAACGTATGTTAAAATGCCGCTCCAAGCTCGTACACTCACCATCTCGCAGTATTCGCAAAGGCTGATTACGATCCATCCAAACCGTGTGTTGAAGCAGTGCTGGACTCGTCCCGATATTTCGTGGTACGAATTGAAGATAACGGGAGGAAAGCCTACATTGGAATGGGTTTCATTGAGCGTACCGATAGCTTTGATTTTAGTAAGTTGCGCTACAATTACAATTCAATGATATTCTGACCCGACGTCGTTCTAGGTGTTGCGCTCCAGGATTACACGAAGTATGCCGATTCCATTAGCTATTCTTTCATTTGTTTACCCATCGATTTACCTAGACGCTGGCGCGCAAGTCAGAACCCTTCTGAGCCTTCCGAGAACGAAGACAAACCTTCACCTCACATCCCTGCTGGACCGAAGAAGGACTTTAGCTTGAAGGAAGGACAGACCTTTTCAATCGCTATCCCGGGGAAGAAGAAAGCAGCCAATGAGATTTCAACGGACCTTCTGAGTACAAGTAGCGCTTCTTCGGTTTCTGGAGCTTCAGGGGGCGGTTTTCCTCTCCTACCACCTCCGCCCAGCAGTGGGGCAAGACGAAGATGATGGAATCTTAAGACATATTGCAGGTGAGCTCACTCTCTTACTAGGCGTATTTCAATGACATTCATACATCTGAGCAGAAACATGTTGGTAGACTGAGACTCATGTGACCTTATCATTGAAAAGATATTCTGTGCAGCGTTTGTTTGCTTTGCTCCCCAATCTGGCCTTCCACGAATCGGTAACAGGTACCACTCCTGTAATATCCCGTCTATACATAGTATGGGCGTGTGTGGTCCATTCTGTGAACTGCTTGATGTGTTCGAACTCTCGGTTCAGTATCTCAGATTTCCATCATACGAGGTCTTTTCTCATAAGTCCTCGACGTACGATGTTTGCCCCTGTGCTCCAGCTTGATAAAGCTACGTTTTTGATTCACTGTGCCAGTACTTGCATTGGCGTCGCGCTACTATAGTAAGTAAGTTTGAGTATCAATGCCACTCCATCGGCGGTGTTTTCGAGCTAACAGTTGATATATATAGTGGATGAACTTCACGCAATCCTTCAAGCGCTTTCGCTATGATCTGATTCATGAACTCTGGAGATCGAATGGAACATTCGTTGTATCTCCGGCGATTTTCCTTACTCTACATAGGAATTTCTTTGCCGCCCGCGTACGACGGGCTTTGTGGAAAGTCATTGTCACGTTCGACGCAAATATTGCATTTACAATAGCCACTCCTTCAAGTGCCTGTGCATATTTGGTCTATGTAGTGGATGAAAGTTTGACCACAAGGAAACATTCGAACACCTTGTTTTATCCTCAATTTATCCGAATTTAACAGCGATTGCGCTACATGAACTGCCCAAGTTGGAATTGGCCTCCATTTTCGGTAGTCTCCTCGTCACTTGGCTGTATATCCGACGATATACCGGCCAGAATTGACTCACTCCCTGCAACGCACTCATGGTAATACGATGTGTTGCTAGTGTAGCTTCTCCTTGCCTTTCTTCCATATGGATAATCGCTGTATGCAGCGTATTTGACATTGAATCACCCGTTGCTCTGAATGCTGATCGCTTTCTTTAGCTCGTACTTTAAGCAAAATCACCTCGGATGATTGTTTCCGAAAATCAACTTGTGACCTTGTCTACAATTCGTGGTCGGATTCAGTTACGCATCCCGACGTCTTTCCGCATGGCCCTCGGTACAATGCCGGATGTTTGCGTCTCGCCTTGCATGACTTGATAGGATTCGTATGACATGTGGGATATAAAGGCCAGCGAAGCAAGTGCAGAACCTCAGCACGCTCTCCTCAACACACCGACATGAAGATTACTTCCACTGGCTTACTTGCTCTCTCATCTTTACTGCCGTTTGCGCTCGGTCAGTCTCAGGTACTTGCAATGCAATTTCTTCCCTTTCTCCCTCACGTTGTTTACAAGCGGGATATGTAGTTATATGGCCAATGCGGCGGTATAGGCTGGAGTGAGTTTTCATCACATGCGATGTGATGAGTATTATTATTCCTCATTAATCTTTCCTTGTTACAGGTGGCGCGACTACCTGTGTTTCCGGCGCGACCTGCACGGTCGTAAACGCTTACTACTCACAGTGCCTGTAAGTTCGACTTAGTCTTGGAAGAGAAATTCTGTTGCTGATCATCCTCATTTAGTCCTGGTTCGGCCTCGGCACCTCCAACTTCGACAAGTAGCATCGGAACAGGAACTACTACTTCATCCGCGCCCGGAAGCACTGGAACCACGACACCTGCTGCCGGCAACCCCTTCACTGGTTACGAGGTTCGTCACCTCACACAATATTATGTTCGCCCAGCTCATTCATGAGAACAGATCTATCTCAGTCCTTACTACGCCAACGAAATAGCTGCTGCAGTCACGCAGATCAGTGATCCTACCACTGCCGCTGCCGCAGCTAAAGTCGCAAACATCCCCACGTTCATTTGGCTGGATCAAGTTGCCAAAGTACCAGATTTAGGAACGTACCTGGCGGATGCTAGTGCCAAGCAAAAGTCCGAAGGAAAGAATTACCTCGTACAGATTGTAGTATACGACCTCCCAGACCGCGACTGTGCTGCTTTGGCGTCCAACGGAGAATTCACCATTGCTGATAATGGCGAAGCAAACTACCACGACTATATTGATCAAATCGTGGCACAAATCAAACGTAAGTCCTTCTAAGTTATTCTCCAGAAAGTCTTCTCTAAAGTTGTTTGCAGAATACCCCGATGTCCACGTTGTTGCTGTTATTGAACCTGACTCTTTGGCCAACCTTGTCACAAACCTCAGCGTCGCCAAGTGCGCGAACGCCCAGACCACTTACTTGGTATGCTATCTCTTATTTCCCGCTGCGCTTTGTTCAACTTCGATTGTCTCAGGAATGTGTCACATATGCCATGCAACAACTCTCTGCCGTCGGCGTTACCATGTATCTCGATGCTGGTCATGCCGGCTGGTTGGGCTGGCCGGCGAATTTGTCACCGGCTGCTCAGCTCTTCACATCCTTATACTCCAATGCTGGGTCACCCTCTGGCGTTCGAGGACTTGCTACCAACGTTGCCAACTATAATGCCCTCGTGTAAGAGTTGTTTGTTGAAGTTTGACATTATACATCTCGCTCATCCTCTATTTAGTGCTACTACACCAGATCCTATTACCCAAGGTGATCCCAACTACGACGAGATGCTTTACATCGAGGTATGTTACAGGAAACCACCGGCCGGTCAAAAAAGCTGATTTTCTATAGGCTCTGGCTCCTTTGCTTGGCTCCTTCCCTGCTCATTTTATCGTTGACCAAGGTCGTTCAGGTGTCCAGGACATCAGACAGCAATGGGGTAAGTGTATGAAACCTTCTAGCATTACTTAAGAGTTAACCCGGATGACAGGTGACTGGTATGATCTCCATCTCTTATGTATGATAAGCGTGGAACTCACACCATCCAAGGTGTAACGTTCTTGGTGCTGGATTCGGAACGCAGCCTACGACTAACACCGGATCATCCTTGATTGATTCTATCGTTTGGGTAAAACCGGGAGGTGAATGTGATGGAACATCGAACACATCGTCACCGCGTTACGATGCCCACTGTGGTCTTCCGTGAGTTCGAATTGTCTTTTCATTCATTCTCGCACTGACTGGATGGGACAGCGATGCCACTCCAAACGCTCCGGAGGTATGTTTTAATCCTGATCACTATACAGATAGACGTCTTATATTTTTCTCTGACATGGAAAGGCTGGTACATGGTTCCAGGTATGCAGAATCAAGCTTTTTGCCAACTCAAATTCTGACTTCTCCGGGGGCTCTAGGCATACTTCGAAACCTTGGTGGAAAAGGCCAACCCTCCTCTATAGAGTTCCGAAGTCTTTGACGGGGTGATATTGGCGGAAACTTGAGTAAAACGTTTGTTCCCTGAACGATTCATAATGCATACCCTTTGTATCGAATTTTGGTTGCGAGACCCAATTTTGAGACTAGGCTCCGCTGTCGTGGACCACACCTTGCTTGAATGCGGCGCACATAGGGCGCGCGCCGTGAGTGGGTAAGCGATGTGAATGGTTCCAAAAACTGTATCTGTACTATGTAGTGAAGCGCAGAAGCGCTTACTTCTCTCACCCCGGGAGGATCTGGGAGGATTCCCGGCACATGCGAAGTATATTCAAGTTTATCGTATCTATGAATAGCTATGAATGATTTGATCTTGTACATCCTGACATTCTCTAAGCTTTGAGAAACACTCAAGCAGCCTGGTCAAACAATTTCTATCCTTGAATGAGATTTCGACACGGATAGCGGGAAGAGTGTTTGCACACAACGTCCTGGTCCCGCAATTTTGACAAGACGCGACGCTGGTCGGCTGCGGGAGTTCGGTTCGGTTCAATCGGACATAAGCGTGTCTGACAAAGGAACGTGACTTGGATTCAATTGTGTGAAGCTCCGCATATTTATCTTTCCCTCTTTCCTTCACTTATGCTTTCGAGAATATCGCGTGCAGCTTCTCGGGGAGCTTCCTCTTCAAAAGTTCAGAACCCAGCCCATGCCTGCTGGAGCCGCAGAGGCATTGTGCAACCTTCAGGAGCAGAAAGAGCCAGTGTGGTGGATCTACCAGCAACATACAAAGATGAAAGCCATTTCACACCGAGGTCTGGTGCGTAAAGTTAAACGATGTCAATGTCCGGAAGCTGCAATGGCTCTCTCTGATATACAGATATGCTTGGCTTCAAAATTGAAATGCCCCAGCGTGAAGGAACATTGCAAGAGAAGACCCGTCCTATATATCTTGACATGCAGGTAAGATTCGCACCACTTTGTGGCAGGCCCACAAGCTGAATTATCACAGGCCACAACACCTGTAGATCCACGAGTGCTAGATGCCATGTTACCGTATCTCACAGACCAGTACGGGAACCCTCACAGTCGAACTCATGCATATGGCTGGGAGGCAGAACAAGCTGTCGAGGATGCACGCAAGGTGCGTTGTTCTCGTACATTCAGGTATACACCAAGCTCATGCGCCTTGTAGCATGTTGCGGAACTAATTGGTGCTGATCCCAAAGACATCATTTTTACTTCTGGTGCTACAGAGACAAATAACATGGCCATCAAGGGTGTTGCACGATTTCACCAAGAGAGAAAAAAACACATAATAACAACCCAAACGGTCAGATTATCCACTTCTCAGGTATCGTGCATAACTTGATTGGGAATATAGGAGCACAAATGTGTACTTGATTCTTGCCGGAAACTGGGGGAGGAAGGCTTTGATATAACATACCTTCCTGTGCAAAAAAACGGGATAATCTCTTTGGAAGAGCTAGAGGCAGCCATCCGTCCGGATACGTCATTAGTATCCATCATGATAGTTAACAACGAAACTGGTGTTATACAACCCATCACGGAGATCGGAGCCCTTCTTCGCCAGCACTCTGGAGTCTACTTCCACACAGATGCAGCGCAAGCAGTTGGAAAAATTCCTGTTGACGTAAACGATATGAACGTCGACCTTATGAGTATTTCCGGACACAAGTTGTATGGGCCGAAAGGAGTTGGTGCTGCGTACGTCAGGCGGCGGCCTCGCGTGAGGCTGGAACCCATCTTGAATGGTGGTGGTCAGGAAAGAGGGCTCCGAAGTGGAACATTACCAACTGCATTAGCTGTCGGCCTGGGTGAAGCTGCTCGCATTGCGAAAAAAGAGATGGTTGTGAGTGTTGTTCATTTCTTCATCTTTCATGACGAAGACGCACGTTCGCAATTTCAAATAAGCGATCTATGACCCGAGTGATACACAGTGTCAGCTCAGGAACGATTTTTGTGCAGGGGTACTGAAAATTTACATCCTGATCATGCTTATCGACGAACCAATACTAACGGTATTGCAGAGGGACAATATACACATCAACCTCCTCTCCAAACGGCTCATTGATGGAATAAACTCTCAAGTAGAGCACGTCGTTCGAAATGGTGACACCAATGGATACCCTGGCTGCGTCAACCTGAGTTTTTCTTATGTCGAAGGAGAAAGCCTTCTTATGGCTTTGAAAGTCTGTCTTCCAAGTAGTTCACCTCTTGGTTTTTGATTGACATCGTGATCAGGATATCGCTCTTTCGTCAGGCAGTGCTTGTACTTCTGCATCTCTTGAACCATCATATGTGCTTCGTGCCCTAGGTGAGTTGAACCATCTCTTTCATGGGTGATTTGGTGGGTAATGTATTTCTGTAGGTGCTGCTGAGGACATGGCACATTCTTCTCTACGATTCGGGATGGGTCGGTTTACCACCGAGGCTGAGGTTGACTTCGTTGTTCAGCACCTCATAAACACTGTGCATCGATTGCGCGAAATGAGGTTAGTGTTTACTTTTCCAGGTCATGTTAAGTCACTAAATTTGCCACAGCCCATTGTGGGAGATGGTCCAAGAAGGCATTGATATCAACTCCATCGACTGGTCTCAGGCTCAGCATTAATTTCTATGTACATACATACGTACCTTTACCGTTGAATACCGTCTTCTTGTTTTTGTTTACAGTACTGTTGCATAAATTGTACATTACACTGTTATGTTTTGTCGAGATATTTGCGCGAGGTTTTTCTTCTTTAGTCTGCAGAGAAGATGAGCGTATTACAACCTATTGTCGCAGAAAATTTCCCCAATAAACATTCATTTTCTTCACAGCTACATACTCCGATGATCAATTGATCCAACCAGAACCTTGGAGCATTGAACAGTCCTGGAGATTGCGCTGCGGGAGGGTGCGGGTAGCGTTAAAATAAATATTCAATTTGTCATTGGACACCGGAATTTCATACTCCGACTGTTGATCAACTCAGCCAAACACCAGTTTGACCTTTTTCACCCACTCCACCAACATGACCAGACGTCTCTACGTTGGCAGTAAGTCATCTTTATTCGTTGGTCTACTTCTTCTGACCTATCTTAGGACTTCCTACTGAGGCTCGTTCAGAGGATGTTTCCAAATTATTTGAAGGTTATGGTCGCATCGTTGACTGCCGTGTTATGACAGGTGAGAATCTTTTCCGCTCAAATTTCAAACTATGCACTCAAATCATCTGTTCTGAGGCTTCGGTTTCGTGGAATTCGAAAGCAGCAAGGTTTAAAACTCATCCTTCGATGAAAATCATGACCATTCTGATATTCTTTAGGATGCTGAGGATGCTGTGCAACAATTTAATGGCAAAGCTTTTATGGGAGCCAAGTAGGAATTATCATGACACGTTACCATACTGTTGTTGTGGTTCTGATTCGGTTTTTCCAGTATCGTCGTCGAGTTTGCTAAAGAAAGTCGTCCTCGAAGAGAACCCTATGAGGAACGTCATGGGTAAGACGTTTTGCCTTCCCTCCTGACTATTTTTCAACGAACAACTTTTATCAGAGCTGCTTCCCGTGCACGTCGTCCTCCCGGTATACGAATCATAGTCTCTGGTATCTCTCGTGACACTAGCTGGCAGGTATGGACTTTCTCGGTTTCGTGCGCCCCGGTTCCCTCGTTGGTCGTTCTGGTTTGGGCTCTTCGAATCCTTCGCTTTCCTGGGCAGGATCCTGACGTGGTACCCTTTCGTTTCACGGACGTTGAAGGAAACTTTTTCCGAACATGAGCGGCCAAGCGGAAATTTATCCGAAATTCTCTATCGATTTTCCCCGTCTTGGCTCGATGGCCCTAATGTCGTTCGTACCCGCTGCTAGGACTTGAAAGATTTCGGTCGGGATGCGGGGAATGTTTCCTTTGCCGACATTGACCGCGACGTTCCAGGACAAGGGTATGTGTGATTTTTAAAGTTGGTTTTTTCTACATACTTAATGTGTGATTATCTGTTCTAGAATTCTTGAGTTCTTGTCTAGGGAGGATGCCGATCGTGCTGTCAAGGAATTGGACGGCAAGGATCTGCGTGGACGTGCTGTTCGAGTTGACTTGGACGAATCTGTATGTTTATTTTTGACTGATTTCGTCCTTGCTCATACTAGCGTACGTCCTATAGCGCTCTGGACCTGACAATTACAGACGGGATGATAGAAGAGATGATCGCTACAGAGAAGATCGTTACAGGGACGACCGCTATAGAGACGACCGTTACCGTGAAGACAGGTACCGCCGTGACCGCTCGCGGTCCCCGCCAAGGCGGGACTCTGATGATCGTCGTAAAAAAGACGATGAGCGGAAGCCTTCAGGGTACGATGATTATAGACGCGGGGGTGTTGATGATTCCAGAAGACCTGACTCCTATTCTTATTATGATCGTCGTAGGGATGAACCTGAACGACGAAGGGAACGGCGCGAAGACAAGGAGGAACGCTACGACGACCGGTCGTCGAGGCACAACGGAGATTTTCGATGAAACTTTTTAGGTTGTCGTCAAAGTCGGACGTTCCAAACGGTCAATCGTCTTCTCAACTTTTCAGTCTCTATTATTGTCCGCTATAGCTGTGGTATTGTTATACAAAACCCGCCCTCGAAATTATGCTCTCATTTCTGTGACCATGTGTGGTCAGCGTTGGCTTCTTCAAAACCGTTGGATCTCTGGCGCGATGTTTCGATACGTTCATGTCTGTATTCAAACGAAGGCGCACAAGCGGTAAGATCGACATTAATCACGTTTTGCATTCCTGCTCTTTTACTCGAACTGTATCTGGTGACCTGTATCTTTTGCTGTAACAGACTGTAATGAATATGTCGATCTCCATTATGCTGTTGTTACACGACAAAGTACTTTTGAACCCGTCTCCAAACCTAACCAGTCCAGGTCATGAAAATTGTCGGACAGTTCTGCCCAGGTTCCGTCGTTCATCTTTAACCAAAAAGAAGTCTTTGATTCTTTATCGATATCCAAGGCCTTACGAATCTTATGTCCAAACACTTTGAGTGACATAGTAGGTAACACCCGTAATGTAGTCGGATCCATCCATTCACCAATCTCTAAAGGAGCGGAAGCGAAATGTTTCTGAACTTGAATGTCTAGCTAAAGTATGAGTCTTTGATACAGTAAGACGTTCATTTCGCATACCAATCAATTTACGGCTGAGTCGGTCTTGATGAGATGATATGGCAGACATTGAAAGGGCTGTTCCATGCTCTTGCACGGGATGAATAAATGACTCAAAAACCTTGGAACATGCCTCACTTTTGGATAGCGCTTCCCATTGGGGATGCTCCCTCATTAATGAAGCCATTTCGAACCCTGGCTCATGTAGGCTGAATCGCTGAGAGATATATGAAAGATAGAACAGCTCGCTATCAGTTCGTTCTTTTGCAGACACCTGAGTGAATGGTGATGAGTTGGAGCATTCACTGCGAAGGGAAAAGCTTACCGCAGTTGAATCTAAGGTGCACAAAGCAGGTAATCGAGCAATGATGAACGGACGACTGTATCGTATTTCATCACCACCTTGATTACGAACGGTTCGGAAGGTAATTTGTGATTAATCTACACATCCTGGATTGGAAGTGTTCTAGCTCACTTTCAACCAAAGGATTTCCGATCACGGAGAGAGAGGTCAGAGAAGGACACCAAATCGACAGCGCATCCAAGTCATTCCAAGACTTGAGATTATTCGAACTGAGCGATATATGCTCAAGTTTCTTTAATACAAGTGAGTTATGTGCGGGAGGCGGAATAGAGTCGATCTCGTTAGAGGCCAAGATGACTCGTTCTAGTCTTGGAAATGGGTAATGCCAGCACAACATAATCATTATATCAACAGCACTTACTGGTCGTATGTGCTTAAACTTTGGCATATACGTATCCACACTTTGCATTTATTGCCTTCCAGGTTTATATTGCGTATCTGGGAATGCGTAATAACAGGCGCGCTAAATTCCGACTCACAGAGTCGATTACTGCCCAACTCGACCGATACTAGCCTGGGCATGAAGGAGGTGACCTGCTGCATTTCACACCAGCTAATCAATGACCCATTGAGCTGTAATTCTGTCAAACTCTGGAATGAAGTGGACATTTTCGATCTATCCAAAGTCATTTCGGTGAAGCGGTTGCGACTAACGACAAATTATTCAGCTGTATTATCCAAGGGATGAAAAGGAATCACAAACTTCAAGGCTAGCCTTTGCAATACAGGAAGCTCGACAGCTATATCTGCTACTACACACCATGTAGAGAAGAGACTCGCGGATAGATCCAGTCCGCGAACATCTGTGCAATGAGAGTCAGTTTGTATAACAGCCCAATATACATTAACTTACTAGGACACGTCTCACGGATGAGTCCTGATTCATCGACACTCGATACTAGTTCGTTTTCGAGGCTGACCTCACGAAGTCGCCCTAGATTTGCAAATTTGCTTCTTATTTTGTCCAAATTTACAGCTTTAACCTCGATTACACCATTCGAGGAACCTAATATTACTTTTTCTTCAGAGGCGGAACCATGGAACTGTTCAACGTATTTCGCTTTCAGAGCCTGAAGGAACGAGACACCACATATGACTTGAGCAGATGGCCTAATGAAGGAGCCAGCGTTCGGCACTCTATATAGATCTAGTTCGATCTGTTCCCATATTGATCTATGCACATCTCTCACCTACAAGAAAAGTACCGCTTGCCATCCTTGACGCCGTCGTGCTTGCCTCGGTCGGGATTGTCCCACTCAATTCCGAGCCAGACACCTGTAGTGTTCTCAACCTCTCCGATGAATTTTACAGTGCCCAGATGTCCAGAATAGCTGATGCGATCGCCGACCAGTGGCAAAGAGTCCATTATCGTGATGGCTTGGTGATGGCCACAAAACAAAAGGTGGGAAAGCGATTTTAGCGCTGGGCCGGTTCAAAGAAACCGGACTCCGACTACCTCAACGACGGTTTTCAAAAGGCATCATGCTTTTCTCAATCTTCTCCAGAAGGGGCATGCCTCCAGGAATTACTAGAAGGACTCAAACCATCGCTCGCCATATAATGACAAAACCTGCGACCCACGAGCAAGTTAGTTAACCATTTTTTCCGCCACATGTATACCCGACTTAGACATAACGCGCAAACTGTTCAGCCTTTAGTATTATTCGAATCTCAGCTTTCAATACGGACTTTCAAATTAAACCGTCCAGAAAAGCTCAACTCGTTAAACGAGTCAATGATAGGCCTTGTTCAGCCGAAAATCGAGGTTGGAACTGCTTCAGGCGAAACACGGTCACTCGTGCTAACATCGTATTAGTTTTGGAAAAATTCAGAATTATGCAGTGTCATATGGGGAAGTGGTGAAGGTCGGGCTTTCTGTGCTGGTGGAGACGTCGAAAGTGAGCAGAGCCTTTTATCTTCTGAACCGACTCGTTACTCATCTACACGTTAGCCGTGGTTCGTGATGCTACGGACCCAAATACAGGAAACAAAGCTATCGAATTCTTCAACAAAGAGTAATACCAAAGCTTTATGAGATAATCTACTTGGTACTCATACTATTTTGATAGATTTGCGTTGGACTACCTCCTTTCGACATTGGACAAGCCCTACATAGCTATTATGGATGGAATAACCAGTTAGTGAAACCCTGGTACACTCGACTTCAGTTCCTGATGTTCGAATTTCAGTGGGTGGCGGTGTGGGACTTTCTGCTCCCGCGTCTTTCCGGGTAGCCACTGAGAACACGGTTTTTGCGATGCCAGAAACGAAGATAGGATATTGTCCTGATGTTGGCGCTAACCATTATCTGTCGAGACTTGATGGTGAATTAGGTACTTATCTCGCACTGACGGGGGATACCTTGACAGGCAGAGCAGTGTAGTAAGTGACGATTGTCATTTTTCTGGCAGGGCATGATGATGATATTGGTGATATTCAAAGTGAACACGGCCTGGCAACCCACTACATCCCCTCACGGAGGATTCCAATCCTGCTCGAGAGTATTTCAGCGCTCGAAAATCCAACCTTCGATCAAGTGAATGACATTATCGAGGAGCATCGCTCCGAGCCAGAACAGTCTGGTACATTCGCTTCCCCCTTGGTTGGGCCTGTGCGTGCTGCCCTGGATTTTGCTTTCAGTCATAACAAGGTGGAAAGTATTGTCGAAGACTTAAATGCTCTTTCTGGACATAGAGATCCACTGATCAACCACTGGGCCTCAAAAACACTAGAATCTCTGAGGCTTCGCAGTCCAACAAGTCTTAAGGTTGCTCTGCGTGCTATTCGGCTCGGTAAAACCCAATCCCTAATTGAGGCTCTTGAAATGGAATATAAGATCGCTGCTGCATTCTGTGTAAGTTCGATCTCGAATTAATAGATTGTCTTTCTCATATTCTTTAGAATGGTGCAAGTCCGGACTTTGAGACTGGCGTGAACTTTGTCTTAGTGGAAAAAATAAAGACAGGACGACCCAATTGGACACCGGCGACCTTAGAAGAGGTCTCTGACGAGATTGTAGACAGGTTCTTCCACGAAAAATCTCCCTATCTGGAATCGGTTCCAGAATTCAAACATCCCTTCGCCCCAGGAGAATCACGCGAATATGTGGAATATGCTCTGCCGACTGAAACTGCTATTAAGGACATGGTCACCGGTGAACATCCTAATGGCGGTGACACTGGTATTACTCTCAATGAACTAGTGTCCTCGTTTGAGAATATAACGGACTCGAAAATGGGCGTGCGAGAAAAGATACAGGAAGTTGCAGCTCGCCGATGCGAGTTGATCGACAATGCGGACGGCAATCGTGTGTGGTTGAAGTGGATCCATAACGCTCAACTTCCAGAGTGAAAGGAAGCTGCCATCTATCTCTTTGCTATTACAACTGTTTTCATAATCGCACTTTTTCCGCTTCAAATCATGCAAGGTACACGATCCTAAAAACACCGTTTGTGAGGGGTCGGATCACAGAATGTGCAAAACTATCCTTCCGTGAACAATGCATCGAGGGCCTTGCGCGCAGATCAACTAAAGCATCGCAGTGATAAATCTGCTGACTATGTTTACCTCGTCTCGGCTCAAGGGAATTGTAATTGTAGGATATTAAAACACATACCTGCAATTTGATTGGTAACCGTAATAGAAATCCCTTTTACATCAAGTTCCCGAATGCAATTAAGTATGCCTGTGTATCTTCAGGGTTCAAACTCCTCGGGTTGGCCCTTCCGTTAGCTTTCCTCCCTCCGAAGATAATGGATCAAAAAACCATCGGTCGGAACCGTCTCCCTCCATCTGACCGCAAGCGTTGATGAGAAATCTGTCTCCTAGAGTGCTTCGTTCAAGCATGATTCTCAAACTAGTCAGATTTTGGTGGGACAGGACTAGATAGAGCCCAGTATTCTTGCTACTTGGGCCTCTGTAGTCCAAAGGTTCCTCAAAGCTCAAACAAAACATTTTGAATGTCCCCGATAAATTTCGGCGAGTTGTCACTCGTTGCCACTCGGAGTCGTTGGATTCTAAACGATGGGTACAAGTGCTCACCTCTTGTATGATGTCGTCTCACCATTTCCTATCCTGTCATTTGGTTCATACGGTCCCAACAAATATTCTTTTTGCATCCTCGAGTCGACTTGACTCGAGGCCTATCAATGATCGTTACAAGTCATATTGAACGTTTGGCTGTGAGTCTGTTATAGCCCGTCAACAAAGCACGATCAAGACATGTCACAAACGAAATCGGCAGATTCCCAGCACAGAGAGCAGGTATGTGACATAGCCATCTCAGTCAACTGAGGTAGGAGGAAACTGACTGATTGTGTACAACTTGGTTGTACATATAAACCACTTTTTGGCCGTGTTCTGAACTGAACTGAATAAGGTTCGAGGAATTTATTCGAATTTCTTCGAAAAAATTGCAGCGGTTCAACAGCGACCTCTAGGGAAGAAACCGGAGTAGTAGAACTGAGGTCAAGTCGGCAGTGTGAATGGCGAACTGTAGGCGTTTCGCCTCGGATGCGCTTTGGGGAAGAAACGTATAAATAAGAAGGGATATGCAGAGCATAGGGCATTAATTCTCCTAACCTACATTTGCTTTAACCTAGTAGCACCTGATGGATTTTGCCCATATACTTCCTTCACCCAGTGGGATTCAGTACGCATTACTTTCCACTCTGGGTGCCATTCTTAGCAGGTACAGATCTACGAGCGACGTATTGCGACCCCAGGAGGATTTCGACATTGACCCGATTACTGGTTTTGTTCCCCCGCAACCTCTGCCACGTCTTCCTGCCGAGTACAAACTATGGGAAGATGCATTATCAGAGGCTCCAGATGTCCTGAGATTAAGCAACGACACATCTGATGAAGCTTTAACATTGCGTGCGGAAGGGGAAGTCTGGAGATCGAATATTCGATTGGTGAGTTGTATGCAAAGACGCTATGAAATTTGTATCAAGACTCGTTTTATACAGGGGCCAGCATTGGACGTGGATTTTATAAGAGAACGACCCCGCCTCCTACAGCGAGCGCACGTAGTACTCACTTGGCTCGTTCAATACTACGTGCACTCGCTTCCGCCTACCCATCCCCCAACACCAAAGAGAATCCCCGAATCCCTAGCGGTGCCCCTCGTAGAAGTGTCCCGGATTTTGGGTATCGCACCAATACTCACCTTTGCTGACACCATTACATGGAATTGGGAGCTTATACACCCTGACCAACCTGTCACCATAGACAACATGAAACTCGCCCACTCATTTTCTGGTCGGGATGACGAGCGACACTTCTATCAAGTCCAGGCGGCGGTGGAGCTACACGGCACACAACTACTACGGATAATTGATGATTATAACCAAATTCCAAACCTCGATGAATTCACGTCAGTTTTCAAGGTGGCACGAGATCTGACTCGACTCACTGCCATTATCGAAGAGATCAGTGATTTGATCCAGTCGATGAGGAGTGGTTGCGATCCTCATATCTTCTACTGGGAAATGCGCCCGTGGGTAGAAGGGAGTGACTCTAAAGGTCCTTCCCAACCTGGATGGATCTTCGAGGGGGTGGATCCTCATGCGCCTGAGCTTCAGTATCTCAGCGGGCCTTCTGGAGGACAGAGCACGGTCATGCATGCCCTTGACTTGTTTCTTGACATCGATCACAAGCTCCAGTGGAAACGTCAGCCGGCTCCCAGCTCTGAAAACAAGAGGGCAGACCGTGGCTTTATGGATCGCATGAGACAGTATATGTTAGGGAAACATCGCGAATACCTACAGCAACTCGAAACATCGCCCCGTTCGATACGGGAATTGGCACAGCGTACAGCTATACTTCGAGAGCCGTACAACAACGCGGTTAAAGCGCTGAAAACGCTGCGTAGTCTCCATATGCGTATTGCCTGCTTATACATAATCAACATGTCGAAGACAGAGAATCCACGATCCGCTTGCCCTGCGGCTGCCGCGATGGAAAGACAAGCCGCTAAAATGGAGGCCGGCGCGAAAGCTGAAAAAAAGGGGCCGATCTTAGGAACTGGAGGTACCGACTTGGTGACCTTGTTGAAGGCCGGTAGAGACGCAACTTCTCGAGCGGCATTGAAGAACTAAGTTACCTAAGGATTCAGTGGTAGCACTTATTTATTCATTTGGGCTGCAATGCTCAAAAATAGCGTACCTGACACTTAAAGCAGTAGTCATTATATAGAACTTACTTGATTCGTATATAATTTAGATACAAAGATATGTCGGTGTAGGTCGGTGTCTGCTAGTACTCTATTATTTATTCCTATATATCCCAATTCGAAACATAATTTTGACTCACTAAAAGCTTCGAGCATCAATGAAATACACCAAGAGGAGGACCGAAGACTTAGGAAGAACTTCGGGATGTTCATCGTATCGAAGCAAGTAGTTACTGGAATGGAGTCTGGCATTGGTCCTTCTCCACGTGAGGTCACATTCCTGTGACTCAACAAAACGCGCTTGTCACATTTGGCGCACTTCTTCTGAATCTTCATACCACGATACACAACGATGAGCTACCAACTCGACACGGGTATCTGCCATCGGATCCAAAATGCCACTCCGAATGAAGGGGAACTTTTTAACGGCTCTCATACGCTTCAGGTTCTCTCTTTGAAGAAAGTAGGTAAACAGACCGAGGGTGTCAATCTTCCCTCAGATCGTTACCGCATTGTGTTATCGGACGGCGTGCAATTTATACAGGCTATGCTGGCGACGCAACTTAATGAGATGGTTGTTGACAAGCACCTCACACGATTCACTATAGTCTGTGTGGAAAGGCTTTCTTGTAATTATGTGCAGGAAAAGCGGTATGTAACGCGTTTTGTGACCATCGTTCAACGTCTTGATCGCCACTCAGACTGGTCATTATAATGGCCCTGCGTATTCTCGGGCAAGTAGATCAGAAGATAGGAGAGCCGGTATCCATAGATGCTAGCACTTCTGAAGCAACGACCCCCGCACCTGAAAGACCTCCCCAGCAGTCAGTTGTCCAACCATCCACTTCCACTATCACTGCACAACCTGCTAGTCGTCCGCCTCCCAAAGGTAACTGGCATCCTATCGAGGGCCTCAGTCCGTATCAAAACAATTGGACCATCAAAGCGAGAGTGACACAGAAGTCGGAATTGAAGCACTATTCAACTCAGCGTGGGGAAGGAAAACTTTTCAATGTCACCTTTATGGACGAAACGGGCGAAATTCGAGCCACCGCGTTCAACCAGGTCGCGGAATCGCTGTATCCCAAGCTCGAGGAAGGGAAGGTTTATTATGTTTCTAAGGGAAAAGTAAACCTCGCGAAAAAGAAGTTCTCCAATGTCATGAATGACTTTGAAATCAGCCTAGAGAAGAACGCCGAAATCGAGGAGGTACGATCTGATGTTGTCCGTCTTCGTCTTATCTGAACGTTTTCACTCCAGTGTTTCGAGACAACAAATCTTCCGATGATTAAATACAGTTTTGTCACTTTGGGAGAACTGCAAAATTTAAACAAGGACTCTACTTGTGGTAGGTGCATCTGATCATCGCAAAGCTTCATTGCTCTTACTGTAGAAACAGACGTGATCGCCATTTTAAAGGAATACAGTGACGTCAACGAAATCACTTCACGGGCCACCAACCGTACTGTAAGCAAATACCTGCTATCTCCTCGAACAGACCTCATTGTAGTAATCCCCTTCACAGATGAAGAAGAGAGAGTTGACGCTAGTTGATAAATCGGGTTTCTCTGTGAGGTTGACCCTCTGGGGAAATCAAGCTGAGAACTTCAAACCTGATGAGCAAAACCCGGTCGTTGCTTTCAAAGGTGTCAAGGTCGGCGATTTCGGAGGTTAGGATTGTCGAGTTCCCGATTCGAGGCCGGATGTTGACCAAAAACATGATATTTTCTAGGACGTTCGCTGGGGATGATAGCAAGTTCCACCATGACTCAGAACCCCGATATTCCGGAATCGCATGCTCTTCGTGGCTGGTACGACTCGTCCGGTAGTGGCGCCTCTTTCCAATCACACAATAATGCCGGCGGATCTTTCGGTGCAGCAGGTGGTGGCGGGTTCAGTCGCTCAGAGCTCAAACCACTCCTAGAGATGAAATTAGAAGCCAATCGAATTCCTGAATCAGAAGAGAAACCCGTGTATTTTTCCACCAGAGCAATGGTCATGCACATCAGAGGAGAAAATATCGCTTATCCGGCGTGCGAGACCTGTAACAAGAAAGTCGTCGAGGACGGGGGTGCATGGAGATGCGACAAATGTGATAAAACACTAGCGGGTCCGACCTACAGGCATGCGGATTTCTTTGTGGACTTTTCTTGACATTGATTGTTCCCAAAAGATATATCATGTCGTTTGCCGTTTCTGATCATACAGGTCAACTTTGGTTCCAAGGGTTCAACGACGTTGGCGACACGGTTTTTGAGAAGACAGCGAACGAGGTTATAGAACTCAAGGTCGGTGGACTGGCTAAACTCATATTGACTTCCGCTCATGCCTCTCAGGATCGTGACGAGACCCAATATAATTTACTCTTGTCCAAGGCTTGTTGCAAATCGTACAATTTCCTTCTTCGCGCGAAACGCGACTCCTACAACGTTCGTCCAACGTTATCACCTCTCTTGACTGATTATGACATTTAATTCCAGGATAATAACCGTATCAGATATGGAGTTTCTCGTATCTTGCCGTTGAATTATAAGGAAGAATGTGACGCCTTGCTTGATTTGATGGACACGCCTTGGGGACAACAGACATTGAAGTCAGAGAGCGACATGGTAGTGTATTGAATTCTCATGCTTTGTTGGTTTATTTTTGTTGTTACTCTCTGTACTATAGTTCCTAGTGCCAAACCGAATGCGAATAATCAGGTCATAGTACTGCAACCTTCTGGATTATTCTTAAAAAGTTGCGTCGGAGTAGTCAGGACAGAGGCTTCACTGTGGTACTTATTTTCGGTTTTTCTGTCAACGACACACGTAATGCGCAAAGGTGATATACGGGAGAGCGTCATCGAACCAAAAATCATTGTAAGAAGGGAAAGCTCTATTTTTGAAGCTGAAGTGGTCCAGATGCCAAACTAGAGAAGGAACAGCATTTGGCTAGTAAAGTCGCGTAACCTCCAAATTACATGGGAATGAAACCGTACAACAAGAAAATCGTTGATTAACGCGTTTGCCAACGTAAAATATGTAGATTATAATCTAGAGTCTAAGTTCAGTCATCTTCCAATTGGGAACCGACTGTTACATCGGAATTCCTGAACACACCCCGTACGGCGCTCCCTATGTTTCTCAATCAGGGATTGTGTTCCCAGACAATCTATCTCAAGTCCGAGGGAAACTATCATACAACCAACCCAGAACCCACCCCACCTTGAACGGGTATCCATATGGCAAGGGGTGAAATCGTGGTCAGCATGTGCATTCTTCAGCCTGTCACTTGGCGCTCTTGGAAACAGAAGCAGCTTTCTTCCCAGGGACAAATAGCCAACTGACAGTGATGAGCAGCCTCACGCCAGTGCCAACGCCAAGTGCACCCGCAGAGCCAATCTTGTCGAGAATGGCGCGGGAGACAAAACCGCCGATGAAGAGCGAACTGGCGGCGATAAGTTTGTGATCTCGAGTAATGACTTTCTTGCGATAAAAAAGACGGGGATCGGCCATGAGTTCGACCCAGACGGTGGTTAGTACGACTGCATGCAATCAAAAAAAGTTTAGTCGCCTGGATGCGTTAAGAAAGACGTACGTACTAGTTGTAGTAAATTGAGTGTTTAATCGCTTCCCGATGATACCCTGAGTGCCAAGGCTCATGCTCATGAACGCAAGGCAGACGAAGGATAATGCATTCGTCCAACTGGGGTCACCACGGTCGTCCGCAACACTAGACTGACCGGACTTCCAGATAGTCAAAGCAGCCGCCATCGTGAACAATGTCTGCAAAAAAGTTCCAAAGACCAGCCAGATGCGTTTCTGTGAGCCGATACGGTCGCCTAAACGACCAATGAAGGCACCAAGATTGAATGCAAGGAGAGAAGTGAGAGCTTGTTGGTCCGCTCTGTGAAAGGTTTGGTCTATAGCTCCTCCGGGTCCTACGCTAAACAGTCGAGCGAGGGCAAGAGACAGTTGAACAAAGTTTCCTGTTTGGAAACCGCACCAAACGAACACCGAAGAGAAGGAGATGGCATCTCTAGAAGCAGACATTGAAAATCTTTGGGCATCCTTCGAATGTAGACTCACATAAAACCAGTCATAAAGCAAAAGGCAGCCAAAGGACCTGTACACTCTTTGGTATCGACCTCGGTGTTCAGATAATTCCAGAAGGACTGAGCTTGGCGTGGTGAAGCAATTGTACCAGCGTCATCGCTGCCACTCATTGAACCGCGCTTTTCTGGATCAGCCATAAAAATGGCGGTGAAAGCCTCTGATTGTGAAGGTAGGAAACTAAGTTTTTCATCAGCCTTTTGAACGATCCGAAATCGGAGCGGATGAAACGGATGTCCGGCATTTGAGTGACAAAAAGTTTTGCCCTCAGACCACCATGAGCCACTCTAAGCCCGCAGGTTCTCAATTCTCAAGTACATCTCAAGCCATCTTGGCGGTCTTAGTCCTCAAGGCTTCAAGCTTGTCAGGATCTTCGAGATCGCTCGGTTTGATCAACTGGCGGCGCCAGCGCAAATCAAGTGCTAATGTGATGCATATACAAACAAGCCACTATCAGCCACTACCACTACCTACTCGCATACAGAAAGGGAGGGCTAACTCAGTAAAGATCAAAGTATCTAGGACGAGTTTCAATTCAAGCTGCTTCACCGATACAGTGTCGTGGCCACCCATCACTCGATTTCAGTTCATCTTATCACTGCTTTACAAATGCAGTAACGTAGCACTATTGCGAACCTAGAGTGAGTGCTTCCCTCACTGCATTGGTGAGCTTTCACAGCCTTGGCATCCTTTCCGAAGACAACTCGTCTCAAGTTGTCGAAATTGAACACCAGCTGCCGATGACATGCAACGGTTTCCGAGTGCTCAGTGGTTTTACGCCTGTTTTCCGCCAAGCGCAACCAGGGTAACAATCGGATTGAACAGATATTTCATCATCAAATAATCTTGCAAGAATTTGGTCCTCGAAATCAGTCGAGTTTGAGGAATTTTTTTTTGATGCGCCTCATTTTGGACTTCCAGCACCGCTGAGGTAGTGTTACACCTTGTTGCACTGTGCACTGCGTACTCACTGCTGAACGATGAACTGGCTTCGACGATACTGCTTTTGTGGCGCTGACCGACGTCTTGTTTTGTTGTGGAAATCTTACCAATTTGGCTAGCATAGTATATCACCGGTAGAGGATAGCCAGCTCATGGTTAATACCAGCTGAGTGCACAGACAACACTCATATACATTTTGGGGAAGGTTTCGGTGTGAAACCAGGAACTAATCACCTTGTTTTCAGGATTGGAAGGTGGAGACGATGTTCTAGCATTATCCTGCCTTGTTTTTTTTTTTGCTTGTTCTGGCAATTGGTTTGAGTACTGTGCGCATTTCATCTGTCTTTCATCTTGTCTTCGTCGGACAATAAAGCACTTATCGTATGGATTCTAGCAATTGCCGTTCAATAAATTTCCATTTTTGGCAATTTTACACGGATTGGTTGTGTGCCAACCAGGCACATCCGTACACTCGCGTACACAAGCCTATTTATGGATATTTTCTGAATCAGAACGTACCTAAACTGGTAATTTTGTGAGCGCCGATCGGGATTGGAGACAACTCACTTCTTTGCTTGTTAATGGAAGTGCCACTGGATATAAATGCTACGGCGTCTCCTTCCAATGTCATCAACAAGTCCCCGACTTCGCTTTCCTTTTCAAGACTATACCTTCCTCGACATTTCCCTCGACACTTTGCTCGACTCTCAATAACCGACAATGATTCGTGCTCTCCGTGCTCGCAACTTCTCCAAACGCCCCTCGGAAAACACCCCTCCTGCTAAAAAATCGACCACTCCAAAAGGCATCCGCCGGAATCGCACTCGTAAGACGAAGAAAAACATTATTGCCGCTAAATTCGACGCTGAACAGGCTAAGAAAAAGGCTCAGAAGAGTTCGCTGCCTGTTCGTTTTAATGTCGTGTTTTATGGCGACAACGCCGACGTCGAAATGCAGGATGCGCCGAGTACTTCGCAACCAACAATTGTTCCAGTCATGCTTCCGAGAGCTTTAAATCAGCCACCGGTTTGCGAACCTTCTGGCGAGGCAATCGCTGCTGCCACTGGTTCTTCGTATTGCGGTCAACCTGCCGCTTTTGTCCGTGACGAACTTGAATCTTCTGGCCCTCGGTAAGCTTCTTTCATTTCACTTTATCTGAGCTTTTGACTAATTTATTCATGCGTAGATCTTTGCAAACTCTCTGTAGCGTGGTAACACAGGTCGACAGCGCCGTACTTCCTAAAGAGCTGGCTGTAGTCGTTAATGACCTTACTGCGACGGATTACCCGACACACATGCTCGCCGTCTACGCCCCAGTTCCCAAGAAACCTGAGAACGCGCCCGCGTCATGGGTTCCTCCCAGAACTGATGTCAAAATGTACCCAGTGCATTCGCTCTTCATGGCTGCTCACTGCGCCAAGCTCGGAGCTTTCCCTCCATCTCCTATTACTGCGGTAGAATCATTCCCTGCCTCCGATGAACCGCGAACAGTCACTCTCCCTGTTCGTCCCCTATGTCTTCCAAGCCCTTCGACATTTCCATCCCTCTTACACTACTTCTACCTCCGTCGCTCAGAAGTGTTATTCAAAGCATTCCTCCCATGTGACTTTTCGACAGACTTTGTCGAGAACTGCATGAATGAAGAGGAGATTATGTCTCTTGCCACGCACATCGGGAAGACATTTAATCCGAATGTTATTCTGAAACACGCCAAAGTAATACACGGGGTCTGGCAGAACGCTTGTGCACTGGGAGCGTTCGACGATGGGCTTTGGATGGCTATCGACTCGGCGTACGAGGTGATCATCAATGCACTGGCAATTGGTACCGGAAACCCTCGCGCCGTATATGTTGCCAAGTCACCTTCGCCGCCGACGCAGGCATAACTTGCTTTTCTACCGTGTTCATATGCTTTACCTACGATATGAAGTATGCTCCTACCTCAACTTCCCATGCCATTATGCTTTCAATCAACTTAACCCCCTAAAGTAGCAGTAGTAAGTTGTAACAATAAAATAACATTGTAGACCTTCTAGTAATTGTAGTCATAGTACATATCCTTATCGTATTTATCTTGATATCATTTTCTTGTGCCAAATGGATCACTGTTCTGAAAGACACCCAAAAGTTATTTAAAGCTCGATTCATATCTTTTGTTTGAGTGAGCGATAGAGCATATTACGATACCGAAAGGAATTCTGTATTATTTGACGAGCGCAGCTTGGTTTGACAGAGACATAAGGTAGTAAAAGACTACGACCATGATAGAACGGTGCACAGTTACTTAGTAGTAGTCATAGGTAGTTATCGATATATCTTCGCCTCTGATTTGTGCATGTTGTCATCGATATCTCCGAAATCTTTTGCTTCGAAAGAATATTGGTGCATAGCGCTGTCCGCGTCGACCGTGGGGGGGAATCACCGAAAATTCGCCATCTCACAGTGGGGCTGCTCAAAGCGCTCAATAGTACTCACCTCGCCTCGGAATCTGTAATATGATAATGGCCCCAATCAAGAGTGATGTTGAATTTGCGGCTGGGTAAATGAGCATTCGCTGTCGCGCAGTTCCCTGAGAAAATCTCCTGAATGATCAACTACAACCCTTTGCACCATAAGTAGAACGTCGTCATCCGAAACGAAGGCCAAACTAATTTGACTGAGATGCAATAAAATGAAGGACACTATAGGACGATAAAGGTAATAAAGATCTGCGTCAAGTCAGATGCATATAAATATGTAGATACTTTGAAACACATACCACGTCCAATGAAGCCCACTTTAACTCAGCTTCAATTTCTTTGTACCGTCAACCACGTCTTGTTCCGTTGCCCTCCTCTTTCCCGCCTTCTGCAAGTCCCCATCCCTCTTGGCCTTATAGACCTTCCACATTTCATCTAACCTGGGCTTGTCCTCCGACCGAGCATAATTGTCTTTGAAATAACCCACAGCACAATCAACGTAGTCGAAGCTATTCTTGAAAATCCCCCCGCATTTGGTCTGTAGTGTACCGATGTCCCTCAAATTGTGAACAGCTGAGTTCTTGTCTTCCGCTGTGTCGAATAACGCGTATGCCTTCAAAGAACTGAAGAAATCCGCATCTAAATATTTGCTGTTTTCAACGAAAGTGAACGGAAAAGTCGGCAGCTTTCCCTTCTCAATGACCGCAACGGCTTGCGGAGATGATGTCGGCTCCGCTGCAAAAGCTTCATCTTGGAAGAGGAGGACGTATACATGATCCGGGTCATGCTTTACCGTTCTGTCCACCCATTTACCGGTACCCCTTTTGCCACTTTTTTTACGACCAATCCTCAGTAACGAGTCTTGAACAATGTCGTCAGCAAGCATTACATGAGAAGCACAACATATCATCGACTTACCAGGCCGATATGTGATTTCATTTTCCGCACCAGCTAGATCATTCCTCATCAAGCATTACATGAAAGGCACAACATATCATCGACTTACCAGGCCCGGATGTGATTTTCTTTGTCGCTAGATCATTCCTCATCAAGATTACACGGAAAGCACAACATATCATCGACTTACCAGGCCGGGGTGTGTAAACACCAGCTAGATCATTCGTCCTCTTGCGTTTGTAGGCGGTCCAGATATCATCGAGCTCGGACCAGTCATCCGAAGGAACAAACTTGTTTCGGATAAAGAGCACAGCACAATCAACGTAATCAAAACTACTCTTCAAAGTTGTCCTCAGGCATTTGGTTTGAAGCGTGTCAATATTTCTCAAATCATCAAAGGCTGATTGTTTTTCGACGTTGGAGAACTGCGCCGATGCTTTCAAAGTTGTATAGTAATGTGTCTGAATTGTGTTTTCGAGTTTTTGGAAAGGCTGAAATTCTTGGGCCGGAATGACCTTGATAGTTTGGGCTGATGAGACCTCCGGTGATGTCGTCAGTGATTCAGTCAACTCTGCAGCAAATATGTTGTCCCCAATGACGAGGGCATAGATATCGTCCGCGCGATTTTTTGTATCTCTTGTCATCCATTTTTCCAGTCCATTTGCCTTCCTCCGACAGCGCCTTATCGTCATCCGTAGCTTTTCCACTGGTGTCATGATTTTATGTCAGCATTATGAGTAGTACTTCGATGATGTGGTCGACTTGCCATTTCGTTTCTGGTGTTGCTGAGAAGCAGACACTGACCCCGAGGGAATAGCAATAGCGGACACACTGAGGAGCACAGTGGTGAAAAGGAGACATATTGAAAATAGCTGACTCGGAGAGGATGTCGATGGAAGAATTCGGTACCACATCGCAAAGAGACGGAGAGCAGGCAACTGGCTGGATGGGTGAGAGGTGGAGGTGGAGTAAGCGATGGCCTACGATAGAGCGTAAGTTTTAAGCACGAGACAATCATTAAAAGCCAGTCAGATTAAACAGAGAAAATACCTTGTCAAGGAGCACACCCGACAAACGATCCAGCAACAGATATTTCCTGACCGGCAGGAAAAACTTGTCCAGAGGCAAATCAACTATAGCAACAACAAAGTCAGCCATGGGGGTCAATAAAGAGGTGATACGTACCGAACCAGCGTTGAGAGGAGGCAGGACGAAGGCTGGGGGAAAGAAAGTATTGCACGCAAGGTGACCTAAGGTGACCTGTGCTGACCTTGTGACCTCGTGCAACAACCTTGATGGAAGCCGACGGTTGAGACTAAATAGTGTACCCCCGCGGGGACCTACACCTTGCTTGGAAGTTGGTCACATTTTCGAGCCATATTTCCATGATCCTAGTAAGTACTTCTAATCAAAATCTCCTGTTGTCAGATACTGGAGATCAAAAGAGAACAGCAGCAGAATATGTTTATTTCTGAGGCAATGAATGTGTACAGAAGAAGTGTTGTACCGAATGCGAAGGAGACAAATGAGTAGTTCCGATGGCGACGGGAAGGTGCAGTTTGTTGGCGGAATACCGAGGGCAAAGGAGACAAAGGAGGACGAAGGAGAGGAAAGTGTACAATACCCTACAAAACGGTAAGGGACTGGCACCGACGGCAGTGGGAAAGGAGTAAGGAAGTACCAGGTGGGATTGCTTTGAGGTGTTTGTGAAGTGACGAATAAGGAAAAGGATCTTAGAAAGTGTGGACGCGCGCTAAACTTAAAGGACCTATGCAAGCAACTGCAAGCAAGGTGATCTAACAGTAATTCCGACTCCTCTACCTTCCTCTACCTGCCCCACAACAAACTCCCTCACCATATCGCATTGTTCCCAAGCTTTTCCGCTTGCTATTTCTATCTTACACGAACTTCCCCAGTGCCACAAGTCTCCTGTTCTACAATCTTTACTTAATATCTATCTACTGAAAGAAGCATTCATTTCTTTTTTGTGTGAACTCACAAATTTCATGAAGTCAAACCGAAGAACACAATGCAAGCAAGGTGTATGTTCCCCAGGGGTTACCTTAATTACTCACAAAAGGCTGATATCACTGATTAGGCGACCCTCAGGCCCATATGTCCGGATCCGGATCCCTTCCTATCCTTTCGCTCTTTTAACTCTCACCTGTCCCCACCTGTCTTGAACACGGTTACTTAGAGAGTGATTATGGTCAATTATCGACGTTTCTGGGATAGGGATACTCTTTCGGTTTCGCATTTTCTCCTCTGGACAGCAGCAGCAGCGACGTATTTGAGTGTTGCTGCTGCTGCTGGTGGTGGCAAAGCCCGGGTCAGGACTAGTACAGGTGAGCAATAATATATCGATCGCGACCTCACCCACGTCAAATGATATGTATTGTACATAGATATCACTCTCGTCATCTTCAACCAATATCAAACAATCGAACACTGGGGTCTCCTCGTTGGGCCAAACCTCCTCGATGCGAGATTCGATTGGGACAAACACACAAAAAACATAAAACCCATCCTCCGGACTAAACTAACACCAGATTGGTCCCCCAGCAAGGCCTTGACTCTACCTTACGAGAGCCCACTTGGGAAAGTAGGATGGGACGTAATGGATCCAGATAACAGGTGCACAAAGGCATTCATGAGATTGAAAAAGCTTCAGTTGAAGAAAGGGTACAAGGAGATTGGTGGGAATTGTATGGATTCGGTGAAGGGCGCGCTGAAGTATTTGGGGAAAATGGGGTGTGTTGAGGATAATGTGATGCGGAAGTATATGAAAATTTATGAACAGGATTATGCGAGGGTGAGGAAAGCGGTGTTTGAGGAGAGGGATGAGAGAGAGATGAGGGACGAGGGATGTTACATAGAAGGGATGTCAAGTTGTTATGAATGAATGATGGTTAATGCAGGAAGCAAAGGGAGCGTTGGGTCGATGCTGTGAACCGGGAAGTGTGCAAGGGTGAGCAAGTGAGTCGTCCGAGCCATATCCAGTAGTCAGGAAATTCTGACTTTTCAAAAACATTCTCTTTTTTTCAAGAGCAAAGAGACACTATTTAAGTACTTACAGGGGGAAATCGATATTTTTTTCCTTCCTGTCGATATCCTCAACCACTTTTGCCAAAGTTCACAGATCGTACATAGCTGATTTTCTGTAAAGAGAGCGGTGCGACTTCGATGTGGAGGCCAACGGTGGGACAGATATGGATTTGTTTATGTACGCCAGGCTCGCGGTGCACTCAACTATGTGAATCTGCCTCTGTGAATTAGGATTCTACCGCGCCCCATAGATAGTAATACATAAGCAAGACGGAAAGCAAGAATATCAAGATGCTCAGTTCTGCTAAGTTACAATACTTCATTGTCAATCATAATCGAGCATAAACGAATAAGCACAAATCGTCATATTATCGAAGTAACCAAGAAGAATTTGTGCCAAAGGACACCCAAGATTAATCAGGTCCCCACCAAACCAGCTCCAGAATCTTCCATACTGGGCCTAACGTTCGCTTCAACGATTGTGCTGTAGACTCAACGAGAGGTTTTAAATCTTGCCACTGGAACTCCCACAGAGATTGCATGGTTATGAGAGCATATGTTTCTTTCGAGGCAGTAATAGAAGAAGGATGAGGCGATGAGGATTGTGAGGAGGTCGATGATGAGGCTTTCGACCTCGCGGGGATGTTCGGCGGTGCAAGTGAGAGCGTTGAAGTGGCGGAAACGGCGTTTGATGGGAGGATTCCCGAATTCGCGGTAGGCATGGAAAAAGCAGGTTTCGTCTCGGAAACAATCGAAGTTGGGCCCTTACTCGACGACTTCATGTCTTCATAGGAATACAGCGTAGTAGTCACTGTGACCGTTTGTGGGATTTCATTCCAACCAGATTCAACAATCAATGGATATCCCTCGAGCGATTTTCCAAGAGAATAAACTTGCCAACGTATTTGGAAGACGAATAGTAAGCCGACCGAGACTACGATGGTATAGAGTAGGGGTAGATAGGCTGAAAATGGCGAGGATCCTTTAGACGGGTTTAGGCGTACTAAGAAAGAGAGGTGCGGATAGAAGAATTCCTCTGTAGAATAATGAAGCAATCTCCGTTTTGTCGTAGGTGAGGACGAATGATGTAAATTGGTTCGCATCGAAGACAACTTCAGGCCTAAAAGGTCAATCAGATATGAATGGTCTGAGGAAAGTATGGCAAAATATCTTACCCGGGGCATCTTCGACAACAACCTCCAACCTGCCCACTGGAAGGGAAAACGAAGGAAGATAGATATCCATCGGTACTTCATCGCGTGCCTTCTTCTTTCCCTTACCCCCGGCTTTGCCTTTAGCATCATCCTCCGTTCTAACGACATAATCCACCACGACCATACTCCCTCCCGCACCACCAACGCGCACCCGGATCCAACTTATCCACTCCTTACTGCTCATCTCACCAAATTTGACTCCACCCAAATCAACCACGTCTAATTCTTGACTCGCGGTAGGCGCAGTGGCAGCGGTCGTGTCGAACCGCACGGGAACTCCCTCAACACTCACATTGACCAAATCGATCCTGGGCGGTCGACGATCTGCGTCTTTTGAGCCGGCTGAAATTCCAGGTTTGGCTAATCCGAATTCTAGCCATTCAGAGACCATGTCTGCAGGTGCTGGAAGGGATAGCCGGACGGCGTATGATTCAGGAAGGCCTTCTGATGTCGAGGGAAGCAATGGAGTCACAGTCGCGTTGACCCATGGAATCATCAACGGTCCATCTCGAACTGGTCTTGCAATCACCGTCGTACCAGAGGGGAGCTTGCCCAAAGAACTGAGTGATGTACGAGGAACGCGATTGTTGATTTGCCCATTGATTGGACTAGAACTTCTACTTCCTATGCTACCGCTTGGAGTAAGAGGTCGGGCAAGAGGTCGTAGTGTGGTTTCATCTGTCCGTTGCTTGTTGACAGGTGTACCATTGGCAGCAACTGGGAATGGTATGCGTTTCAGAGCGATTCGTAATCCGTTGTCGCTGCTGGACTTGCTTATAGCACCCTTATTTAGCTGGGTGGGTCGTCCTTTGATCGAAGAGGACGACATAGAGTCATTGTACACTTCGACAATTTCTCCGTCGGGCGAGTCATTTTTTACAATGAAGGAGAAGCTCTCCGAATCGGCAGCATGTACTGTAAACTTTGGAAGTATGACAGACCGCAAATCGTCGGAATCACCTTCGCCCTCTGACCCAGAATGAACAGTAGAGTTGCCATTGAGTCGGGGATGTGGTGGACGTGGCGTAACCACTACAGTTCCAGATATACTGAAGATAAAATTGTTTCGAGAGGCGGGAAGAAGTTCGTTCATATTGAGATGTAGCGTGACTGGATGTTCAGGGCCTCGATCAATACGGGATTGGGACTGGGAAGTCAAGTTGGATACGGAGGCAGGGAGGGAAGACAGGGATTCAGTGCCATTTGAGGACAATATTCCAGACGCGGTGGGTGATCCCTCGAAGGAATAGTCGGCTACGTTCTGAGTAGGAAGGGGCGCACGAAGTAGAGAGGAGGTCGAAGAGGAGGTCGAGGAGGTTGAATCCTGTCTGGAAGCTAGCCCTGATGCACGAGGAAATTTAATTTCACCATTCGGGGTGGATGGTAGGATGTTGATATCTGGATTTCCAGCGTTGGACTCGAGGGAATCATGTCTTGATAGCTTCTGATTGGAACCAACATCAAACCCAGTGTATCCAGTGCCACCATTGACTTGCCACTCGTTCGGGAACCCTTCAGCCCATGTAACACCAGAGTTTTTGGCAATTAACCCAACATCCATACCGAGCATCGTGGCAACGCCAGGGAACCAGACGCCCTTGCAAGTGCCTTTGTACGAGACTTCTATCAAGACACCATTACCAGCCTGTCCTCGAATAACACATGTCATTTCTCCTTTGACGTCCTTCACACCTACTCTTCGTCGGCCATCACTTGAATCGACCGTGTCAAACGATCGGATAGGTTTAGCCCAACGGACGCGGATCCTCTCAGCGCTAGGAAAAGTTCCACTAATGCCACAACCATACGAGAATCCTACAGTAGAAGAATCACTGGACTCGTCGTCTGCAAAGTTATTGTTGTACGAATTGGAGCGAGAGCGAGAAGTTGTGTTACGGGTTACATGAGGCTCTGATGCGAGATCCCAAGAGCCACTTTCGTCGTTGTCCGTAGATGAAAGTGACGCAAATGAGGAAGAGATGTTGGGAGTACTTGGAGGGAATATACGGAGATTTATGTAGTTCTGTAGACATCGTGGAGTGGGAATTGAGAGTAGATATGGCGCGCGCGGTGGTCGAGAAACATATGGAACAACCATGTCGATGGCGGCCATGAAATGGACTTGATTCCGTTCACTTATGGGTGATCGGCGTCGAGAGACGGCGGAACCGGCCTCCAAAGGGAAGTGCTTTGGAAGCACATAGGATATGTAGTAATTACTGACCAGGATGTGACCTGTGAATGTGGCATCAACCACAGTCGAAGATTCCGCCGAGGCCAAGTTAAAAGTAGACTGAAAAGTCTGTTTCGAACGTTCCGGCAATTTCAAGGCACGAGCAGCACGATGGAGCAGGGGTGAAACGGTCGAATCAAAGTTGTAGGGGACGAAATTACTGTCAAGTGGATGGACCTGAGAGGAGAGAATCTTGACGTTTTCCTCTACAAAACGGTTGAGCTGCAAGTTTTACGCGTAAGGGGGGCTCACTGACCTGGAAACAGTTGTACGGTCGATCCGGGGGAGACAGAATCTAGAGGTAAAGACATCTATTGCGGGCTCAGCAACATTCCAAAATCACCGTGCGCTGACATACCTTAAGATACATCCTGATGAAAACACTGTCTTCATTCTGTTTCGCTTTTCCCTCTATGGCCACTCTGTTGACTACATTGAGCTTTTGCTGCGCGCCAAGGGGTGTGATAGTTGGTGTACTATAACTCGAAATCGACGCCGGCGGGCTCAGAGCGCGACTTAAGCGACCGGGTGTTGAGTAGGACGATGAAGGGAGGTTCATTTGTTGTGGATTCTGTCGTGAAGGGGTTATGATACTGGGCATGTTGTTTCCTACGCGGTGATATAAACGCGTCGATATTGAGTTGAACGTTTATAATTTCGGGATGTGAAGATCTGTACAAGAAGACGTCGACGTGAATATAGATAGATAGAGCATTAAAGTGGGTCAAGAAAAAAGCAACCGAGAAGGAAAGGAAATACAAAGTCACGTTTGTGGTTCTTGAGCTTCGAAAAGCCCTGAGTAGAGCGCCCAGAGAGCGCCTCAAGACCGAACAACGACTTTTCCGGCTACCACCACCAATGCCACTATGTCTTCCTCGTTTTCTCTAGACGAAGAGGTTCGCCTGTACCAAACAAATGCGGAAAGAGAAAAGTACAACTCTCTTGCTACGCTATTTGGTATAATCACCGCGATCCACTATCTCGAAAACGCTTATCTACGGGATTCAATCACTGCAGCAGAGTATGTTCTTATATTTTTGTCTAAATTCAATCTCAGGGAGAATTTGGAAGAGATACTCGCCAGCATGCTCTAGACTACTCTCACAATACAAGACCATGCTGAAACTCGTCGGAGATGATGTTCCTTCCATCGAGGAATTCATGAAGAGATATAGGGTTAGTTGTTTAGTTGTGCAGCCATTTTCGAATCCCGTTGATTGTTCGTAGATGGACTACTCTGCTGCACTAGAACGAGTCAAAGTGGGCGTTCCAGCAACAGTAGAACATCCAACCGATTCTGGCCCAGAGACCGCTAAATGGGTAGCGGAGACGACCCAAGTACGCCTTCAAAATCACTGCAAGTCACCTGTGAACTTACACATCTTTTTCCTTTCCACAGAGCTTCATAACATTCATGGATGCTCTGAAGCTTCGTTTAAGAGCTAAGGATCAGCTTCACCCATTGCTTCAAGAGCTTGTGACAGGATATGCTCGCTTCAAGGGCAGCAAGGATTGGGAAGGCAGAAGTCGGATGGTCGGCTGGTGCGTCGTCCATATTATCATTCATTGCTCCGACCATATATCCTTTGTCCGTTAGGCTCATCACCCTCAATGGCATGAAAGCTTCAGAAGAGATTACCGAAGAACAGTCACGCCAATTGCTATTCGATGTGGATCATGCTTATGCCGAGTTCTTTCGCAGTCTGAGTGGCAAACCAAGTGATCCTTCATAAAGTTATGCGTATGCTAGATCTATGTATCGTGAAAATCAATCACACCAGTGATGTTGCAACCTCGATCAACATATGGAACCTCCACCTAAGTTCTCGAGGTTATTTACATGATGATCCTATCTTTTCCCCAGATATTGCTCCGATACACTACCATTCCAACAAGGAAATTGAAACTCAATCCACTGGAGCCCGACCCAGCGGAACCAATGTCTGCTCAGTGCTTTTTCCACATGTGCCATGAGCTCCATCACCACCAAACATATCAACTAGGCCCAATCGCCCCCAGATTCCATTCACGAATATAGGTTTTTTTCTCATCATATTTTTTTAATCATTTGCCATTTTCCTATGCCCCACGAGCCATCTGAGACTGGAAAGCACCACAAACTCATTGGATGCCTCCCAGCTCACTGTCATGTACAAGGGTTGTATGATTACTGAAAGTGACACTTTTCGTTGTACAAATTCTGATGGATACTGTAGTGTCTTGGCAGATGAGACCAGCAAACAATTAAAGACATTGCAAATCCTCAAAATGGGGTTGGTCAAAGCGATATATATTGAGTCGCAGTGGTCATCGCGTGATGGGTGAGACGAACGAAGGAGTCACAAATGAAAGAATAGTAGAATAAGTTTTGTAGAGTAGTTTGGTTGGTTGATTAGTGAGACAGGTCTTCCTATTTACAAGAACAGACCAAGGTGAGATGGACACGTATATGATGAAGATTGATTGTCCAATGTCTAGTGGGAACGAAGCTTAGGGAAATAGAATAAGCAAAATTCTGACCTGTCGAAATCTCCCACTCGAGTTTTTGATACAGCGGCATCTAATAACTAAGTGGAAGAGGAAGGTTCACGGACGACCCCGTCCAGTCCCTCTTCCACAATACCCCAATTACACTGAGCCCTTCGCTGGTAGCCATTCCATCATGGAAGTAAGGGTCTAACCAAATAGGAAGAGCGATAGCGAACCAGACCAAAGTCCAGATATATCCAAGAATGCGCACATAGGATCCAGCTTGAATGCCCAACCTCTTCCCTGCTGCGATAACACTGTCCTCGAGAATTATCATCACAGCCTGTGATAGGAAGAAGGTAAAGCTTCCGCCTGCCCAGAAATCCCGATGTTGAAGCGAGTAGTCACACATTTGATGAATGGTACCTGAAATTAGAAACGCAACGAAGAGTTTTGTGTATGCTGATATTTTTGTCCCCTGCTTCAGATTCAGAAAGCGCTGCGCAACGATGTTTCCTGGAGCGGAAACCCAACGTCTCATGATTTGATGCCACGTTCGTCCCCAGAATCGACGTATAGTGTATGCATCGCTCCATTTGCCAAACAGCTCGGGTCAATCTTCAGGGCGGTAGAATCCAGCGGCAGTGGCAATGATACTAAACATTTTATACTGCAATTGTAACGTCGCCGCACCTGGGAGCGCGAATATCCAAACGTTCAGGATGCGCATAAATGGACCAACATTGGAAATAGATGGACCGTTTAACTGAAAGCCTGGATGGCTTCGCAAGGCAAGATTGGCAGCGTCACCGATGAAAATCCATGGTATGGTCGAAAGGAACTGGGATATAATGAATGAAACCCGAGACTGAGCTTTGGGATGTGGAGGAAGGATATCCTTCGGTTCGTGACTCCATCCGATTCCTCGAGGTGATAAAACAAGCTTCCATGCCCACAGAAAACGCGTCGAAAAAGGTTGTTCGGATATGTTTTTCTCGTCGCCTGCAAGATGTAGCTCCGAGTGAGGGTTGGTGAGAACAAGGAAATCAAGTGCTTGGAAAGTCAAGCAGCCTAATGCTGTGGAGTAGGCATAATTCAGAGGAGGAATCCCGGTGCTGCTGCGAAAGATTGTGAGGTATGAGGTGCTAAGGAGAGCAATGAAGAAGGATATCCGAATGCTTCGAGACTGAAAAGTCAATCCAAGAGTGAAAATAATGAGTGTGAGAGGAATTATGAAGGATGGTGTTGGTGAAATCTGTTGGTCCATATCAAGGGTGCGGGCACTGCTAGAAGAAGGTTCAACCTAACGTACTAGCCATCATCAAACAGCATGATCATCGTTCCCGGCATACTTCAAATTCCGAATCTGAACAATCACCTCGAACGCAACTTCCATCATTGAATCCGGATGGTACATTACTTGTGCACTAGTACCATGGCATAGCATTCCAAGGCGATTCACATGGTCTTGAAGTCTCATGAGGCAAGCTGAAATTGATTATCTGTCCTTCAGATCGCTAATGCTGTGAGCCCACTTCAACGCAACTTCAATGAGATTCAACCTCGAATTTCGGCCCGTATAAATAGGATCAACCTGTGCTTCACACACTCTTACAAGCATTGCCTGCTCATCTGTTGTTTGAAAATAGCAGCTTGGTACGGGATCATCATGAATCCATGTATCAGATATGAAACTTTGGTCAGTACACAGGCCTGGTATAAAAAGAACTGTAACTGCGAGGGCTAGAGCACCATCATCCTTTCTCCTCACCTCATTGACCGTTATGTCTGCCATACCTGTCATTATTGATATCAGACCTACCATCGGTGCTCTATTTTGTGGAGTTATTGCAACATCAGTGTATGTATATTTCAATGACTTGAAATGCACATCACAGGTCATTAACGCAATCACCATAGCTTTTACGGGGTCACCATCTTACAGACTATATTTTACGTATGTCAAAATATTGTTTCTGTCATTCACTTCTCATGCTTGGCATGACCTGTAGTTTCAAACGTATCCAGATGACAAGACATTCATTCGAATTGTGGTGATTGCTGCTATACTTACACAAACAGCTCCGTATACTCAAGCTAGCATCTATCATCAGGTTTTATTTGTATGGTGAGACGACGGATTTCTGATGAATTCACAATTTTTAACCTGAGAATTTGTATCGCCACTACTTACAGGGCTCTAGATACTCTCGACCTTTTTCTGGTTGTAAACGGGCTTTGGACATGGTCTATTGCCAACTTTGCCAATCCATTGGCCTTACTGGAAGTGCCTTGGTATGTGTATATACTTTTCACCTTTGGCACAAACTCGAGATTGACTGGAAATAGGAGCATAAACGTTTGTCTGTTTTGATTTTAGGGAAAGAAAAATTGGAAATAATGGATACTTTTACAGGCTGAACCTGTAGTAACAGTAAGTATTCCTAATCTCAAGCTGGAATATCTTCCAATCTTCAAACTTTTGAAAGGCAACCATATCCACAGCAGTACATCTGTATGTATGAGGCTTTCTACATATTTTGACTAATGATAGCTGTTTAACTCTAGTTTTTTTCAACCCAGATTTATGGCATACCGCATCCGAACCAGTGTGTATTTTCTCTCATCAGCAACTTCCGAGTAGACTGATGACCGGACTGCCTTTTAAAAAGTTAATCAACGTTTGACACCAATTGCTGTTATTGTGGTATGTGCTGACCTCAGAAAGAAATATGAACACTATATAATCAGATGGCTCTATTTGTCGTTAATTCTAGGGAATTGTGACATTCTTTAGCTGGAGTAAGTGGTATTTCAGTTGCTGCTCGGTGGTGTCACATTGACTCATCCTCCTGCTTTTAGCACTGGGGCTTTGTGAGTGAATTTATCACACAAATTGTAAGATTGACGCTCATGTGGTGCTAATTTGCACTACACAGATGCAACAATCCATGGGTGAGTGAATATCTATTCTTGGAAGCATTTCTCATCAACAGCTTGAAAGCTTTACAACCAGAGGAAGTATTGAGAATGTCACTCAGGCTCTTCGTGTAAGCTGGCTTATATTTATATTCTATCTGAACATCCTTTTGATTAGATATTAGTGGACCGACATTGGTGCAAATGTTTCCGCTGCAGCACTGGATGTGACTATCACAGTTACACTATGTCTTCAGCTTTATTTCAGTAATCATGGCTTTGAGACCTTCCCAAAGTGATTGATTTCTTTCTTTGGCTCTTTTATGTGAAGCTAATATCTAAGCCCAACAGAACACGAAGAATCATCATGTACATGAGTGTATACTTGATTGCAAACAATATAGTAACAAGGTCTGTGCATTGCCAATTTGCCATCTGGTGAAGCAAGCAAATAATCAATACCTGATCATCAAACAGTATCATCACTGTCAGCGATGTGATCACGGTAAATGGTCTCTAAGATCTTCGTGATTAGAGCTTCATTCAATCTTCTTTCATTGACAGTTTTTTGCTGCCCCGAAGACCCTTGTTTATTATGCATTCCTTTGCATGACCTCCAAAGGTACATTGAAATCCATCTCCGAATGAGGACGGATCAGCTGACATTGAAATTCTTTAGCATACACAAATACTTTTTTGGCACAGTAAGTCTCCTCATCTTCAACCATTACCATTCTCAAACAAAATTCCAAATTTGAATGATCAGACTCAATGCTAGGGTGTATATACGCCGTGAGAGTGACAAGTCATTGTCCAATATGAATCCGTCCCGCGCAATTGTCTTCCGTGCAAGGCAGACAAATGAGATAGAAAATTCGTCCATGGACCATGTTTCAGTAAGTGGTTGTTGGCATTCAATCTCATTGGGAAGTGGTATGCATTCTGATTATTCCGATTGGTGTAGAACAACCGCAGGGTCCCTAATTTCAATCAAACATATGAAGGACCAGCATCTCAGGGAGGACAAGGACGGACAATGGTATTGGAAAAAATTGAACAACTGGTATAAGTAATGAGAGGTCAGGAGGACATACACTATGATCTTTTTCCTCAAGATTGAAGAAGAAGCAGAAAAGATAAATGATCCTCCTGTATATTATTTATGACCAACTCAAGTCCTTATTTATTTAATGGCTACTCGAATCCTACATACACAGGGAGAGACAGATTTAAAAGTTACGGGCAAACCAATACTGCGATCCAAAAGGATCCACGGCTTCGACATATTTAATCCTTCCCAATCTAATAAATTCAAAAATATAAACCGTTTGCTTTCTAGTATGAGGTACCTGCAGAATAACGCAACGTTGCTTACTGTAGTCCGACCAGCCTGGTTCGAACAGGCGACCCCAAGATGAAGCAGGAAGCCTATTACAGTCTTGTGCTCTTCCAGCTGAGCTATGGTCGGATGTTCGGTCATGGTGATATAGGAAAGGCTCAAAGTCGGACGAAATTATCTATTTCAAGTTGTTCTGTAAAACACGCCTTCCTTCAATACGGCTTGATTTGAGCGTTGATTCAGCCTTCTTTTATCTCCTTCAAGGTCCTAAGACCTGAATGCAAATATTTAAAATGAGCTTTGTGAACTACCCGTTTTTTTGATAGAGCAGATTGCTCACGGGCTTGAAGGTTCTCGGCGGAGACAAGACCTGAATGCAATGAGCCAACAAAGTATTTTAGAAACATCAAGATGAGAACTAACCACAAGGACTATGTAGAGCTTCTTCAAGAGACATGAGTTCTCCTCCCAGTGTCCCAGACGAGTCGTCATTGACTTCCTCTAACATAGCAGGTGGGGAGAGCATCAGTGGTCCATTCACCACTACTCAAGCTGAACTTCGAGATAATTGAGATAAGCACAGTGCGAATACCGGTATGTAGAAGAAATGATAAAACATAGGCTTCAAGCGTGTCGAAATCCTTATCAATATATATGAACAGTACGACTCACCATCATTGCTAACACCGACGAGGAAAGATATGGAGACGTTAGCAGAGTGAGACAAGATCATGAAAGCACGACAGTGATATGTTCGAGCGACTGATTTATTTGTTTTGTCCTAGTAAGTACAAGGAGATTTACTCTTCACGCTTAATTACATTTACCCCCAGAGATGAGCCTGTTCGTCTGAACCGAAGTACCTATCACCGAACACAGGATTGGTGGTGATCACCTCGTCGATAGCTTTCGATTCTTCAGGAGTGAGTTCAAGAGTTCCAGCCTTCAAATTCTCGAGAGTGCGGGAAGCTTTCCTGCGAGAGTAAATAACATTGAATCAAACAAAAAATATGAAAAGGTCAAGTGAACTTACGAGGATCCTGGAAGCGGTAACATGTGTGGTCCGAGAGAAGCAACCCAGGCTATACTCAACTGTGCGGGAGTGACGCCTTTCTTCTTGGCGATAACTTGCAAACCCTCGACTATAGCCCAGTTGGCCTTGAAGTTTTCTTCCTTGAAACGCGTCAAACGAGAGCGAATATCACCCTCTGAATAGCACAGCTTGTCAGCAAAGGGAGTGTAAAGAAAAAGGCAAATATCGAGTACCGGGAAGGTCGCTGGTAGATTTGATCTGACCAGTCAGATAGCCTCGTCCCAAAGGCGAATATGCGACAACAGTGATGTTCAATTCGCGTGCAGTAGAAATAACTGCCTTCTGATTATGATCGTAGGACCACGGACTGACTTCGATCTCGGCCGCGGTTATAGGATAAATCTAGCGCAATATCTCTTAATTGAAAAAGACAAAGCAACAGAAAACATGACAACAGCTTACCTCGTTAGCTTTACGCAAAGTGTTTGCATTACACTCCGAGAGACCGATGTGCGAGAATTTGCCTTCCTTGACAAGAGTGACCAGGTTGTTCATGATGGTTTCGAGAGGAGTTTTGCGGTCAATGCGAGCGGGTTCGAAGAGATCGAGTTTCTTGTTGGGTCCGAGAGCGCTTTGAATCTTATCGACACTGGCCCTCAAGCATTCCATGCTGTGAAATGTTAGAACTTGAAAGCGAATATCCAGACCAAATATACGCACGAGCCATCAGGGCCTCCATTACGAACGCCACCTTTCACAGAGAGGAATGTTTTGTCTGCATAGTCCGGGTATTTTGCATAGAATCTGGACAGTAATTCCAGGTTAGCAGTACCGAAATCCATCGCATAAAATTCGCCTGGGTAGTAACCACTGATCAGAATGTATACAAGAGCTGAAGATTGCTGCACATACTGCTGTTCAGAAAAGCTTTGGTCCCAGTCGGTAAGGCGTCAACGCCGGCCTTGATAGATTCAAAAGCTTGCTCGTCGCTGACTGGGTTGGGAGTCCATCTGCATATTGTCTGGTCAGAATGTATACGACCGTACAAGTGAGCCGGCGCACGTCATCAGCATCAAACCGTGCTAGAAAACTAATAGTCAGAACAAGTCCTTTTTCAATCGTGATGAGGGATTTACTCACAGCAACTGGACCAACTGTTATGTCTGAAGCAGTACCTCCAAGTTTGAGTGTTTTGATTGTCATTGTCAATTGAGATCTTGTATTGGGACGATGGGTTGCAAAGAGAAGCGATGTTTGGATGGAGGTTATAAGGTTTTTTCAACTTTTATAAAGGTTTTCGATATCGGTCAAGTCCGGGACCTGTGAACATTTCTCGCATTCAACCGACATCCAATGCTATTACGCATTTGAGGATACGAGATACCACAGTTTCCTTCATACATCGGAGAGAACTCGGTTCTAAAATAAAATGAGAAATCCAAGCTGAGAAATCGTTCAACCAAGACCTCGGCAGTGGCGATTACATAACATTCTCAGTAGTACGTCGACATCCTCGTTGTGAAAATTCTTGGTCGTCACCTGTCGTCACCGACGGAGACTGTCCAATTGCGAACTTTTTGTATTACGGGCCCTGCCAGTTTCCTTCTCCCTCTGTTGGGCCAACTAATGTCCTACACTATTGGAGAAGCCACCGCCGGTATACAGAGAGATATCGATGGACACTAGTGGATACTTCGCGTCCTTAGTATGGCTTCTAGCGATTACTTTGATGCAGAAATTGTGAGTCTGCATCGCATTGATACCGCATCATCCGCGCCTACATAAAGGTAGGTGTTTATATATCATCTCTCAATTCTACGACTTCCTACTTGCGCTGGTCGTTAGTTATTTACAACCTCTGTAGGTCAAAGGCATCCGCTCAACAACCATTTACATCACCTTTTCTCTCTCCCGGTTCTTGATCCTCTCGGCGTCTACGTAGCAACCTCTTGCAACACTTCCCGCTATCAAATCCCGTCATTTCTTTTTGTTTTTCTCCATCATGCATCGCAATTGGTTACACGATATCATGCGCAACCTTTTCATAATCCTCGGCTGCGTCTCCGTTGTATTAACTGCTGCTCTGCCACCTGTCCCAGAGCATGTAAGCAAATCTCATCTGTGCCAGTCTGTATCTACTGATATCTGCTCCTTACTAGCCATCGCCCACCCTCGAATCTCACACCAAGGTGGTCGTGACACTCCACGGTAAAACCCCCACGGACGAAACAGTGACGCTAGCGATCAAAATAGAGATCCAAACTTTACTCTGGAGTGCTGCCAGAAAGATTCACGGTACACCCGATCTAACCATTGACGCCATTGAGTGGGATGGGAAACCTCAAGGATCGACAGAGACCCCAAATAGAATCTCTTTTCATGCCACCGTGAGTGGGTTGCGACAAGAAGACTCGGGGGTTTATACGGGCTTCTACTTCTACTCGGGAGTGCTACCAGTACCGAAAAAAGTGAATCCTGGAAAGCCCCAATCCAAAAAGAAAAGGCCCGCGAAGATCAATAACAGGATAGAGCGCATATTGAATGCAAAAGTGACTAGTCCACAAGGAAATGTTTTGCTCGACTTAGAAGTACCAGAAGATAGGATCTTACAAACGGTGGGTTCTAGCTTGAATCGTGAAGCAGTGACTTGTTCTTATTTGACGACTGTTCCTTCGGTTTTCAGAGTTCAGACTCCAACACTGTCTGATGACGAAGACCTGGAGCCGGGAGTGTGAATGAGATATCGGTCATATACTCATATCAAGTCGAAGTAGTATGTAAACAGTAGTGTGCTGTCCTGGTTCGGTGCAGATGTGACGCGTCGGCTTCGCGAATGGCGACTGTACAATCTATCAAACATCAATATTCAATGATCAGACCTCATCAGACCCTTTAGAATGTAGAGTTCATCGATGGTGCATAGCATCCATTGATATCGGCTATTGCAAGATTTAATACATAAAAGCAAAACATCAACCTCATCTTCGTCTTCCATCCTTGGCCGTCTCTGGTCTCTAGAGCCTTTTGCAGGTCAAAAGCTCAGCAACATTTACAATTTCTCTTGAAAGATCTAGACGATCACCTCACACCTACCTATCACTGCTGTTCATCATGCGTTACACTCAACTATATGGTATCTCACTCTGTGTCGTGCTGGGAATCTTCGGGCTTGTCTGTGTTGCACTAGGGTCTCCTATCCAAAACGTCAGTACCATTCATTACTGCTTGCAGAGCGCCTCTCTGACCATCAGCTCCTCAATAGCCTTCTTCCCTTCAGGTCGAGACTGCAAAGTCAAGCACTTCGCCCAATGTCATTGTGCAGTTCCACGGTACACAACCTGTGGACGAAGGTGTCATGCAGATCGCTCGAGTAAACGTACAAACTCTGTTACACCTCTCCGCGAGGAAAATCTCCGGTACTCCAGATTTAACCGTTCACGAGTGGCGAGGGAATCCGCAAGTTTCTGCGGAAGATAAGCACGTAACTTTTCTCGTTATAGTGACAGAGTTGGGGAAAGAGGACTCCCGGGGCTACACAGGATACTACACATACACGGGAGTGCCGAGACCATATCAGCTTAATGATATGAAGTGGATAGAGCGTGTCATGACCGCAAAGTTGATTGATCCACACGGAAACACAGTTCTTGAACTTCCTTACGCCGGGACTTCCCAAGAGGTAGTACTGTAAGTATCTGTTTTGTCTTGTGTCTGAACTTTTGTTGATTTTAGACAGTGCCAAAAAGTACAAAGATACTTCTAGCAAAGGATCGATGTAGCATTGATCTGATTGTTTGCAGTCCTCTTGTCATTCTGTAGAATTTTGTATCAGCCAAATCCTCAAATACGCAGAAAATATAAGGCCTACGTCAGTAAATGCAGTCATTCGATAATTCAAAATGTGACCTCCATGTCATCCATAAATGGAAAGAAAACGGACGCTTCAAGCTTCAACGTTCACAATTTTTCCCCCATGAGCGGCGGATAACGCGTCAGAACGCGTACTGTCACAGTTTCCATTGACCAGACATCTGCACACTTGGACACTACTTGGAATCTATGTCGATGCCACTAGACTGTACATCCCCGACTTCACTTCTGTCGAACTCGAACGTTTCCAGGATCTGAAAATTTGGAATTCGGTCCATCACCCATAGATAATTCTGTCTGGGTCTCGCATTGCCCAGCTATGCGATTTTGAAGTTCCTACTATCACGTTCGGCAGCGATTGGGAGAATTCAGACAAAGTCTCCATTGACATAGACACGAAATAGAAAGATAGATGGGAGGCAGTACAGGAGGTCATGATAGAGATGCAGGAAAAATCGACAAGCTGGAGAAGGAGGTTGAGAGTTTGCGTTCAGAAACTGGGGCTATGTTATGGGGATGATCAAGATTCGTGGAAACTAAGGTGAATAAGGGTTTTGAAGAGAAGAACTGGTTCCGATTTAAAAGAAAAGTACAGGGTTCTAGCGTACACACATATGAGAGGAATGTCAACTTGGGAGTCAACTGAGAGACAATAATGTAGGAATAAGTATTGTACTAAAGAGACAGATGAGTAGCGAGAAACCTAGGCTTCAAGTTGAAGATCTGAAAATTGTTGGAGCACAACGAGTCTTGAAGCGTTCAATAATGGGCCCATTACAAGATGACGCTAGACTTTGAATCACTTTATATCGCTTCGCGATGCTTCATACCCTTCACGCCCTGTAAGATCCTGACATCCTGACCGCGGAATCTAGAGAAGAGTGAACGTGAGAAACATACTTACGTCAGATTCTCATCTCTGAAAAGTACACAGACGAGTAGGCAGTGTCGAATACAACCACCAGCTCCCGACTCTCAAGATGGTAAGTTCATGCTGTTTGAGGCTTCATCTGTCTCCATCGAACTCCTGGCACTCCTTTCTTTGTAAATTTGGTGTTGGAATGAAGGTGTTTGGGCTGGATTAGTTTCAAAAGATTGGATGTCGATTCCCGGCTAAAGGAACTACGGTTGCATTCTGCCGTTTTGACTCGATGGTTTCGACCTTTGTGCGGTCTACGTTCAGCGCAGAGGTCACGGATTGCTTCCATCATCGTCTCTATCCCGAAAGGCTCGATGTAATCTCATGCTAACGTACGACACTCGTTCTCCAGACCAAGAAAAGAAGAAATGGCGGCCGTAACAAAAAGGGACGTGGCCATGTTACCTTCATGCGCTGCTCCAACTGCTCTCGATGTGTGCCCAAAGACAAAGCCATCAAGAGGTTCACCGTAAGAAACATGGTCGAGAGTGCGGCAGTTAGGGATATCAGCGAGGCGTCGGTTTACTCAGGCGAGTCAACGAGAGATCTTGTTTGTTCACCTGTAAATCTGACTGGTTTTCACTCTACAGAATACGCAGTTCCAAAATTGTACATCAAAATCGCATACTGTGTATCGTGCGCCATCCACTCACATGGTAAATTTTTACGTCCGATCTTCTTTGGCCCTCGAAGGCTGACGACCTTCTACAGTTGTCCGTGTGCGCTCACGTGAAGGACGTCGTAACCGTGCCCCTCCACCTCGAGTCCGCTGGAAGGATGGTAAGAAGGTCAATCCTGCTGTCGCTGCGGCAGAGGACGCAAAGGCTGCTGCAAAGGTTTAAACTACATTTCCTTCACATGCATGTATATTCGCTTTCAATATTTGCAACCTCGGCAACATCATCATGTATCATGTATCCTATAAGGGGTGTATCGCAGCTGCTGGGATTTGCCGACTCTTTTCAAGGGAACCATGGTCACCATTGAGTATGACGCTGCTGAGTGAGGCCCTGGCGCTTGCTGATGCTCGGTGAAGGTAGTGGGCGGAGCAAGGCGACCTCCGAGCGGTATTGAGTTGCTTAGTAGTCTGTTCTGGAAAAACTCATGCAAGACAATGAGGTGCAACTCGAACTACACAACTAAACCGTCGACTGGGTTTCCACAGCATCGGAATGACTCGAATCAAATTAACGCCACACCCATAGAAGCTATGTATTCACTGCTAGACTGAGTAACATTTACCCACCGTCTCTTTTGCTGTTACAATGGACCCATCATTATCTGAATTGTTCTTACCATCATGTCTCCGTCCACTCGTCGTCTTTCCCGGCCAAAAATCTTGCGTCGTATTCCTCCAAGGAACCGATCGTTTCCATTGGAACCTAAACTTCCGCCAGAACTATTCAATCTCATCCTTGACTATCTCCAGTTCTCGTTACCAACTCTTAAGGTGTGCTGCCTCGTAGCGCGCTCTTGGAATGCTCGTTGTCAACCATATCTCTTTCGCGTCGTGAATCTGGATGTCTGGAGTCTTCCTCCAGTCGCACTTCAGATCAGGAAACGATCCTTCATTCGCAGACTTGAAGGTCTTTCCAGGAAGAGCCATCTAGTTCAGTTCACGCAAAGAATGTGGATAGAGACAACGAGTTCCCGAGTCGGCAATAAGGTCACTCCCAAGTTCATCTACCAAATCCTCACCAACATTCCCATGTTTACAAATCTTCATACCCTGGTTTTGAATGTTCCGTGGAATTTTCGCTGGGGGAATTCTTCAGAATGGCCCTCCAAAACTCTAGGATCATCTCTAAGCAACCTTATCAGACAAAACCCAAACCTAAACTCGCTTTCTCTTAGTAATCCAATATTTTCATCGTTGGACGATCTTCTCGCCATCGTGGGTTTTTATTCGTTGAATCTTGAGCATTTAACGATAGAGAACGTACAATCAATTCCCGAGGAAATGCGAGAGACTACTTCTGATGAATTTCGATTATGGATGGAAGAGATTGTTGCTCATCGCGAGCCTCATCACTTCCATCTGAGCATGCTTGGTTTGGGCTATATGCATCCACGAATTCGGAACGAGATATTGATGTATCCTGGGTTCATCGATTGGAAAGAAGTGAAGCACTTGAATCTGTCTTGGGACAGACACCATGCATCTTCATGCTCGACCCTCTTGTATTGTTGCTTACACCACAATCTAGAGACACTGATATTGTCGATTGTGTGTTGTACAGATATCTGTGAGTGATGATCGATGAACTTTGACCTTGTAAACATCGATAATTGACTGATTATTGGGTATTGAATTCTTCCTCAAGTTGCCCTCGATATACAGCGCAATCAACTCCCAAAACTCAAATTTCTGCGCATATTTTCCGAATCGGTAGGCGCGATAACAACAGTTCTTGAGCAAATTATTCCTGCAAGTCCTCGGTTGCTTGGGCAAATTGAAGTGGTCTTAGATTGGGCGGTCCCCGGTGTAAAGAAAATTCATAACTCTCGCACGACCTCCCCTGTCGTTTCCCAACTGGACCCGCTCTTAGCCCATTGGATGCAAAGCCAATATGAATACTTCCGTTTTGTGCACGTTGATATCTATATGTTCTACAGGAAATTTTCGTTGAAAGAGCTGCAAAAGCTGTTTCAGGTCCTGTTGCCCGAAAGTTTTCGAATACCAGGCTTCCACTTTGGACAATGCCATGGAGGCTTTCATTATAATAATCAGTGTCGCGGAACAACGAGCTTTTACTAAACAACTTTGCCAATTGCCAACTGCCAAGCGCAATATGATATGGGCAGTGAAATTATGAAGGCTTCTGTATACTATAACACATCTAAATATGAATATTCCAATAACTCACCATCCAATTTGTTCTTGACACTCAACCCTTCTCTCTTCGTAGGGCTCTAGATCTCACATGCTTCCCCCCCAGTTTGAAACAAGCTGTTTATGTTTATCCATGATCTTTATAAGGTATATACAATGTAGATTAGCTATTGATTATATAGTACAGGGCCTAGCAGATTACGCGTACTTCACATGCGTAAAGAATATGCATCCAATTCCTTTTCAACGCTTTCAAGTCTCTTCCTTCGTGCCAAAAGCTCCTCCCTGCGTAAGACAAGCATTGGGTCTTCTCCTAGCAAACTTCCGCAACGCTCGTTTGCTGATGGTGTCCCCATGCCTAATTTGGATATGAGATGTGGCTGCAAAGATTTTCCAAGCTTTCTGACGAATAACAAGTCGATGAAGTTCGGAACGTTATCTATCATGCGCTACACACATAAACATCTCAGAACCTAGTTGCATTTGGGAACAGGGAAGGCTCACTTTGTATGCAACCTGGAAGTACCCGCGAACCTCTGCCATTACCCCTAATTCCGTCTCATACTCATCAGGCGGTATGAGCTTTCCTAAAAGGTCCGTGGGATCCAACGAGGCTACAGGCAAACCAGCTTTTACCAAAAGAGCTATGGCCTCCTGCACAGCCTGTTTATCGGGAGAATTGGAATCTATTCGTTCTGTCGCACGGTTTGTATCTGAGTCTGAGTCTTGAGCGACAGGAACCGCCTGTTGAGATTGCGCGAGCTTTGGGTCCATTGTCGTAATTGGAAATGGGATAGGTTTCGAGGCAAGGAGACTATTACCACTACTGAGGGGTGTGGCGGGTGGCAGTCCGAAGAAAGATGACGCGGAAGGAATTTGCGAAGGACTTTTTTCAGCTGCATGTTTCGGTTGGATATTGCCTAAGCCTGTAAAAGAAAAGAGGTTTGAATTTGCAGGACCGCCCTTGGAAGCGGAGTTGGTATTCAAAAAGGTGGAAGCTGTTCCACCAACCCCGAAGGTTACCAGTTGCACATCAACTGATATATGAGAGATAAATCTAAAACACGTACATTCAAATCCGGGAGCAACAATTCGGTGTCTCTTAGCCTGAGGGTCCAACTCTTCTTCCCCGACCTTGCCAGATCTGACAGCTTTATATTTTGTCAACCAACCCTGTTTACAAGATTCGTAGTAATGTCCATTCTGAGTGAAGGGCATGTGTTCGGCCTCGAGAACATAATCTAGCATGATATTACAGTGAACCTTGTGCTCATCCAACAATGCTTTCAAGAAATCACCTAATGACCTAGGGATAATTAATGATGAAATGGCCATACCAGTTTTTCAGGTTTTTCGTTTGGACTGGCAGCTGTCAGTTGTCATAAATTGGAAAATCACTGGTAGGGTCCAGCTACTCCGTTAACGGGATAGGATCCGGCCAGTATGAGCTATGTGCGCTTATGTAGGTTAATAAATTGGTTAATAAATTGGTATGATAAGGGGGAACCTTGTCGCCTTCCAAATGTGGGGAGATAGTAATCTAATTTAGTATCGCGATTCTAATTACGGGACCAAATTGGGCCGATACCAAAATCCCATCAAATTTATGGTCAAAATTACAACACAAACGATAATTTAGCATCATTAAGCGATATTCCACCTGGGCCTGCTGCAAGCTTAATGTCCAACCCTTCCCACTTCTGCGCACAGATATCCGCTAACTGGCGGCGAATATGAGCTTGACGGTAGGCATACGCGCGTCTCCCTGCTGCCACTTCATTCTTCGGGTCTACAGGAACCCTTACCGTTGCACGACGCTCCCATTCCACAGCTTCATATTCTAACGCTTTCAAAGAACGTCGCATTTCTTCCTGAATCAGAACACACTCCTCTTGGGATCTCACCGCCTTAGCGCGAGCCTTGCTGAAAGCAATACGCAACGCTTTGCTCATTGTCAGAAATTGATAGACAGATGATATATACCGGAGGACTCACAATCATTGACGTGATCATCACTGGCAACATCCTTCGGAGTAGAAAGCCAAACCCAAGACACTGCCATGCCATCGACACAATCCTTGACAGACCCATCCAAGTCTCTTAGATCAGTGTCTTTCAATGGACGAAGCGTATCCTTCCAAGTGTCACTCTTGCCCAATGTTTCACTATACCTTGCAATCATAGCATAGTGTAAATTGTACCTCGCAGCGCACGCAGCAATCTTTTGGTCCAAAGAATCGAGAGCGGAAGCCGTTCGAGTACCCTCGCGTTACCATGTCCATATTTGCGCTTATAGTTGATAACGCAAGTACGAGATATCAAGTACTTTCTGATCTTCTCAAGTTCGTCGTGAGCTGCGGCAAAACGAAGCCTCCACTCGGTGTTGATCAGTCTTGCATCGCATGTCCTACCCGCATCGAAGACAGCACTAGGAAAGAATAACTGAATATCTCTGGCAGAAACTGAGCCTAAGTCGAAAAAGGTGAGTGAGCCAAAAGAAGGGACAATATCACATACGTGGGCGGTTCTCAGACTCCACTCTCAACACGGTAGTCACAGGCATATACAGAGCCTGGACAACGATCCAGGCTTCAATGCGACTACGAAGATTTGTCGCACGTTCGACCACCTTTGCAAGCTGGAGCGATGTCGGGTGTTTCCCCAATTGCCCGTGGTCATAAATTAAACGTCGTCTGCAGGTTGAGTCAGTTAAGTAGGAAGCAATAAGCAAAATCGAAACATACTGTTGTTCCTCTAGATCAAGACCCTGTACAATCAACGTCGTAGGTGTCATTTGCTTCATAAGACCCTGTTGAGCAAATGGATGATCCCCTCGCGAAAGGATTGCGTCCTCTTTGGCCAGTTGTAGCCGGATGTTGGCCAACTTCAAAGCTAAGAAATTTTTCAATCACTGAATAACCGAACACAATCTATATGCTTACGACGAACTGAAGACTCATATGGGTTCTTTGCAGAGTGATCTGCATCCCATGTAGCAATATCTTGACGCCAGGTGGCCACATCATCTGAATTTAAGCTGCCACATAAGTCTTCGTAAGCTAGGACATATAAAATACGCTCTTCAATGGCGTTGGTAGCACGTTTATATAGCCTAGTTGCTGATACGGATGCAGGAATGGTATTTATTCCGAGTCAAGAAGATGAAAAATAGGCGTACAGAGTGTGATCGATTTCCTCCAATTCCAGTCGTTCCAGTGATCGTCGAGTGTGTCTCTCCTGGAACCAGGTCCCATCCTCTTGGTACTGCCTGCCAAAGTATTTGTCTCAGCCCAAACCCTTTCAACAGACTCCCCATCTGTTTTCCCAGTTCCTTTCGCATAGTTGAACGCAAATTTCTGGCGACAAGAGTCTTGATGACCCATGAGATGAAATTTTGGGATGAGAAGCTGCATGTTAGAAACCGAGAGAGACCCCGGTAGTTGGAGGGAGTCGCCATACGATAGTATCCGTTTTTCAAATTTTTTGCTATACTGGCACATTACGTCATAGGAGAGAGTGAGTAGTGGAGGCGTATTGACCTGCAAAGACTTGATGTTCACGTAGTCCATAATGATGTACCTAGCACAAAACAAGTGAGTAAAATCGAGGTCTCAGGAAAATCGAGAATTCACTTACTCTTCTCCCAGACGCAAATCAGCCACAGACTGAGGGAATATACATTCATGACGGGTACAACTTGCCATTGCGATCCCAGTGACCGCGAGATTCTTGGTGCCGCGTTTGTTAGCAAGTTTGATAGCATCGTGATCATTGCAGTCCGAGGTCTCAATAGGCCATTTACCCGACATACGCGCCAGGTGGGTTTGAAAAGCTCGGTCATTGCAAAAGAATGCGTTTCCACCATTGAGACTAGGATCTTTGGCCTCGCTTGAAACATTGATCCGGGTACAGCGAAAGTTGGCATCGAGACCCTGAAATCTCTTAGCCAGCCATCTGTAAACGAGATGTCAGCCAAGATCGACATCTTTCGACCCCGAACTCACACCTTTGAAGCATCCATACCAGCGGTTTCAAGATTGATTCCCGGATGCGGACAAGGTAAACATCGAGTAACCAGATCGCCCGGCTTCATATCCATGGCGCCTCCAGTTTTATGACCTTGACCGCTCCTTTTTAACAACATTAGAAAACGCCATTCGCGTATTAGCCTGAGAGCCTCTCTCATTCGATTCTGCAATAAACAAAATTCAGTGAGCAACAGTTCAGATGCCGGAAAGCGGAAGACTTACCGGGGGGATGGTTTTGCCGGTATTATCAGTTACTCGTTCCAACGTTTGATAGTATTCTGACATAGATACCTTTGACATAAATGAAAGGATGTGGAAAAAGTTGAGGAAATCAAATGTTGCCGCTGTCTGTGGATTTGTCGACGTAGCGGGAAATAGACGAGCACGGAGGAGTTGGTGACGATCAACATCTATACCTCCTTTGCATGCACAGAACTTCAGCAAAGCAGTTTGTATATTCTGGATACCAATGACTGTAAAAGACTTCACAGGATGATGTATAGCATGGGCACAAGGATTCGACCGCGAGTGATTTCCTAAGTGAATGACGAGCCCGAGATGGCCTAGTTGTGTTGATTCGAAGAACAGTCCGTTTTTGACCTATTAACCTGTCATAATCATCCATATTCTCGCAATCAGGTTACTTACCTGTACTATGTGAAATGGATTCTTCTCGTGACCAATGATGATACACTCTTTGCAGTACAGGGCACAATCATGACACTGGACACATCTATAGGCTTGATTCTGGGTGGTGTCGAAGATTGTACCACAACGACAGGATTGATGGGCCAACAAACTTGGATCTTCCAGGCGAAGTAGCTCCTGAAGATAGTCGTCGACATGATTTGTATGCCAATGAAGCAATTCCTAAAAAGAGTTAAGCTTAAACCAGATAGTCCAAGTTCAAAGACCCACATTACGAGAATGGAAATCAAGGTCTTCAATGCAGATTTCCTGGTTTTCATGAAGTTCACCAGAAAGAACAGGGTTATCGAATACATAACCGTCTAGGTCACCCGCAGAATAATCCATCGATATGTCTTCGTTCGCTGCCATATGAGTTGTATACCGACTGGAGTACGGTTCAATAACAACAGGGATTCGATCCGTTGCTAGCGACGAGTCTACCTCCACAAGAGTACGCATAGTACTGAGACGGGTTCCAACAGATGGCTTCCTCAAGTGGACCGCGTCCCGATGGCGCACAGATGTAAAAAATGACCGTTCCGTCTGTTTCGTTATGTCTTCGAGAAGAACGGTTTCGGCACCATCGTTGGCTGTTTGGCGAGGACGAGGAGCCATGCGCAAAAGCTGACGGTGGTGCTGGGTGGGCGAGGAGACCGAAATCCGACGAAGTGCATCTATGGTTGAGCCCGACTTTTGTATGCTCGTTGGGGAAGTAGTGCTACATTGTGAGTAAGACCACGGGCCAGGCTTCCGACGTCCAGATGTTGCAGTCAAATTTGGCAGGCCGAAGATGTACGATTTTGGGGATCCCAGAATTCTAAGATTCGATTGAGGACTCGTGTATCTAAGTTTTGCACATGATCGAAGACGGTTTGAATCGAGAGTTTTAGGCATTCTCTGCAGTTGACAGACACATGAGGGATAAAGAAGGAGAGAAATCATATTCTCCTTACGATTTGTGTCTGAGACCCTTCGAGAAAAGCACCTTTTCGAGAAAGGGAACTTCCCAACAACGTGTTCGATAAATTTTGAAACGTGTATATAGACATCAATGCGAGAAAGTAGCGAAGACGATTACATTGAGAGGAGTCGAACGATGTTCAGGATGATGAAGTCTCAGATGATAATAAGCGCGCGTGACAAAAAAACAACTAACAACATAGCAAAGATACGTAGATTACAAAAGTCGATACGAGTATACAATTAGAGACGACTGGGATGAGATAGCCAAAGGAGAAAACATACGCTCGAGCAAGAAGAAAATAGTATCAATACGGGAGCATGTTTAAAGCCAATTTCCCTGCATATGGAATAATGATATCCTCCGTCTCCGTGAGCGATTCCTCAAACTCGGTTGTGATCCCCTCATCATCATCATCGGACAAGAAGGCATCAACCTCGCCACAAGGAGCCACAATTGTAATATCATCGGACGACAGAACTGGAGATGAGGGATAACCGTAATTGAGATCTTCATCACTATCAGAGTAATTGAGCAAATCTGCTTCAATGGTGGAAAGCTCCGCATCTAGCAAGGCTGCTTCGATGCTAGAAAGCTCCGACTCGGATGTGTCGTCACGACCAGTGGAGTTTAACAAAACTTCTTCATGGACGACGGCCACCGGGAGAAACTGGTCAATAGTTATGATATTGGGACTCTCGTGGTCACTTTCATCATCCAATTGATGATCGAATGATTTGCAAACCAGATAGGAAGGGATTTCGTGGCGATAATATTCGAGGAATGCTTTTGTTTCGGAAATGCATTCTTCCACCTCGAGTACGGTTTCATCGAATTTCTCCATGTCAAAGCCTCGCCACGGGTAGTTCCAATTCATGCTATAGATGGAAGAGCGAGGGGTGGAACGGAGATGTGCATAGGGAGGAGGTAGGATGGAAGCTAGACTGGAAGAGAACATGTTCAAGGGTAGCCTATGATGGATATCCCAGAGTTGTACCGCAGTATGTAGCTCTTCGAGACAGTGTTCTGGCTCGACAAATTTCAAACAGCCTCGCGCGACTTTGATCGCCTGTTGAAAGCAGTCTTCGATTGTCTATGACAAAAGTCAGATGAGACTTGCAAACGTAAATCCCAACTTACCTCCTTGAGTCTATTATATTGCTCGTTCCTAAATGAAGGAGACATTAAAGCTTCGATAGCCTTAGCTTCGTTACGCGCATTCTTCAAAATGCAATTAGTACTTGACCCTGTAGAAGACACTGGACTTACTTCTCTAGATTTTTCGAGGTAGTCGATGATCCATTCACTGGATACGTCAAGAGACGGTAGCTCAGCATGTTTGGGTTGCCTGGTACGTTCTTCAGGCTCAGGACGTCCCCCACGTATGTCTTCAGGAAAGCGTTCACTCCATAGAAGCATTACAAAATCGAGATATTTTGCGCGCTTTTCAACAGAGAGGTTGGAGTACCCAACCAACATTACCCAGACGAGTGACTCGCGATCGTAGTAGTCAGAACGGTCCTAAAAACAAGCTCGTCATTTAATTGATTTTGGTAGTTTTGAATTAAATCACTTACCATTCTAATTCAAATTAAAACGCGGGTATCACTCGATTTTTCAAAAGAAACACGGGTATCAGTATTAGTCTAACTGTATCATCACCACCTACACAAAAATACTCACACGTGGGAGGTCGTGGGATGGCTGTCTAGTTATGATTACTCAGATACCACGGTGTGACTTCCAAGTGATGAAGATTGTTAACAGACCGCGTGTTTATGAATAATATTTGTATGAATAAGACAGAGACAACAACCCTAAGCATGCCAAACTAATATTCCTTCAAACCAAACCTCGGCTACTTTGACCTGTTTGTGAATTTTGATAAGTTGCACCCGCAAGCAGTCCATAAATGCCTTTTTGTCCATCCGGGGGGATACCGAATTTTCCCTTCTCAACACCCTGATACTACTTGCACGCCACGTCCGGCTCATGTATATGAGTTGATTCATCTGAGAGGCCAAATCCATCAGTGACATCGTGAAGTTTGGGAGAGACTTCAAAGGAATCGCGAACCGTTAAATGATTGCGAAGAGATATGAACGTGACGTTCTCCATCCGCGGAAAAATTTCAGCAAGGTAATCCATTTCGTCGATTGATATATCCGCCATCCCAAACGTGAGGGTTCTGACATGAGACCAGATAGGCAACGTGGACAACAAGTTCCTCGTTAGCTCTCCATCACCAATATCGAGGGTCTCAATCCCTGCGTCAGGATGAATCAGAGCAAGAAACTGTGGTGGGGCCTCAAGCTGATTGATATCAGCATGAAGGTGTAACTGCGTCGAGGGTATCGTTTCTCGCAATATATGTCTGGCCAAGACTCTAAAGCCGTCAGAGGAATTGGGCAAAGAGAGATAATCGAGGGGTGAACAAGCACGTATTATACGAGTGATTGTGAGCCCCATCAAAGTTTGATCCTCCCTAGTATCTGCCCAATCCGTATAGATTTCCAGATGACAGAGGGTCGGCGGCCAGGTGAGATCGTTTTCCCGGATATATCGCACTAATGACTGGTCGATGCGGAACTGCGCCAGACGAACGTGGCGACAGTGAAAAATCAGCTCCGAAATGATCTGGCCACCCTCCTGAATCAGGGAAGTCGCAGTTTCCTGCCAGGATATCATCGTGATAGATATCTCGTTGAAGTTCAAGGTCGGGACTGCAAGTAAGGCCTCACGGTTGACGAGGCAGTAGCTGAGTTGAACGGCAAGAGGAAATCCGAGCCCTGTGGCAAACTTGAAGAAGGAAAAAGAGAGGTCGAGTCGGTTAAGACTGAGAAGGTGCAGTGAAGACAACGAGACTGCGAAAACCTCAACATGGTTCCAGAAAGGGTCAAACTCTGCTGACCATCCTCTGGTCAGGGTGTCTCCGAGAGAGAGGGTTGTTGTACAGGGTGCATATAGCGGTGGGACATTTCTCCATGCATCGCGCATGGCAAAAAATCGGCGAGGGTTGGAAAATTCGATATCCAGATACAAGAATCGTATCGCCAATGAGTGAAAACGTCGACTGACCAGACCTAAACGGTAGAAGTCTCGTTTATTTAAGAGAGAGTCAAGTTGATCGAAAATCTTCTCCAGCAGCTCGTTGGGAAGACGGCATTCTCTTTCTTCATTCGCAACGCCGAGAGTCTGAAAATCATCGACCAGTTTGACTTCCCATTCATTCCCCTCATCCTTGACTGGCCTCGAGATCCTTGGGATTCTTCCGCACATTGTTCCTTTCGATACAAGAGATGGTGGTTAGTGGAAGCAGCAAAGCGAGCATCAAGCTAAGAATTGAGGACATCTGGAAGTCCCGTGAGCGCACGTTGATGGTTGTGCGCTGCTTCTTTTGAAGTGGCCGACAACCTCTGTCAGCTGTCAAGAAATTTCAAATTTTGAGTACGTATGTAAGATGAGGCTGCTGTATCAGCTCTGAGCCTTGCTAGTGGGTATCGATATGTATTATATTATTCCATTTCGGAGGGATTAAACAGAGTCTGCTGAATCCTCCAATTCCTCGAGTTCGGTCTCCGAGTCACCGGGCATGGGTATGTGTGGGTGAGGTGGAATATGCGGAGGCCTCCAAAATACTTTCGCATCCACTGCGAACACAGGCAAATCCTCACGGAAAGGTTTGTGCGGAGCAAAAGGAGGATATAGGATGATAAATGACTGCGGCATGCGTTGATGATAGAACCAATGCATGAATGCATTCTGAAGGTCTTTTCGCCAGTCGGCAACGCAAGTGACTGCAGATTCGTGAATACGGACACCCCGATCGAGGCAATCCTCGATCGCCTACAAGGTACATCAATATGCAATGCGAAGGAGTCTAATTTGATTTACCTTCAAGAGCAGCGAATGGAATAGGTCCCGGGGCAAATCACGATCAAAACGGCGATGGGCGATATCAACTTGACGGTCACTAGCCTGGGTCAATGTGAATTTGATTTTCACTGAACAGACGACAAAGCACTACTTACAATCTTATGCTTGAGGAGTGTATGATGAACAATTGTGTCCCGTTCAATACACCTATCTGGGGTATCCGGCAAATTCTTCGATATGAAGCGGCGTGACAAGTCTTGTTGATAGTGTCTGAGTGTGAATGGAAGCACTACTTCCGACATAGTCAGACGACCACTCTGCTTGTAGGCCTGATAAGACTGATCAGGCAGCAGGTCTACTGGGAAAAGACAGAGCCATAGCTTCATCACATCTCGCAAAAACTCATCTTTTGCGTGGTTTTTAATGGCGGCCGCATACGCCGAAATTAGCAGGCGGGAAAATGACTCCCGCGCCCGATACCCAAAAGAGAAGTCTTCGAGCTTGGGAGAAAGCTGGCAGTTCCTGATACCTGGAGAGGGAGGAATGTGTGTGGTAGGATCATCATAGCACGAATCACTTGGATGAGGCTACATATAGTTGTATTTGAGTGAGATGAAATGTAAAATTTGAGGACGACTTGCCGGTGGCCCGTCAGGATCACGTATAAACCATCCTTGTAAGTCAAGTCTGCATCGACGGTAACGTCTGAGATCATCTCGAAGCTGGATTTGATCGACTTTCGAGAGGGAATGGAAAGACATGTATTGGATCTAACGTGAGATTGACAGTCAATGCTCCACGGTCTGTTGTTTGCATGTGTTGTGTACCAGGTTTGCGGAGTAGGCTGTAAGTAAGCCAATGGTGAACAATTTTTGCTCTCAAATTTAGGGGGGAGGATTGCGAGAATGATTGAGCTTTGTGAAAGAAGCTAGAGGATATTCGCTTGCTTCGGAAAATTAAGTTCTATTTTTTAATGAAGTCGAATTTGTATCTAAGGATATTTTCGTCAGATACAACTTATTGCAGGGGAAGCAGATATAAAATCATTCACGGCATTGTCAGATGAAGTCAGAGGTGTTTTCAAATGAGAATGTCTCAGCTGGGATTGTGTATGGTATGCGAATTTTGTCAGGTTGCTCTTTAAGTAGATGACACGGCTCTTGCCAAATTTTGGATCTTTGACGGTTGGTTCGGGCTCATAATAATTATAATGATGAGGGGGGGGTTTGAAGATGGTTATCCACCTTCATAGTAGCTATAGTGATTATAATTAAGTCAGAGGGAGCAACAATTTCAATTTATCTTTGACAACATGCTATAGTCTGACGAAGTTTGACGAACTTGATCGTGCGAGAAGATAGACCAAGGTAGATTAGAACGCTAAAGTGTAATGTCGATACCATCTTGTACAAAAAAATCTCGTATTTATCTCGTACCATATGGATAGCTATGAATACTCCATTTATAACAATCTCTATATCTCATAAGAGTTGGGAGTCGACGCTGCACTCGATGTTGAATGGTGTCTGGGCGATGGCGCTTATGCAAGCGCCGGTTTCCTGACCACTCTTTCGCAGCATTTGAACAAGTATTGATCCATTGGTTCAATATAAGGAAGGTTACGAGACCTTGCATATTGGTACAATGATTCAATATCTACAACGGGTGAATTCACAACCAACAGACAATTGATTGGTCGCTCTTCAGAGTGGCAAATTCGTCAAATCTTCCGTCAGACGGTCGAGGACCTTTCGTCCACAAGTTATATCATGTCAAGAAATTCAATTTCATATTCTTATTTAGCATACAACCTGACGCGACAAGCAGCAATATCACATAAGATAGTCCGAAAGGTATTCCCATTAGGTTTTAAGTAGACGATGAATTGTGCCAGTTTCGGGTTCAAGCTCATCCCTCAATGTATCCTTCCCTAAAAAAGCGAAATGATTGAAGTCCTCTATGTCTTCCTTCCATGCAGCCAGCTCACAGATATAACCGAGAACTTCGTCAACAACATCCTCATCACATGGCTTGGCATACGTGTTTATCTGCTCCCGCCGAATTTCCATCGTGGAACATAACAGTTTGATTTCAGTTTCCATTGCGTCGGCTTTCTCAAGCTCATGCGTGACCAAGAAGTCGTCATACAAAGGTTTGAAGAATTTCGATCGGGATTCTCCGCAGAGAAGTTTGAATTTAGCATAGATTCCACGGGCCTCTGCAAGCGAGAAATTGAGCCTAGTCACAATAAATGGCATCAAAGGGGTGAAGTTTGAGGAGCTTTCGTGTCTGCTGTGGTCCACGATACTTCAAATAAGGGCATGAGTATAATGATTACAATTTCCGGTACATAAACATACCGGGAGATTGGCGATGACGGCACAGACGAAGGAGGCAAACTACTGGTGCGTACAAGGGGAGAGGTCATCGGAATCGAGCGACTATCGATAGGGAAGTTAAATAGGAATAAAATTAGATTACATCTACTAACCTTGTTTCGCATTCCTTCGTGCGGAGAGGAAGATGATGGGGGTTAAACTCATCTGAGTCGGTGATCGCAGGACTCCGTTTTCTCTTCGTCGGTGTCAACTGTTTGTCTTTGACTCGTCGAGCGTGGGGGGGAATGGATGCGTCTTGGCGAGTTTTTGAGTAATTCACTTTCACAGATATCGCAGATTTCTCGTGAGTGGTTGGCCTTGTTGGAGACAGTTCACAAGGGTCATCGTCTTCCAACGGACTCTCATGTGTAACAGCCTTCTTTTTGATTTCTCGGTTGCGAATACGCAAATAGCTAGAGATAGCATGAGAAGATCACAAGTGATCCATTGTTTACGAACATACCTTTCCTTCAGTTTCTGTTCTGCCTCCTTCAGAGCAGCTTTCCGCTTTTTTTTGATGCGTTTCGACCTGGAGCTCAAAAAATCGTAGAACGTATACCGTATGTGTCAGGATATACTGACTCTTGATATTCTTTCAGCGCAGCCTTTGCCATATCATCTTGATACTTCTTTCTTCGATGTGCTGTTATCTTCTCGCGATTTCTGAGTGGTGGACTCATTATTGCCTGAGCATGTTGAGATTAAAGCAAAAACATACTGTGCATAATGCTTTGCGTTGATGATGCGTCGAGCTTCCAATTGTTCAGATGTGGCTGCCTTGAGCTTGCGATTTTGGACCATAGGAAATAACAAGAGGTGAAGATTGGTTCGTATTTGTAATCCGACCGCTGTACAGTTATCACTCGGCTAATTCCGGCTTCCTTTAGCTCTAGTTCTAGTACTTCGTTCTGACTTCAATACCGGCTGAAGCATTTTAATCGTCAAATACCTGCTGAAGCATTTTAATCGTCATGCCATTAACCAAGGATGAAAGAGACTGGGCGGAGGGACAACTGCCGATATTCATCCAGCATCAAAATCAGAAAATGGTGGCAGACTTTTGGCCTCGAATTCGCGCCGCGTTCTTCTTGAAATTCCCTCTCGATGGCGAAGATAATCCCGCAATGGACGTTGAATCGCGCTCGGCCCTTGGAAAGATCAGCGACAGTAAATTCAGTGTTAAGTCCTTTACTATATTATTGCTTCAGTTTTCATTGAGTATGTTTTCCTACAGTCTCTGAAACATTACTTCAATAACACGTCTATCAACAACTCAACCCGTAAAAGTCGCGCGAAAGCGCAGGAGGCGGTGAAAATCTACTTTGGGGCATCGCAAATACAGAAGAGTAAGGCGGTTCGTTCCCTCAAAAAACGCGAAGTGTATTCGCGTCTATTTTACGAGTCAGAGTGTAAAGAAAAGGTCGATGCCGCGATTGCTGCCTTTGGTCCTGCAATTACAAAGGGAGATAGAATGGTAATCCGTAATAAGCACACCAACGCGGGATACCAGGCTGCACAGCTGGATCCAGTAAAGATGGCCGCAATTGAAAAGTACCTTGCCGAAGAAAATTCAAAAAGAAACGAGGACACAACATCGCCTGTTGTAGACGAAGACACAGGTGAAATCCAAAAATTGACTGGCGAAGAACACGTCAAGTAATTGTCATTCTCAAGTTCTGTGTGATATATGCTGATCTAAACTTCGACAATTTCAGATTTATGCGGGCGTTACCAACAACCTTGGCCGAAGTTTCAACCAGACTCGCCAAGCTAGGTGGACTCTGTACTATGTTTGTTGCTGCTGGTATGGACCCGGATAATGAGAATAAGATCCGTGGATATGGGTGAGGGTCCTTCCATCTCAATCTCTCCATTCTATTTATTAGATATATTTTAGTTTCCATGTAGGTAAAGACGTTCATGGCCAGCCCTTCTTTAGGGCTATACCAGATTACACTGAACGCGTACTTCGACCCTTCCTCAATTTTGCGAGTGCGGCATTTGGTCAGTTTCATCTCAGTTCAGGTATCGGACTCCTTGTGACGATTTTGATTGATAGTTGCGGAGGATAATCCATCTACGACTTCGCTGTCCACGAGCGCTGATCATGATACTTCAGAGGTGGCCAACTCACCACCACTTACTGTGGTTGCTGATGGCTCTGAATCACTACCTGTTTCCTCGGAACATCCTGCCGGCGCTTCTCCAACAGCTTGTGCAACCGAATCTATGTCCGAGATCACTGCGACTCCAATTGCACCCTCTCACAATACCAGTATTGGTCTGACCGATCCCCCTTCTGATATATTGCCGACCTTGTCCTCTCCCTTCCCAATCTTGTCCTCTCCAATGCCGACCTCGTCCTTTCCATTGGACAATTGTGGTGAGCTACCAGTGATGCCAACTTCTCCAACTCTTCCAACTCCCACTGTGTCTTCTGCAATTTTGGGAACACCTCCAGTTGTCGTGACTCCCTCATGCCAACCAATGACTCGCTCTTTGTCGTATCCTTTGATTCCCTTTCAGCCCGAGGAGCAATCTTCTCACTCAACAAGGTCTCTGTCTTTGCCTCCACCTTCTTCTGCAGACGTCTCGCTGTCTCTGTTGTTAGGGGATAGCTCTACAGCTCGGGCTGTTGACCAGCTACCTGAGCCTGTGTCGCAAGCCCCTCAGTCTTATTCATGGAGTAGGATGACTGATCATGAGTTTGATGCAGTAATAGCTACCGGTTTGAACAATAACCAGCTGTTTGAGTGGGATAGTACTGGTGCACTCCCCGAATTGAACCAGCCTGTTGGTCCTCTTATTGGAGAAAAAACTGGGAGCATGGATAGTGGCCTCTCGGTGTTTCCATTCGCACAAGATATCGACTCGAATGCCTTGATTCCCGGGTCGCCTACTATCGGTCCAACTATTGCAGAGAATGTTGGGAGCATGAATAGTGGCCTCTTGGCGTTTCCGTTCGCACAAGATATCAACTCAAATTCCTCGACTCCCGGGCCACCTACTATTGGTCCACCTATCGTAGAGAATATCGAGGGCGTGGATGGTGGCCTCTTGGCATTTCCGTTCGGCTCGGTTGCCTCAATTGCCGGCCCGCCTACTCTTAGTCCACCTATCGTTGGGAATAGTCGCTTGGCATTTCCGTCGGCCCAAGATATCAACATGTTATTGTCCACAACTTCCAATGTCTTCGACACCGAGGTTCCTGATCCCCTGATTGTGAAGTCCACCGTTGACACTGGCAACGATATGAGTTCCTTAGGTAATATCCTTATATACTCTGCCAAGTCTCATGTTCTCACTGTCGCAAACCCAGGCCCTATGGTTCCTGACTCCCTGTTTGCAGGGTCTATCATTCAAGTGGGTGCTCCCAGCGTTCTGAGTCCTTCCTGTGTTACGAGTTCTTCTTCGTCTTCGGACCCTCCTATGGGCAACACCCAGACAAGTCCTGCACACTCGGATGGGGATGGTTTGCTTGACATGCTTGTACACCCTTCCAGTTCAGACCCTCCTATAGGTGACACCCAGATGAGTCCTGCACACTCAGATGGGACTATACTTGCATCCACCTCGAATTCAAATGTTCCTACAGGCGGCGCTCCAACTGGTCCCGCACGTGCACCCACCTCGAGTTTAAAAGCTCCTACAGGTGGTGTTCCGACTGGTCCCGCACTTCTAGCAGCTATGCTTGCCAAAGAACCGGCTCTTCTGTCGAGTCTTGACGCCGATCATCCCGACATATTTGTTGATGGCATGTCTACTGATGTTGCAGCTGAGATCACCACTGGAGCCAATGCGAAAGACAAGGCTGCAGGCTCCCAACGCAAACAAGCACAAAAGAAAGACACCACTGCCGCGAAGTCTAAAAAAGGCACCAAAGTCATCAGCAAGCCACCGGTTGAAGAAAAGGCGAACGAAAAGTCATCGAACTCGGGTAGCGTTAAGATTGTGGTCGGTGAGTCTGGAAAAATCAAAATTGTGTTCGGTTCAGGGGAGTCTGCGAAGGGAGACATGTCGAATCTTGGAGACGGAGGTGGGGCAATGAAGGAAAACACTTTGCCCAGTACAATGGAAAGGTCTGCCCGTCCTCAGCGCTCGCACAAGGAGGCCCCATCGCGCGAGCCAATTACGATTAAGGAAATGAACATACGACGAATGGCAACAAAGCGTTCGGTGCATGAGGCGGGGTTGAATGTGGACTCAGATTCATCGAAGAAGGCTAAGCAGGTGTAATGTCGGACGCTATACTAACTATCCCATTTTCCTTGTGTGGTGTTTAATCGTCCTTTAACCCATTCAATTTGTATCTTGTGCAATCAAACAACCTTCCTACCTACTTGCTACGAAACTTACTACCAAAAACGATGTACTGAAAATTCGTACTGAATTGGTCGTTGTCATTAAGTTCGTTTGAGTACTATTAACCAAAATTTAGGCCAGATAAATTGGCTTGGTCACTATCATGCCCAATCTATGCCGGATAGGGGAGAGGAAGTATTTATCTAAAAAATTCTGGACTATTAACGGATTCACGATTTTTATACTCCCTAATTCTTTGAATCGCCGAAACCGCGCGCTACGCGCGCCAGAAGAGGAAGGGACCGGGCAGCACTGGTGCCATCAGTCCATTTTCCATTTTCAATCAACTGACTACTGCCAGTGCAATTGAATTTTCACTTGGTGTGGCCATACCAGTCCATTTTTTAAAATATTTACGTTCTGGGCTCAAGAAATTTCTGTGAATGAATTGGTTAATTTAAATCAAAGAGTACTCAATTGGCCTACTTCATTTGAGATTGCAATAGACTGAATCTTCCGAAATGCTTTTCGATCATCTTGGTCAAGACGGCGAGTGTATCACTTTCTACACTGCAGAAGCAATCGTCCACGGCTTTTGGCCAGCTCTCTTGGAATCGGGCCATGAGGGATGCTTTCGCCTCATATGGGACGTTATTCGGAAGCTCTCGTGTCAAGGACCTGAATAGATCGTCCTTCAGTATATGACAATTCAAAGACGAAAGCACTTACAGGTTGATATGATTTCTCACTTCCGTTAGATTCATTGTCGATTTTCCAATGGCAGAAACTCTAGCAATTGGATCATCTTCTTCGTCGTCTAAGCAATTGTAAAAATCTGAAACCGTCTGGCTCGCTTCAAATGGCACAAAACTAGGGGCAGTCTTCCGTATAGTATTCTTGAAAGTTCCGTATGACCGACGATGTAGCCGAATTAATTCAGCGGAATCTGCTCCTCCGCGTACTAATGTTCGGAAATCGGAGCAAAAACTGGTGACGATGGCTAACATATAGGTCGCCGGCTCATCTGAGATAGGAGAAGGAATTCGAGTCAATTCCTTGCGGCACTCGGAAAGCTGTTTTGAGGCATCCTCGCGAATTTGGGGCAAGCTACGGGCAAGTAATGAATAGGACAATCAAGTGTTCTTATCAAATGTACTCACTGCTCATCGATGACCTTAACCAGAAGCTGACTTAAGGTCAAGACAAGATTTTGAGTACCAAACCTTGAGGGATTGACAGATTGGCACCAAGGAGTTGTAGTCTTGAAAAACTTTTCCTCAATTTCTCTGGCCTTTTTCTGCTCGATACCGGCGCTGCGTTCATCATCATCGGGTTGACGTGTGCAGTAGTATCCGTGCCGGAGTGGATGTCGACGGTCTTCAAGTACATCGAGCCACAATCGAGCAACTTTAGTGGAACCCGTGGTAAGCATATCGCACCTCAACATCCTAACAATCAAAGTATATAGGCCTGGTATATAGATTCACATGACAGGGCTACTCCCCTGAATTCTCGTTGATCCCTAACATTGCCAATAATTCTGGCAATAATCCGAGGTTTCTGAGAATAGTAATGGGTCCAGCCCAGCCTAAAACTATGACATAAGTCCTGGAATCTCCCGGGATTGAGCGGGACCAAGTCCGCCTCATCAACAGCGGGACCGAACCATCCGGATAAGCGCTTTTCGTCATCACCAGCGCTAAACTTCCCACCGACTCCCGCCCATCGCACCTCACTCACTACTATCCGTCTTACTTGAGATACAAACAATGTGCTCTTAATAAACATTTCATTAATTTCATGCTGTGAATAAGATCAAGTTTCAGAAGTCCATCTATCTAGGTAAGGTTTGTGCTATGCCTCGCTGCTGCCCACCCCACCCTCGGCTTCATTGGTCCTCTTCTTTTTCTGGCGGGGTTTCCCGGCATCTTTCCTTTGCTTGCGAGGTCGTTTCGTCGTTTGGACAGTGTTTCCACTTGCATCTGTCACAATTGTGGCGTGGATGAAGGGCCTCCATTTGGCTGAGGTACGTTGGACATACTTGGGGGTGGGGTTTGATCTTCAGGTGGGTTCTCCGAAGGTACGTTCTCATCCCCTGCGGTGTTTGTCTGTTGCTGAGGTTCTTCCCCGGATTGCCGTTTGTCCCTCACCTCTTGGACTCTCCTCTGTGCCTCCACTAAGGCCTCCTCCTGCTTCTGCTCCCAAGCACGGTGCTCCTCTCGTGTCATCATGTAAAAGTATGCCGTCCCTGTCTCCCATGCATTCCACAGGACGCTGAAGTCAGCTCGGGTGCAAAAAGAGCTTGGGTTCTTGAACTCCTTCAGGGGCCAATTCTTGACCATGATTCCGAATGGGCGGGTGATGTGTTCGTCAAAGTTGGTATAAAACATCTTCTTTATCTCATACTTACCCCCTGCAGCCTCTTTAAGGTATATCAGTGAACGTTACTGCAGCCTCGCTCCTCGTAACTCACTTAATTTCTGCAGAATCAATGCGGAGACCTTTCCCTTCATCTCTGTGAGCACCTGAACTTGGTTCCGAGCTACACCTTCTACGCCAACCACCATGTATGCATCCATTCGCATTGCGAGGTCTTCGCCAGAAGTCTTTAACACAGTTGATAGAAAGGTTTCGGACTTCACACCAGAGCAGTATGTTTCTGGAGGACGGAAGCGTGTCAGGGAGCCTCTGCTGACGACCAGGATGGACTCATCACCGGTACGTGCATTAAGACGTGTGAGCTGGAAGTAATTTAACAAGCAGCCGGGGTATAAAAGTGCAGGCTCACCTCCTCTTTAATGCGACTGATAGTCATGCTTGAGTCGTGGTTGGCACTGACGTCGGCGTTATGCCAGGTTCCAAGCTCTTTGCTTTCCCTCCGCTCACGGAGAGCTACCACCTCTCCTTCTGTTGCCGCTACTCTCTCCTCGTCAGACATTGCTCGCCACTTCTCCGCAATGATTTTTGAACACTGGTGGACTTTCCGACGAGGCTGCCCTTCAGGAGTATTGGCGTTGAGTATTTGCATCTGTGCACTGGTGAATACAGCATAACGGCTAACATCTTTCGAAGATTCTTTCAGTCGCTGGGATTGGAAGATATCGGTGACCACCCGCTCCAAGGTATGTCCAGGGAAGCGGGACTGAATCTCTGCAGCTGCTGGTGTACCTCGCTTATAGCTGCATTATATGTTGTCTTTTTTGCCAAACGTCGGAGGCGTATTTCCTTTCTTCCCTCCGGAGTGAGTTTAATAACAGGCTGTTTTGTTCGAACTCGCCAGGCCCTTCGAGTTATAGAGCCTGCCTTCCGACAAGTATCCAGCAACCTCTGGAGTGCAGGTGCCTTCTTACGAGCCATTTAGTCCAACACAATGTAGCAAGGTTTCGAATTTTGGGAGAATTCAGGGGTTCAGTATCTTGAGTTCTCAACTTGTTTACTTGTCCGTCGCATCAAATTTCGAATATAAAGCATTAATTGTCAACAAAAATGAGATTACTACAACATATGCTACAACCTAGCATGCATGTCCCACATGAACTCAGCCCAAGTCTCCTCAACGTGGGGAAACTTGATATGAAACCACTGCACAAAGTCAGCCTTCGAGTATGTATTGATGGCATTCTCAACCTTGTCAGCTGCACTTGGAGTGAAGTGAAGATTTGCCATGATGCGACGGCTCCAATATGCGCCGTCAGCCAAGTGCGAACGTCGGTCCATAGTAATGGGTTCTGAGAGCAGGTTGTCGGTAAATGTCATGCGCTGGCTCCAAGCCACAACGCAGTACTCCTCCCTTCTTTATCCCAAGTAACACCCCGAACCTCCCTCTTGCCTCATGGGAACCTCCCCTCCCTCCCTAGACGCCATCTCGAAACCTCCTCAAACCGTATCCGAGAACCCGATACCTCCACAACCGCCACCACTTGACAGACCCGGGAACTCGTCCACGCACCCATCAGCCTATTCTCATATATCTTAGATCATCCCCTTTAGATGTCCACTTCACACAATGTTCCCCTGATCCTTTCCTCCTGTCTATATAAGTACTCGTATATCCTAAGGATCCCCAGCTTGGTATATTTTGAACACACACCCTTTACATAGGTCCAGTCCCTGTCCCTTTGTACCTGCTACCTATACGGAATTCTCTCTACTCTCTGTTTCTCTACCTCTGTTTCTCTCTACTTCTGTCTATTGTCTCTCTGATCGTCTATACGATCGAATATACGCTTTCACTTCAAGTCTAAGCCTTCCGAGTGAGTCTCCGAGCTCCCTCGAACATTACTAAAGCTCCCCAACGCCTACCCGCTTGGTGAGCTACCCTTCCCCAAACCTCCCAGAGCTTCCTAGCTACTTCGTAAGCTTCGGGACCTCGATCTAGGTAACGTCAAACTACGTATTGCTTCTCCGTTACCACCTCCCACACTCGAGGACGACCATCCTCAAACCTAGTCCCCAGGGACCTACCCTCCCTGGCATATCCCTTCTCGGGAGCTTACACCCTCGAGACCCCGTTGCATAAACTACCTACTCGACTCTATATTGACGTTCTAGCGAGTACAACTCCTACTACGCAATATCTTACGGTCCCGCACTCGTCCTGAACCTCCCTACGCATTAGGGACCTCCCTGGACCTTCTAGGAACCCCTCAAGGGTCACCATCTCGTCGTTCCAACCACTACTAGGTCGTTCCCGTCCTCGGTCGCGGTTCTCGTAGCTCCCTTCGAGCTCCAGCCTGCTCCTAGCACGCTACAACATAAACCTCCACATACCAAAACCTACCCTAAGAC